GAAATAAAAACATATAGTCTCATATAGTTGATTCAACAGTCAGGTCGGATCTAACTTAATGGGTACCACATACTAAACCCGTACTAAAAAAAACGAAGAAAAAGGTAAAAATACAATTAGACAAGCGCGTAAAAATCATGGCAATCGTTGACAGTACATACATATTTTCTTTCTTGCTTTCCTTTCCACAGGAGGATGGATAGTGAGATAAAGGTGAGTCTCACAAAAAGTGCAGATGAGACTCACTGGTGATCTTCATATCGCCAACTGATATTTTCTTTGGTCAATGCAATCGAGTTTTCCCAAATGCCAATGGGAACAGCGACCAAAGGAGAGGAGAGAGAGAGAGAGAGAGAGAGAGGAGAGAGGAGAGAATGTGTGTGTGAGAGAGAGAATGAGAGAGGGAGAAAGAGAGTGTGAGAGATTGAGAGAGAGAGAGAGAGACATAGAGAGAGAAGGGGATCCACAGTCTGTCACCGCTATTATAGACGTCACTGGGCACCAAAACTTCTGCTCGAGTTTTCTTTGTTTTCTTGATCAAACAATTTTCTGGAAAGTTCATTCAGAAATTGGTTGTTCTTGAAGTAATGATCATATACTCTACATATGAAAGAAGGTATACCCATCACTGACTATCTAAATGAGTTCATAAAGATTATTATAGATCTAAAAGATATCAGTGTTAAAATTGATGATGAAGATCAAACCCTTTTCCTCTTCTTTTTTTTTACCTACTTCAAATGATCATTTTACGGATACTCTGCTGCATGGAAGAGATGATATTTCAGTGGACGATGTCAAAGCTTTATTAAACTAAAAGGAATTAAAGAGGAAAGTACTAGAAGCTCATTACATAGATTGAGTAGATAACTAGATTGTTTGATAGAAAAAAAATAAAAAAGGAGTTGGTTAAAAGCATAGGTCAACATTAAAGTCCAAGCCAATGAAGATGTGCAAGTTATATGAATCTAACCAGAAAGAGCATATCAATAAAGAACGACCCAAATTTAAGGGGAAGTGAAAGATTTAAGATGAATCTTTTTCTAGTATAATGAATATTATTCAAGAGGAGACCATTCAATTAGAAGAAAAGAAGGCTCTTGATAATAAATGGGTGTATTGTATCAAAGAGGAGCTTGATGGGAATCAGAGATATAAACCTAGACTAGTTGTTAAGCAGTTTCAATAGCAAGAAGGTATAGATTATATCAAAAAAAATTCTTCTGTTGTAGAATTCACTACAATAAATTTGGTGTTAAGTATTGTAGCTAAAAAGAGTCTTCACTTGGAGAAGCTCAATGTCAAGATAACTTTTCTTCATGGAAAGTTGGAAGAAGAGATCTATATGATGCAACTTGAAGAGTTTATTACTCGTGGGAAGGAATATCAAGTTTTCATGTTAAAAATGATTATATATGGGCTGAAGCAGGCACTAAGAAAATGGTATAAAATATTTGACAATTTCATGATCACAAATAGTTTCATCAAATGTGAATGCATCACTATTATTATCTGAAAAAAAATTGAGAGTAGGTATATGATCTTACTACATTATGTAGATGATATGCTAATTGTTAGAGCCAATATATAGGAAATCAACAAGTTAAATCTGATGACAAAGGCTATCATCACAGAGAAACTGTGGCTGTGTAAAGCCTAAATCAGATTCAATGCTTTCCAAGTGGGGGATTGTTGTCCTCTGTGGAAAGAAAAATATGAAGAGAATGGTTAGCCCTATATCAGATATTTTGTTGTGGGGGTCACCACTCTGGACTATAAATAAAGAGCCCTTGTAGAGGGACAGTAGTTCAATGAAGAGAGAAATGGGGTTTTATGCACCTGTGCTAAAACCTCTGTATAATAAAAAAAAATGCTTCGATATAGATAGTGAAGTTCTCATTCCGTTTTCTTTTTTGACCATCCGGACTCTTTCTTGAGGTCTTCTGTTGCCAGTAACAGAGAGAGTGAGAGCTATTGGGCTCTCGGTTTTCTCTTCTTATCTAAAAAGGTTCCATTTACAACTTCAACTTCTATGGAACGAAAGGCCTCAACGAAACCACCCCAACCTCAACCAAGTTCCCTACCAACACCACCGTCCGGATCCCCTTCACCTGCAGTACCATGACCGGCATCTCCGACAGGTGGCTGGTGTACGCTGTGAACAATGATGACACCCTAGAGGCCCTCCGAAGAGTAATAGGAGACATAGAGCCCGCAGCTGCAGGCTCTATGTGAAAACAGAGGATGACGGGGAAGAAGGGGGAGAAGGGGGAGAACAGAAAACTCAAAGGAGATCGGCCGTCTCGAACAGGCCAACCCCGTGCTCTTGTTGTTTTCATGTTTCATTTTCCGTGCTTCCTTTTCATAGGGAGATCTTTGGATTTCTAAAATCTGTAATTCGGAATTCACATATCTTGTCTGGTTGAATACAATTAGCCCTCAAGAAACTCTGTAGATTGTATGCCATATTGAATTTCAGTATAGAATACTTCGAAATCTTCCAGACGTCTATCAGACAGGCATTTCCAGCAGGCACCCGGTGCACGCTGTGAGGAATGGTGACTCCCTGGAGGCGATCGCCCGGGACATCTTCGACGGGTTGACGACCTACCAGCAGATCTCTCCGCAAACAGCATAGTGAATGCGCCCTGATCAATGCGGGGCAGCGACTGTTCATCCCCCTCCCCTCCAGCTGTGATGAGGTGGACCACCACAATACGGTACACTTGGCTCACGTAGTGAAGTAGGGGAGTACCCTGGCGGAGGTCTCCATCGAGTTTTGGGCATCACAGGCCGCGCTTATCAACCTCAACAACATATCCGACCCCAAGAGCCTGCTCGTGGGCCAACTCCTCGACATGTCCCTTAGCGGTGGTTGTCATCACTCTGGCATCTTCTCACTCTGAAAATTCGCTTCTCCACTAACTTTGAGAACTGCGGGGGGCAGCTTGCTTCTCGTCCTCAATTTGCTACGAGTCCACGGACTCTAGCCTGCTTATCCCCAACGGTAGCTACAGCCTGACCGCCGGCAGCTGCATTAAGTGCATGTGCTACGGACCTGCGACGGAGTGAGAACTTCTGACTCCCTTCTCCAGTCCACGAAACAACGCCCCTTTCGGCGTATGACGATTCCACCGCGATCTCCTTGCCATGCTCCTTTAGGATGAACTGCATGGCTCCAGATTCAATTCTCGACAGAACGAGTGTATGCATCGTGGAGCTTTGTTACTCAAGAGTACTATCCCCGCCATAGTTTGGAACCATTTACGCCGTGCCTCTACGTCGGCTTTCTCCGCCAAATAATCTTAACTACCATCACCACCCGATATAGCAATTGTAATGAGCTGCTGAACCCCGGGCCGCTGATGGTCGTTCTTCTTAATTGTCTTTTACATGGATTCCATCGGCCTACATCGGCGGCCGGTTGACCTAATTTGTACTTCTCCCTAGTCTCGGTTCGGGGAAGATAGATATACTCCGTCCGGAGAGAGATCCGTGAAGCGGAAGTTTCTTCTGCGCAGGCCTTGCCTCCTGCCTCGGTTCCTCTTCCCCGTCCTGTAGGACTGCGGAGCAGTACGACGCCACGCCGGTCACTTGACTGATCACAGGTCGATTTCCTTATTCGTTGTAAGCCCTAGACAGATTCTTGTGCTTCTATTCCTTTACCCTTTGGTTCGATTTTTTATGATGCAGGTCCACCCGCCTTCAGTACAAACGGTACAATTAAGAAAGCCAACAGATGGTGACGGAGACGGCTCATCCGTAGTGACCAGATTCTCTTCTATCATCTTGTTCCGGTTCCGTAGAGTCCCTTATTAATGAAACATAACTCTATCATCATGAAGATGTGAATTCCTAGAGGAATGTCAATCAGTTCAGTCAAATATTTCCGTGATTTTTACATCACATGTCGTTTTTTGTTGAATTTTATGCACCGCATTTAAGTTAAATAGTTAATTTACTAAAATCCTGAGTTTGAACAAGAAAAACTTGTTATGATTGCAACATACTGATTTTCATAAAAACAAAGTCTCAAATGATAACTATTTAAATGATTAATTTTAAGATAGACAATTGTTACACATGAGCTTGGAATACATACGAGCACATGTTGCAGTAGTAAGGCCAATGTTTGGTGATGCTCTTTTATCTTGGTTTCTTGTAAAGTTGGTGGGGCGCATTTGATACTAGATTGGACAACCTAATCTTGGGTTAGGGATTGGATTGAATAATTCAGGAGGCGGAAAAGGGTACCGATTTTCTATACTTCAGATTCCGATTGCCTTTTAATTTTCTTCCTCCCTTGTTTTTTTTCAATGTAAATCTCGTGTGCATCATCATCGATATCTTTCTTTCATCCTAAGTTCTCACTTATCTGTTGCCCATGTGATATTATGAGGTCTGTCGAGCCCAGGGTTTTTTCGTCAACGATTCAGTGGCCTTCTCACCACCGCTAAGCTACATACACGGCCTCGTAGGCATACACACAAGAAGAGGGTACATAATGCGAAAGATGTCAACGGTAGTTGACCCAAAAACTTTGTGATGAGCGTCGTAAATGCCCTCGATGGACAGCACCAGTGGTCGTCACACATTTTGACTTCTGGTTCGCCTTGTCTTCATTGAAACATTTCTTCCGATCCTCAGTTGCAGCATCAAACATGAACTGTGTTGGAACTGTTAGATACAGTCGTACAAATGGACTTGCCACAGCTTGGCTAATGAGCCAGTCTTGTCTTATGGGCAGTCCCTGACTATGTGCAACGTTTCCTTCCCTCTTGTCGCCGCCAGCCCACTTTCTCTTTGTTTACAGTAACTAGTCTAGATGAATGAATGAGATTATTATCGCAGTCAAACAAAGCCGGAAAGAACAAAAACACCAAGGGGTTGTTTGGTAGATGTTGAAAGGTTCGTTCCCGCCAATGGCAGGAAGAACAGCACCGAATGAAAGCTTGAGAGAGAGAGAGAGAGAGAGAGAGTCAGGGAGGGACGCCCCGTCGTCAGAGCTTGCTGCGGGAGGTCCCCATGGCCCTCGCCTTATCCCTGAGGACGAATTTCTGCGTCTTCCCCGTGGAGGTCTTGGGGAGCTCCTCCACGAACACGACAGTCCTCGGCGCCATGTACCGCGGCAGCCGCGACCTGCAGAAGGCGATGAGCTCATCCGCCCCCACCCGCGCCCTCTCCCTGAGCTTCACGAACGCGCACGGCGTCTCTCCCCAGTGCTCGTCTGGTCGCCCCACCACGGCCGCCTCCAGCACCGCCGCGTGCCCGTACAGCGCCGCCTCCACCTCTATGGTGCTGATGTTCTCCCCGCCGGAGATGATGATGTCCTTGGACCTGTCCTTGAGCTCGATGTACCCGTCGCTGTGCCGCACCGCCAGGTCCCCCGACCGGAGCCATCCGCCGGCAAAGGCCTGCCTAGTTGCGCCGCCGTCCTTGTAGTAACCGCTCATCACCGTATTCCCCCTGAACATCACCTCTCCCATGGTCCTCCCATCCGCGGGGACGCTCTCCATGGTGGCGGGGTCCTTCACGTCCACCGCCTCCAGCGCGACGTGCTGCAGCCCCTGCCGGGCCTTCACCCTCGCCCGCTCCAGTGCCGGTAGCGCGTCCCACTCCGCCTTCCACGCGCAGACGGTGGCTCCCCCATAGGTCTCCGTCAGCCCGTACGAGTGCGTCACCTCGAAGCCAAGCTCCTCCATCTTGAACAACACCTCCGCCGGCGGCGGCGCTCCCCCAGTCACAACCCTCACCACCTTCCCGGTCGCCGGCGCCCTGTTCCTCCGCCGCTGCTCCGCCTCTGGCGAGTTGGCTATCGTGTTCAGCACCGTCGGTGCGCCACCCATGTTCGTCACCCCGTGCTCGGCGATGGCGGCGAAGATGGCGCCGGCGGAGACCTGCCGGAGGCAGATACTGGTGCCGGCCTGCGCGGCGACGCCCCACGCCATGCACCACCCATTGCAGTGGAACATGGGTACCGTCCACAGGTATACCGGCGCGGCGGGGACGTTGCTGAAGAGGACGGCGGCGATGGCGTTCAGGTATGCGCCTCGGTGGCTGTAGACGACCCCCTTGGGGCTGGAGGTGGTGCCGGACGTGTAGTTCAGGGAGATCGGGTCGCACTCCTCCGCCGGCCACCGGATCTCGAAGTTAGGATTCGCTCGCCGGAGGAGATCCTCGTATTCCAGGCTCCCCGGAGAGTCGCCGGCGGAGGGAAACTCCGATATGACCACCAGGAGGGGTGGAGGCGCCTGGTTCGCCTCCGACATCAGCTTGAAGGATCCCATGGCGACCTCCAGGAACGGGTGGTCCACGAAGAAGACTCTGGCCCCCGAGTGCTTGAGGAGGACCGATAACGTGGCGGAGTCATGCCGCGTGTTCATCGTGCACAGGACCGCGCCGGCCATGGGAGCGCCGAAGTGGAGCTCGTACATCGCCGGAATATTTCGGGCCAGAACAGACACCTGAATCAAAAGTACAGACGACCAGGGATCACTGGAACTCAACCGAGGAAGACGAAAGAGGAAGATTTCCCAAGCTTAAGATACGAGAAAAGGAAGGAAGATAAGTGCCCGGGCCACGGGCAAATACTCAAACAGGTTGCAGGCCAGAGTGAAAATCAGCAGAAACGAGGCGTAACTCAAGAAATTTGCATGTGAGGAGCAGTTTTGGTAAGAAAAATCCAGACAGAGGTGAACTCCAACCATCAAATCCAGATGGTTCGAGTATGTATGAGATAATCCGCAGCTAAGTAAGATGGAACAAGTTCTTCTGGAACACAGGAAGGAGGGTTGGCGGTAACATGAATTGTTTCCAATGGTGGTGCATGCTTCTACCATGTCTGCCGGTATGAGGTCAATCAATGGCTGAAAAAAATTAGGGAAGAACTGATGAAATTTACGTTCCTCTGTCCAGATCAGATTATCACCTCCGAGACCGTGATTTCCTGCATGATCTTTGGTTGGATCGCAAAATATCGAAGGGAAATTGTAGAGTATTTTCAGCCCATCCCACCTCTGGATTCAGTGGAGTCACTGCAGAGCATCTTGCCAGCGGGTGATGAATGCGAGAAATAAAATATAAAGACCAAAAGGAAGCATATGAGACGAAATCCGAATCAGAGATGAACTAAAAGGGTTGCAGGAAAATATGCCGGACAATCAAGACAATCACAAAAGAGATAAAGATCCATCATGCAGCCAAGATTATATCGGTCACAAATTATGCGTAACCTGTGGGCTCCTCAGAAGATGAATAACTAAAAAATCTCATTAAAATCAACAAGAATGACGCTTCAGAAATCCACGGCGAGCCCGACAACGAGATCGCTGAATGTGGGGAAGAAAAAATAAAAATCGCCCAGGAGACAACAACAACGGGATCTCACAAAAAAAAAAACCTAATGATCTACGAGGATAAAAGGGAACTCACCACATCTCCGCGGACGACCCCCAGCTGAGCGAGGGCCGATGCCAGCCTCAGGCACCGGCCCCGCGTCTCCCTCCAGGTGAATCTCCTCGAGCCGTCGACGACCGCCGGCCGATCCGCGTACACCACCGCCGACCGCTCCAGGAAGCTGATCGGGGTCAGTGGGACATAGTTGGCGGAGCACCGGATCGTCCCGTCCATCCTCTCTCCTCAGCTCTGCGCAGGGCTCAGCGGATGCCCCGCCGACTTGCAGAAGACTAGTCGACCGTCTCCGGTCTAGAAAAGTACAAGTATTTCGCGGTATGTGCCGGCGGAAGTGGACGTCAAGCTGTCCAATTTGCCGTGACAGGGGGGGCATCGCACTGATGTGTGACGTTATGGAAATCGTCATCATCAATAATCACAGCCACGGGACTTTTCTTGGATTTTTGTAGTCACCGAAAAACCTTTAATTAAATAGAAAAAACTATATGGTCACCTCGAGGTGATACAGACATGCATGGGGACTGGAGGAACGGTCTCTAAAACTTATGCAGCTGCTTAGACTAAAATAACCAATAATTTTAATCACCCGAGTATGGTTTTTAGTTGACTGTTTTATTAATCGCAAGTTCGCTCAGATAATGCTTGATTGAAGTTTTCTATCAAGATTGATTGGTTGACGCCGGTCGATCAGCAAGAATTAACTTGAACTAGCCAAAGTCCAGGTTAAAGTCCACCGCTGATGAAGAGGAGGCAGGCGAATTCCCCCGCTGATGCAAGATCAACGGTAAAGATCAAGAACCAGAGAGGAGTCCCCCAGTCTTCTTATAATTCAAACCATTCAATCACATTAATCTGACGACAAGAAGATGAAGATGAAGATGAAGATGAAGATGGTTTCAAATCTCTGCAAACTTTCGGTGATTTCCACGGTAACTAACATTATTCCGAAGGCGATTCAAGATCATTTAAAACCGACCCATCTGGGCAAGAGCACAATGAAAACCGAGGAGATCTGAAGAAAATATACCTTGGGGTGAGAGATAAATCTGAGAGCAAAGAGAAGATGCATGTAGCCCTTAGTGGAGAAGGAACTCAACTGGTGCAGGCGGAAACGTCACGTCCAAGCCCGCCTCTCCCCTCGTTCCGATTGCTTGGATCTCACTTTAGGAAACCCTACAGGACGAGTACAGAGAAATAGAGAACATGTAGTTGTCAAGAAACCCCCTCTCCTGCTCTCTCTGGTTCATTTCCCGTCCAGGCATAAATCTCAAATTCCATGTTTCAGGTACCACGCTTTGCATTAGAGACTAGATAAGAAAAAATCGTCCTTGTTTTATCCTTTCTTCTTTCTTTCTTTCTTTCTTTCTTTTTTTCTTGTCATAATACTTCCAAGCGGTAGACTGTATTTATTTCTTGGGAAGCCATTGAAGGTCCAGGCTGTTAAATCGTATATTTATTTCAACAAAACTAGCGGCAAGAAGATGAAGAACATGCGCCACAAATCCTCCAAATGAAACTAACAGTATACGCCTTACATGGTAAAATCAACTAACGATTAAAGCTTTTCTAAACAAGAATATTCAGTGCCTAAATTTTTTATATTTTAATTGATTTTATCTAAAGAAATAGCCTTTCCATCTGCTGTCGTATCTTCCACTCTCACATATTTCATCAATATTGGTATGGCGTGTATGAACCAGGCTAAATGGGATCCAATACAGAAATATGGTACATTATAAGCAAAAATAATATGGGACCCCAATAACTGGGAGGAAGAAGAAAGAGGAAGATTTCCCAAGTTTTAGAGACGAGAACAGGAAGGAAGATAAATGTTCAGACAAACGAGCTGTATTTCAAGAAACTTGCATCTGAGGAGTAATTTTGTTCATAAAAATCTAGACAGGTGAACTCGAATCGTCAAATCCAAGACAAGGAGTTGTGAAAACTTACCCTCATTCTGACCAGGAGAAGTGCGCGATTAACTATTTTCCCCGGACAGGGACAGTTCGACTATGTATGATATAGTCCGCAGGATGGAGATAGGGCTATGTAAGATGGAACAGGTTCATCTGGGAGAGATGAGGGTTGGCAGTAAAATTCATTGTTTCCAAGAGTGGTGCATGGTTTTGTCAGAAGAATGGTTGGGGTTTTGCAATATCAGCCGGTATAAGGTCAGTAAATGACTGTTTACTACTAACACAGTGGAATCCAACTTCAACAAAGGAAAAAAGACGAACTTTGAAAGCACGCACGTAGCAGCAAGATACCTTAGAGAGATGATGCACCCATCATGGGTATATGTCCCTTGGACTGATAAAAGAAATTATGTTTCGAGTGTCCGGCCAAACATAATATAGAAGAAATGCCCAAGATTAAAATTTCTTTTACAATTAAAATGGCCGGACACTCCAGACGCAACCTCCATCACGTATCATTTAACCTAAATAATCTTGTAGTAAACTCAAAATTTCAGTTTGAACGTGAAAATCTTGTCACAATACCCCCATACTGATTCTTATAAAATAAAGCCTCAGGTGATGCCTATTCAAATTATTAATATTAAGCTGTTACATATGAACAGTGTTTAACCTAATCTCAGGGTAGGGATTGGATGATTAGGGTGGTGAAAAGGGGGGGGTGCCACTTTTCCATGGAGAAGGGTTAAATTTTTTTCCATAGTTCGGATTCCGATTATGTATTTAATTTTTCAATGTTAAAGTGGAGGAGACATTTGCTATTGGATGATGGGTGTTTAACCTAATCGTGGGATAGAGAGCGGATGATTAGGGAGAAAAAGGGCGATGCCTTCCCATTCAGAAGGGCTGATTTTTTTTTCCCATAGTTCGATTCCGATTATGTCTCTTATCATTCTTTCAACGTAAATCTCATCTGCGTCATCATCGATATGGCTCTTACATCTTAGATTGTCAGTTCTCTATTGCCCGTGAAATATTATGAGGTCTGTCCGGGCAAGGTAGTATGTTAGTTCTACTTCTATTCATACTTTGGAGACAAGGTACAGAATTTCTTCAACTGATTAAATACAAAAAGGATTAAAAAAACCAACGGTGGGAAGAATTGAGACCCCTTTGAAACACTTAGTATTTTCTACGGCGTCTTAATGGGTTTCTTCTTATGTCAACGGGTGAATCCAATGAAGCATTGGCATACGATCATCACTCATCTCGCTTGAGCGCGTGTTGCTAATCCACGGTGGTGTCACCGCTATTATAGCGGCCACATGGCCCCAAATCTTCTACCCTGGCGCACAGTTCCTCTCTCTATGACTGGTCAAAATCAATCAGGCCTCTCCCGGGGGGGGTGGGTCCCAACGGACTCTCATGCATATCTCCCTCTCTCTTTTGTCCCTCTCAACTCTTCCTCAATTTAAAGAGGATCGACGTAGGAAAGAGAGAAGAAAGGGAGTGAATCATGCAGGGGCTCGAGATTGTTTATGAAATAGGTGGGGGCCGTTGCGGCGATTGACACCCGCGGAAACCATCGACTAGGAAGCCTCCTGATAACGTATACTAGGAAACTCCTCCCATTCCTCTCTTCATCTCGCCTGACCGTCACACAGACAGATATTTACACATATTGACCGTGAAAGAGAGAGAGAGAGAGAGAGAGAGAGAGAGAGAGAGAGAGAGAGAGAGAGAGAGAGAGAGAGGGAGGACTAAGGGAGGAGGATGGTTAATCTCGATACCTTCTTCGATGCTTCCGGCGTCCTGGATCATAAAATGGTAACAGGAGCAACAAGTGCTTCAAGAGAAACGAAAGAAGGCAGTGAGGAGAAGGATGACACGCTCCGCTGGCCCGATGGTTCTTCCACTCCCCCTGCTCTTCCTTTTCCTCCTCGTCTCTGCCTGCGTCGCTCAACCCCCTCCGAAATTCCGGTGCAGCTCCAAGTCCAACTGTCAGGCCTTGGCCGGGTACGTCCCCCCAAGGGAGATGACCTACGAGGCCGTCAGGGGGCTCTTTGATGTGGCTTCCTTCTACGACCTTTATGGAGCCAACGGCCTCAACGAAACCACCCCGACCTCGAACAAGATTCCCTCCAACACCACCGTCCGGATCCCCTTCACCTGCACCTGCGGTAACGGGACCGGCGTCTCCGAAAGGCGGCCGTTCTACGCTGTGAAGAATGGTGACTCCCTGCTGGCGATCGCCGGGGAGATATTTGGCGGTTTGGTGACCTTCCAGCAGATCGCCGCCGCGAACGGCGTAGCGAACGCCTCCCTGATCAACGCAGGGCAGCGGCTCTTCATCCCCCTCCCTTGCAGCTGTGATGATATCGACATTCACACGATTCACCTCGCCCACGTAGTGAAGCAGGGGAGTACCCAGGCGGAAGTCTCCAGGGAGTTTGGGTTGTCGGAGGCGTCGCTTATCAGCCGCAACAGCATATCCGACCCCAAGAGCCTCCTCCCGGGCCAAGTCCTCGACGTTCCCCTAACCAGTAATTGTCATCTCTCTGGCTTCTTCTTCCTCTGAAAATTCCCTTCCCGACTGACCATGAGGATTGCGGCGGGCAGCTTGCTCCTCGTCCTCAATTCACCGGGATTCCCCCGACTATGGCCTGCTTGTCCCCAACGGTAGCTACGCCTTGACTGCCGGCAACTGCATCAGGTGCACGTGCAACGAACAGTCGGCGGAGTGAGAACCTCTCACTCTCTTCTCCTTCCCCCGAATCAGCCTCCCGCATTTCGGGCGTATGACCACTCCACCGCGATATTCTCGTCTGGTGCTTCTTGAGGCTGTGGTGCGTCACGGCTCCAGATTCGCTTCTCAACACAACTTTGCGTTGTAACCAGCAGCTCTGCAACTCAAATGAGTCTCCCGACCATCAGCAAGAGATTCAAATCCCTTACATCTCCGCATGTATGGTCACCTGGTGCTTCTACGCCGGCTTCGACAGCGGAAAAATCTTGACCACCACCACTTCCAGTTCTACATGCGGTGAGCTGCACGACTCCGGGCCTCTTATGGCTGTTGATCTAGTGTCTCTTTGACTAAGATTCCGTAAGCCTATGGCAGCGGCGGATTGCCTTACTTTGTGCCTCTCTCTGGTCTTGGTTTCCGGAAGCTACCGGAACACCGTTGGCAGGGGGATCGGTGAAGCAGGAATTACCTGCGCGCTGGCCTCTCCTACTACTTCTGCTGCTCTTCGCCGTCCTCTAGGGCTGCGGCGAAGGGCGACGCCTCGCCCATCAACGTGACTGATTAAAGGTTGTTTTTCTGTTCTTTGTAGGCCCGACCTTCTGCTTCTTTTTCTTCAACCTTTGCTACGATTTGTTCTGATGCAGGTCTACCCGCTTTCAAGACAAACCGTACGGCTTCTGGATTGACTAAATTGTCTTCTCTCATGTTGTTCCTCCGATTGCATAGAGTCCCATACTACTGTAAAAGAACTTTATCATTATGAAGATGTGAAATCTTAGCGCAGTAACTACTCAAAGAGTTCCATTCTACTGTAATATTTTCACATAATATGCCGGCTTTTATAGAACTCAACAACTCAGTTTGAACAGGAGAATCTCAAATGATACCGATTGTTTTTCTACACCCAATACTCATCAATTTTAAGCTAGATCACTGTTACACTTGAGCTTTGGATTCGTCAGAGCACATGGTGCAGTACTCAGGCCAGTGGCTGATCAAGCTCTTTTATGTTGGTCTCTTGTCAAGTGGGGGACACGTTTGGTACTGGATGACGGGGGTTTAACCTAATCTTAGGTCAGGGATTGGATGATTAGGACCAAAAAAGCTGCCTCTTTTCGTTGGAGAAGGGCTAATTTCAGATTCATATTGTCTCTTCTATCCTTCTTCTTCCCTTGATTTTTTTTCAACGTGAATCTCGTGTGCATCGTCATCGATGTATCTCGTTCATCTTAAATTCTCAATTGTCTATTGCCCGTGAAATATTTATGAGGTATATTAAGTCGCCTTATGACCACCGGCCGTACAGACATGCATACAAGAAGAGTGTAGATAAGAGGTCAACGGTATTGACCCAATAAACTCGGTGACGAGCGTCGTAAATTCCCTTGGTAGACAGCACCTGTGATCGTCGCGCATTTTGACTTTTCATTCGTCGGGTCTACGTGTTGAAAGATTTCTTATGATCCTCAGTTGCATCGCCAAACATGGACTGAGTTGGAACTAATGTCTATGAATCGATGAGATTATTATCGCAGTCAAACAAAGCCGGAAAGAACAAAAACACCAAGGGGTTGTTTGGTAGATGTTGAAAGGTTCGTTCCCGCTAATGGCAGGAAGAACAGCACCGAATGAAAGCTTGAGAGAGAGAGAGAGAGAGAGTCAGGGAGGGACGCCCCGTCGTCAGAGCTTGCTGCGGGAGGTCCCCATGGCCCTCGCCTTATCCCTGAGGACGAATTTCTGCGTCTTCCCCGTGGAGGTCTTGGGGAGCTCCTCCACGAACACGACAGTCCTCGGCGCCATGTACCGCGGCAGCCGCGACCTGCAGAAGGCGATGAGCTCATCCGCCCCCACCCGCGCCCCCTCCCTGAGCTTCACGAACGCGCACGGCGTCTCTCCCCAGTGCTCGTCTGGTCGCCCCACCACGGCCGCCTCCAGCACCGCCGCGTGCCCGTACAGCGCCGCCTCCACCTCTATGGTGCTGATGTTCTCCCCGCCGGAGATGATGATGTCCTTGGACCTGTCCTTGAGCTCGATGTACCCGTCGCTGTGCCGCACCGCCAGGTCCCCCGACCGGAGCCATCCGCCGGCAAAGGCCTGCCTAGTTGCGCCGCCGTCCTTGTAGTAACCGCTCATCACCGTATTCCCCCTGAACATCACCTCTCCCATGGTCCTCCCATCCGCGGGGACGCTCTCCATGGTGGTGGGGTCCTTCACGTCCACCGCCTCCAGCGCGACGTGCTGCAGCCCCTGCCGGACCTTCACCCTCGCCCGCTCCAGTGCCGGTAGCGCGTCCCACTCCGCCTTCCACGCGCAGACGGTGGCTCCCCCATAGGTCTCCGTCAGCCCGTACGAGTGCGTCACCTCGAAGCCAAGCTCCTCCATCTTGAACAACACCTCCGCCGGCGGCGGCGCTCCCCCAGTCACAACCCTCACCACCTTCCCGGTCGCCGGCGCCCTGTTCCTCCGCCGCTGCTCCGCCTCTGGCGAGTTGGCTATCGTGTTCAGCACCGTCGGTGCGCCACCCATGTTCGTCACCCCGTGCTCGGCGATGGCGGCGAAGATGGCGCCGGCGGAGACCTGCCGGAGGCAGATACTGGCGCCGGCCTGCGCGGCGACGCCCCACGCCATGCACCACCCATTGCAGTGGAACATGGGTACCGTCCACAGGTATACCGGCGCGGCGGGGACGTTGCTGAGGAGGACGGCGGCGATGGCCTTCAGGTACGCGCCTCGGTGGCTGTAGACGACCCCCTTGGGGCTGGAGGTGGTGCCGGACGTGTAGTTCAGGGAGATCGGGTCGCACTCCTCCGCCGGCCACCGGATCTCGAAGTTAGGATTCGCTCGCCGGAGGAGATCCTCGTATTCCAGGCTCCCCGGAGAGTCGCCGGCGGAGGGAAACTCCGATATGACCACCAGGAGGGGTGGAGGCGCCGGGTTCGCCTCCGACATCAGCTTGAAGGATCCCATGGCGACCTCCAGGAACGGGTGGTCCACGAAGAAGACTCTGGCCCCCGAGTGCTTGAGGAGGACCGATAACGTGGCGGAGTCATGCCGCGTGTTCATCGTGCACAGGACCGCGCCGGCCATGGGAGCGCCGAAGTGGAGCTCGTACATCGCCGGAATATTTCGGGCCAGAACAGACACCTGAATCAAAAGAACAGACGACCAGGGATCACTGGAACTCAACCGAGGAAGACGAAAGAGGAAGATTTCCCAAGCTTAAGATACGAGAAAAGGAAGGAAGATAAGTGCCCGGGCCACGGGCAAATACTGAAACAGGTTGCAGGCCAGAGCTGGGACACAGGAAGGAGGTCTACCGCACTGAAAGGAACGACACTTCAGAAATCAACGGCGAGTCCGAGATAAAAGGGGACTCACCACATCTCCGCGGATGATCCCCAGCTGAGCGAGGGCCGATGCCAGCCTCAGGCACCGGCCCCGCGTCTCCCTCCAGGTGAACCTCCTCGAGCCGTCGACGAGCGCCGGCCGATCCGCGTGCACCACCGCCGAGCGCTCCAGGAAACTGATCGGGGTCAAGGGGACGTAGTTAGCGGAGCACCGGATCGTCCCGTCCATCTTCTCCTCGGCTCTGCTCACGGGTCAGCGTATGCTCCGCCGGCTTGCGGAAGACCAGTCGGCCGTCTCCTGTCAATAAAAGTTCTCCACTTTTACCGTGACGAGGGGGATCGCAATGGTGTGTGACGTCATGGAAATCGTCATCATCTACTGTAATTGAGACAGATTTTCGGATTTTTTTCTTTCAAAACAAAGTCACCGCAAAATCTTTCAATAAAGAAAATAATATATGGGGACAATGCAAAGTGGGGACAAGGGAACGATTTTTAACATAAGATATGTTAAAAATTTGATGCCTGATTTAGTATGAAAAAATTTGCAACATCTTTCTGTCAAGATAGATGGGTTGACTCCGGTCGATCGGCAGGAGTTGAACTGGTCAAAGTCCAGGTTAATGTCCGCTGTTGATGAAGAAGCAGGCCGAATCCCCCCCTGCGGCTGCAATGTCAATGGTAAAGATCAAGAACCAGAGAGGAGTCCCACAGTCTTCCTATAATCCCAAACATTAAATCATCACATTAATCTGACGACAAGCAGATGAACGTGCTTTCAAATTTCTGTAAGCTTTTGGAGATCTCCATGCTAAGTAACACTATTCTGAAAGCGATTCAAGATTATTTAAAACCGACCCATCTGAACACGAGCATCATAAAAACCTAGGAGATCAGTACGTTCAGAAATAAACCGGAGGGCAATCAGAAAAGGTATGAATCATTTAATGGTGAAGGAACTCAACTGGTGCTGTCGGACCCTCAGGAGTGACCACACGTCGCCTCCAAGCCCGCCTCTCCCCTCGTTCTGATTGCCTGGACGTCACTTTAGGAAACCCAACACAACCCGTACAGGAAAATAGAAAACTAGTTATCAGGAAACCCCTCTTCTCCTTCCTCTGTTTCATTCCCAATACGAGCTATAATCTCTAAATTGTATGTTTCAGGTACCACGCCTTGCATTAGAGACTAGATAAGAAAAAATCGTCCTTTTTTTATGCTTTTCTTCTTGTTGTTTCTTGTGATAATACTTCCAAGTGGTAAACTGTATCGACCAGGGAAGCCACTGATGCTCCGGGCTGTTGAATGGTATATTTATCTCAACAAAACTACCCGCAAGAAGGTGAAGAACATGCACCAAAGGTTCTTCACATGAAGCTTGCACCCCGAATCAACAGATATTTTCTGAGCAGTATACTGTTTACAAGGTAAAATCAACTTACGATTGAAGCCGTCCTAAACAAATATATTCAGGACCTAATTTTTTACATTTTCAATCTCACGTATTTCATCAATATTGGTATGCCGTGTATGAACAAGACTAAATGGGATCCCATTCAGAAAGTTGGTAGATTACATGCACAAATAATATGGGATGCCAATAACACGACTGTTGCGAGAAATAAAGACTGAAAAATTCACAGTTGTTGATATATTGATATCCAATACTTGAATTCACGCTGTTAATACAGAACGATTTTCTTCTCCACCTTCTAATATAAAAGATTTGGATGCGAAGGTCCACGCCGTGGAGGAGAAAAATATTTGAAATTCTAGGAGGACAAACGTACGGGTGTTCGTGTAAATGCATGAAATCAAAGATCACATACAAGCTACTGCCAGTTCTGTCAGCAAAATTTGAGCCAACATTGCAAGAATAAATGCCTGAAGCAATGGCCATCCTCCAGTAGTTCTCAATAGATAATAGTCCACACTAAGGAAAGACAATGAAGGCTTATATTGGCTCAGTTCGGTTTGGCATTTGTATTCCCATATCCTGTCTTCTGCCCCAATATTGTCAGCTGCTCGACAAACTCTGACCCATTGAGGACCTCCGTGGTCCCATATATGACATGCTTAACTGGTTGAACACGCTGCGCAAACTCCATCAAGCTCCTGTACTCGACATAATTCCCACCCCCTATCATGAAAACAATGGCCTCCTTGAATGGCCCCTTCAAATGGGAGACAGATGCGGACCTTGGAGAACGGGGATCAAATGAAAGGTAAGACTCAATCTCAGGGTTTGGCTTCCCTTCCATCAATGCTTCTACCGTCCTCGTCAGAGCCAACTGCCGCTCACCGGACAAGAGATTCTTCACTCCTGCAGTAACAGCGCTGAGTGATTGCCCATAAAGCTTCTCAGCCCAATCAACAATGTTGCTCCGGCTTGATGCTGTTGCAGAGGAAGCAAAAGATGCGTTCAGTGACTTGATCTTTTTTACGTACTGAAAAGCGCAAAGGTCAACCTCAGATGCCAGCAAAGCTTCTTCTATTTGTTCCACTTCTGATTGTGGTGTGGTTTCCATGGCAAGGAGGTAAGTTATAGCAAGCCGGAGCTTGTCGGGCTTTGTTCCTTTCCCCTTTAGAAGACTAACCAAGGCACTCTTGTCAATACTCCCTTTCGTTAACATATCATCCTCCAGTGTGCAGTAGGAATCCAGTGACCTCTCCTTAATCTCACCCAACAGAACAGTGGCAATGTTTGTATGCTTGTCAATCATCTTCTTACGCTCAGTCAGCTCAGGAAGAGAGTTCACAGCATTCATCAGGTGTTTGGTGTTCCCGATAAGGTCTGTGCCATCAAACTCGGCTCCATCTTTTCCACCAGTCCTTCGGTTGACCTCATCCACATCTAGCTTGTACTTCCCCAATTGGGTCTCAATCTCCTCGGCAACCTTTGGAAAGGGTGACCAGCTGTTTGAGATCCAGAACTGATCAGAATCGTCCAACTCGTACGATTTGGTAGCCGATTTCTCTCCCTGCACGGTAAGCCTGTTGAGCTTCAGCCCAAGAACATCATGAACAAGAGCCCTATAACTCCAATCGTGCTGGATCCCAACTGCAAGTTCGAAATTCCTGTCAAAAAGGCAGAGAACTGGACGTTGGAAGGTGCTGCCAAGGTTTCCTCCCTCGGAGAAGAGATTGTTCTTGACAATCAAATGGTCACGAAGTCGCGAATCGAGAGCAGACGCCACCATTTCCGCCGGGCCACCACGGGCACATCGGATCACAGGCACGACCCCGAGCGTCGTCAGAACACAGAACAGTCCCGCGGCAATCCTTTCTACGATGCCCTCAATCTCGCGGTCACCTGCAGATGGATCGTTGAGCTGAATGTACGCGTCCCGCTGTGCCAGAGAGAAGAGATTGTCCTCTAAAGTCACGAATTCCAGGTACTGGTCAAATAACTTGGCGATCCTGTGAGCAGACTCCGATTTGAGAACACCGGCCGCGAGATCCTCCAGGAGTGGACGCGGAACAGATGACGAGAAGTTCAAGTGGAAGCTCTCGTACAGCCCCCGGGAGGCATCGGCGGCGATCCGGGCGACATTTGCAGGAGTCGGCTGCACGAAGTAGATCGCGGGGACGCCTGGAACCGCCTGCCGCTCCTTGTCTATCACGAAGTAGAGTGTGATCCCGTGCTTGCGGAGGTCCTTGACGTGGATCAACGGCGAGAGTACGTCCCGGCAGAAACGGTCCAGGATCAAGATCTTGTACGCCTCTTCGTTGGCGCCGCCCACGCCGCCAGCATTCGGCGGTTGGTTGAGGTTCAGCATCCTCACGATGCAACCTGATGGAGGAACAAACACGAGTCAGAATTCTAGACACCGGACGGATCTTCCGTTCCGACAGGGGGCGAGGCAAGATGGGAGACGAGGAGGAGAGATCATACTCGTCTGCTTCTGCCGGAGACTGAGAGCCATCAGCGTGGAGATCTCTGACTACACAATTAGGGTTTCCTCCACCTCCGAGAACCTCCGACACGGGAAATCTTGGCGGAGAAGCGATTGGGAATTGGAATTTTTCCGAAGCTCGCCAGACAGCTTCCTTCCGCCCCCCGCCCCTCTCTCTCTCTCTCCCTCTCTCTCAATCTATGACCGTCGTCTAAATAGTAGCCCGCGGACCCGCTACCCAGAAATCGGTCCGGATCCTGGTCAATTTTGATTAATCTGTAATAAGGACATATCCCAATTTTCTCAGCTTAGGCCATACAAAAATGAATTAAAAATAATTTCCTTTAATCTTACCACCCTCGAAATTCTTTAACTATGATAACGCCCTCCCGACTTATATATTTCACTCATGTCCTTGATTGACCATACACTTCTACTAGTTGACTTCAGTCAGGGATAAATATAAAAAGCCCAATTTTCTAAACTTGGGCCATAAATAAAAGAAATAAAAATGAGTTCCTTTGAAGATACCACCCTCTAAGTTTCTTTAATTATGATAACCACCTCTCTAACTTAAATTTTCACTAATCGATATCCCTACCGAACGATGCACTTTTAATAGTTGACTTCAGATAGAGTTGACTATAACGGAGGTTGTCAGCGTTTGACGCGATTCATCTCAAGGTGAAGAAAATGGGCCGGGCCCATCCAGCAACCTCATGGTCCTCGAATAAAAACGACTCGGAGAGAGGGGGGGCGGTTCGGAGGTGCCAGAGGCTGTCTACCAAAAGCCAGCACGAGATTGGGGAGACGAAGACCGGTCAACCACAGGCGACCGAGGGAAGGGAAAGGGTGTTGACCTTCATGGCGGCTATCCTTTCACCTGTTTCACGACGGAGGGTTCAGGGATGACGGCGTCGAGGGTCTCCACCTTTCCGTCCTTCTTGGGGATGATGAGCCCATACCCGCCCTCTTTTCTCTTGTATAATATGTTGATTTCGCCTGCCAGGTAGATAGATTGGGGTTGACCGAGATCATCAGAGAAACTTCCAGGCTGACAACGTAGACAAAAGAAGACGAGGGGAGGGGTTTTTTTTTATCTTTACCCGTTTCGTCGTTTCTGAAGCCGTAGAAGTCGTGGTCAAGATTCTCCAGCTGCTCCATGGCCTCTGATAGGGTCAACGGGGGCATTTCGAAGTACTTCGTTCTCACGACCTGAGGTAAAGATCGCCATTGCAGGATCAGCATGGAACAACCAACACAGATGAAGGTTTTGGATCTCAGGGAAGATAGGAGAGGTCACTTCAAGGTCAACCCAAGTCTAAATGAGTTCCCCAACTGGAAAATAGTCCCAAGGGCAGTTCAAGAAAGGTGGTGCAAGATACTATCTGTCATGATGGTTTTTATACTTTATAAAGAAGCTCCGACAATCATGGAAGGCGAACATAAAAAGATCATTTGACCAGATCAACACAGCACTTCGTGGGCTTTATAATGATCGTCTGAGGGTCTCATCAGGGCTGAGAGGTTTGACCTGACCACATTGGCAGCATCAGGGCAAGAAAAAGGAGAGAGTTGACCTAATCCTATGCATGAAAAATTAATACTGTCCCGTTCTCTGAAAACGGTCGTTCGAAATTGTTGAATAAAAACAGATCATCGATCTGAGATACGGGTCAAAATTCTCTACATTCATAAAAAAAAAACAGGCTTTGGAATAAAATCATTGACCCAGATCTATTGGGGATATCGTTCAAGTGAAAACAAGAACCCGTGAGTACAGATCTATCACATCCTGATTCCCACACAAGAACAAAGATCTGATAAATAATGAATATTCATAAGGAAATCTGAGTAAAAAACGTGAGAATATGCTTGTAATGCACAGAAGATATTCACAAGAAATAACTCCCCAAACACTCCAATCCCCTGACATTTTCCAGAAAAGGAGTTCATAATGTAGAGGAAGATGTCGAGGTTCACTCAGTGGGTCCAGAGAATCACGCAATGAACAGGTGACAATTTCAGGTAAAAATGTCTAGCACGAGAACACAAAACCCAACGCAGATCATTCCTAAAGAAACTTTACCCAATCCTCTGTGGATAGAAAAGAAGTATGCATATATGTCCACTGAAAACCACAGGTGAGAAAGAACAAAGAATCTAAGACAAGATAGATTTTTAAGCTGAAAAAAACTGAAACAGTCACAATCACTGTGTACTGACGACACATAATGGGAGATTTCTCAAGTGCAGGAAGAAAATTTGCCCAAGCTGATATATTGCGCCATGATTATCGTTCCAAAAGAATATATTACAAAATATCATGATATTGCGTAGCCAACATCTACACGTGAGAATGATCATTCCAAAATGGCTGATCAGGGGAGAAGGCAAATCAGGCCTGGCAATTTCATATGAGCTAGAAGATGGCATTGTCGAAACCAATTCAATAATAGCAAAACAAGCAATGAGTAAAGGATGATCTCTAACAAAGCACGTTTTCATGGAAGATTTTGTTTAATCTAAGTATCTCCAAGCCGCACCAGACGAAAGAGAAACGACGAAGAGAAGAGACGTTACCTTTCAGAGGGTATTGAAAAGATAAGAGACACGCACCTCATTCAGTATATCCTCTTCCCCTTCCTCGGGCACATTCACCACAACGTCATCTTCCGCCTCCTCTCCTTCACTAAGATCGTCCTGAACATCTGTGTCCCGGACCTTGAGCCGGTTGAATCCCTTCATGTGCCGGCCATGGTCTGTATCCTTCTCCTTGATCTTCCTCAGCTTCCTCTGTATGATTGAGGAGGCCAAGTCTATGCTACCGTAAGTAGTCTCCGAGTCCTCTTCTGCCCTCACGACCCCGTGCTTCTTGGTGAACAGAGTCACCTGGAATAGATACACAGGCAACGCCATTAGGTGATCGCGAATGAGTTCAGTACCCAAAGGGTGGACAAAAATGGCAGGAGTGATGAAGAGGAAGAGATCAGACAGAGAGCCACCTCGCATCGGCGGAGCTTGGGCCCTTTGCCACCGATTTCTCCACCACGAAGGGACAGCCGGACATCGACCTCTCTGACGAGGTGGCTGTGCTTCTGCACCGATTTGCCCAACTTGTCCTCTACGTGCTTTTTTAGTGCTTCTGTCAGCTAATCCCACAGAACCAAAAGCAGAAGACCTTGAATCAGGCACAGACCAGTATACAAAGATAAATTCACAAAAAATTATGAGAGGGAAATGCGGGGGAGCACGCAACAGCTACCTCGAGGTTTTTACCCTGGACAATCAAGCGGACGGAAGAGAGGGCGCCATCCCACGACATGCGGACAGCGGCGACTCCCTTCCTCTTGTAGGACAGAGGCGCCCGGTCCCTGGACAGCGATCGGAGCGGTAGAACCGAGGCATTGTTGAGGAAATCGGAATGCAGGAGAGGCGCTCTAGCGGGCGCGACTCTCCAATTGATATTTAGGAGGGAAGAAGATGAGGAAGATGAGGATGATGATGGCGAAGAAGACGAGGCGGACGGCGAGCAAGACGAGCGGGGGTGGAGATGAATCTGCGCACGGAACCCGGTCGCCGAAGCAACCGTCGCCATTTTGGCCAAAGCCTCGGATGGAGAAGCCCCGAAGGAGAGAGCACGAGTAAGAGCAACAAGACAAAAAAGATCTAGGGTTCCTGAGTCACTCTACCAGTCCAATAGAGAAGAGGAACAGGAAGAACAAGAAGAAGAAGAAGATAAGGAGGAGGAGATATGGCGACAGGTGTGAGAATTCGCCGTGTCAACGGCAGCTGAGTGAAGAAGAGGGCCGAGAGGGGGACCAGTCTGGTTATTCCTCGGGCTCTTGCTGTGGGCGGTAGCAGAAGGAGGAGCCGCCAGCGGCGACGGTGACGGGAGCATTATCCAAAACTATTACTCTCAGATATTTACATTTTAAATGTTTTTTCCATGTATTTTATTATTCACAAAAATGTCATGTCGACCAAGCCATGCCCGGGCTCGGATAAAACTTTTCCGTTACTTTCTCTCCTTCTCTCTCCCGCCCCTGGTCACGGGCCGGCCCGATGAAGGAGAGTAAGCCCGAAGGTTGAAAAACGGGCCACGAGGTAACAGGAGTGGAACGTGTGGGGCCCACCTCTCACGAAAATATCTCGCCCCAACGGATCGTCATGGGCCGCTTCTGACCGCGGAGTCGGCATGACGTTCAACGCAGTCCCTATCTCTTCGAGCGAAACGTAGAAGATGCGAGGCCCAAAGACCACCAATCACAATCCATGGAGGAAATTCCGTGCGGTGACCATGAGATGATGTAGCAGCAGCATGGATATCTCTACGTATGACCATCCCCTGGCCGAGGAGATATTATTCGCGGCGAGGAGCGCACCGGAGGGGAGTATCAGAAGCCGTGGCCAGGCGAACGCCATGTCAGCAGAGCCCTGCTCCTAGATACGATGACGTGTCACGAGCCATCTGGCGGGGCGAAGATATGTAGAGACAACATGCAAGGAGTTGAAACTGTAGAGAGAGAGAGAGAGATATTTTTGCGGTCTCGGGGTTGTGGGGAGGAGGTTACCAGGAGAATCGGCATGTTCGGTGGAGAAAGAGGAGGGCGAACTGGAGGAAGGGGGAGAGAGGAAGAGCCGCCGTTGAAGAAAATATTCCATGTTAGGTCCACAAGATCGGTCAGAGTTGCAGGAAGAGGGGTTGGATAGTTTTGCTTGCCTGCAGAGGTAGAGGAGTGGTGCGTCTCGGTTGGTCTCTGAGGTACGGGGAGAGTTAGGGTTTTGTTTCTCTCTTCTTGGGTGGGGATCGAGCAGAGAGTGGGTATGGGGGAGGTCGTCGTTAGCGGCGGCGCTGATGCGAGGGCGGAGAAAAGGATGGAGAAGGCTGGAGAGGAGCCACGTGAGCGGATGGTGAGATGGGAGAAGTTCCTGCCGCGGATGTCCCTGAGGGTGCTGCTAGTTGAGGCCGATGATTCGACTCGCCAGATCATCGCGGCGTTGCTTCGAAAATGCAGCTACAAAGGTCGTTTCTGTCATTTTTACTCAGGAATTCCTTTCATTTTTCGTTTCTGGGGTCTTCTTTTTGTTGTGTATGTACGTCTGAGATGGCTATTTTTTCCCCTGAGGTCATGGAGTTTTTACACCGGATCTCGTCTTTCTTCCTCGTAGTAAAGGTTTTAGCTGCCTCTGACTGTGATTTCTCCGCATCTGTGTTTTATTTTTTGTTTGAAAATTGCTTATTTTCCGTATTTTATTTCAACGGTGAATTTACAGTTTGAACCAACTATCGTTGCGTTTTGCTTTCTGTTTACGAAAGGAATTTCTAATTAATATATTGAGCTCGTAATTCTGTAAAACTTTATAATGCTTGTGCGGCATTCAAACTGGAAATTGCATTTTCTATCAGCCAGAAAATGAACCAGGCAATTTTGTTTATTGTTTATGTTTTGGTATTGAGTCAAGCATGTCATCGTTCGTTATGTTTAGCCCTTAAATGCCTCTGGTTATTCCAAGTTTCTGAACTGTTGCTATTTACCCTTTTTTGTCCTTTAACCTAAGGGAGTACCCATTTTCTGCTAATGGAAGCAACAAGAAAAATAAAACAAAGAGGCTCATTGGGATTTGGAACGTGTTCATATTTTTTTTGTTTAGTTTTTTTTGTCCATAAATAGTTTGATAGGTTTGAATCAGTTTCGCATGGGGGGTCATATTCAAGTGTAAGATACATTGATTTTACTTCCAAATGGACGATAAACTCGGTATATTATATGTTAGTGGGGGAAATTGTTTCTTTGACCACCAAAAAACTCATTGAGGATGTATCTGTCGATTTGATTTACTTACTGTTTAGAACGCCATATTTCAGGCTACGGATAGTTTTGCTTTTCATCCACATGAAATTCACAAGTGCCATTATGCTCGTTTTTGCACACATCAATTCCGTATTTTTATTATTGTAATCGATATACTAAAATCTCCACATATTTATGCATCCTCAAGTGTTTAATTTTTCCTTGAAATATAAATCTCGAAAATTCTTTTTAAGAGTCCTGCTGATATCCCCCTTTATTTTATTTCATGAACAGTTGCTGCAGCTTCGAGTGGATTTGAGGCATGGGAGATATTGAAGGAGAAGCCCCACAACATAGACCTCGTTTTAACTGAAGTAGAGCTGCCTAATGTGTCTGGATATGGGCTTCTCAGCATGATAATGGAGCACGATAACAGCAAAAACATTCCTGTTATAAGTATAAATCATATGAAAACTCCTCATTTATTTTTCCTTGTGGCACAGCTGTTATAGAACATCCTCAACTCTCTGTTTTTCTGATGCGTGCAGTGATGTCTTCATATGATTCAATGAGCATGGTGTTCAAATGCATGTTGAAAGGGGCAGCAGACTTTCTTGTCAAACCAATCAGAAAGAATGAGCTGAGAAATCTGTGGCAGCACGTCTGGAGAAGACAATCGGTGAGCTCTATTCTTACATCTACTTTAGACCATCTTTCATGACACTGCTCGTAGTGAATTTCCTGTGTTCCAATCGTCATGCTGATCAGCGTCAACGCCACTTCCGTTTGTTTCTTCCTGTTGTCAGTCAAATGGTGGTCCTGGTGGGACCTGTGCACAGCAAGTTGAGAACATCGCTCCGCTGACAAGTGGAGCAAACTCTGAATACAATTCTGCGAGTAATCACTCGAGTGATTTCATGGATTCTCTTCACAAGAACAGGGAATGCAGCAAGAAAGGAAGTGATACCCAAGTAAGTTCTCCTCCCGGAATAAAGATGCGTGTGCCATTTATAGAAAACGTTCTTGTTAATACTTAATGTACATGAGCTCTTTTCTGAGAGCATGTCGTTCTTGCTAATTATGCATATTCCTCGATCTGGATAAAGGAAAATTTATCTGTTCATTTGCATCCTAATCCCGGATTTCGAAGGTGTGATTGTGTCCATCGAGTTTCACATTGACACCGAACACTTTTCCGCCTCTTGCGCAGAGCTCTTGCACCAGGCCAGATACAGAAGCTGAGAGTGCGAGCCTGCGTATTATTCGAGAGCAGAGTGAAATAAACTGCATCAACTCCATTGGAGACCGTATGACTGATCAGAAAGATGATATTTCTGATAAACTGGAGGAGAAACCTCGTAACTCGGAAAATGAAACACAAGGTAAGCTTCTTCTTTCATGTTATTTATAAGATCGGCTCTGAGTTACCATGGTTTATGTCGAAGTATCAACTCCGGTTATATTATCTTAGGTAAAGAAGATCCCAGTGACAGAGAAACTTCTGTAAAGATTGCAATGTCAACGGGCCGTTTTGGGGATCGTAATGTTCAGTATGACAACAATGAACAGAGCTTCGGTCAAAGCAGTTCTTCCAGAGAAGTTGACTTGACTGCTCCAGCGGAGCATCAATCACATCATAACTACGGGCTTAAAAGACGTCGTGTGCTTCAAGCTGGTGTGCCCAACGATCAAGTCCTTGGCGTTGACAACAGTCAGAAGTTCAAACCCCAATTGGAGCTTTCTTTAAGAAAGATTCAGGATGAGAACGCAGAGAAGAAAGTCAAAGATGTCAGTAGGTTAAACCACTCACATTCTTCAGCATTTTCCAGGTAAATTCCCCCCTAAAAACCATTTTTGCTTCAGTGACCAATATCTCTCTTCCTTCTTATCTCATTCTTCTATAAAAGGAAATAATTTCAGTTCGTGCCTTTTTCCAGGTACAGCGCCAGGATAACTCCGTCTCCTCTCCCCCAGTCCACCGACCTCGGAGCTGAAGAACCCAGAGGCTCCCCCGGAGATGGCAGTGGGCCATCTGGTGAGAATCCAGAGCCCACGAACGCTAAGAGCCCTGGCCTCCAGAAGAGAGATGGAAGAAACCCACAGCCCAATCCTGAGTTCCCTGCTCTCCCCCGTCCTGCCACCGGCGCTGCTCATGACGATCCCCGCTCCGGCTATGGCTCCGTCATCCGAACAGTGTTCTACTCACAGTCGGGCCCACATGTGTGGAGCTTGTCCCCGGGGGTTGACCAGCCGAGCCTGCCCTGCCGTCCTGATCGAGAAATCGTCAACGTCCCTGGAGAGAAGACCCATCAGCCAAGTCAACTCCCCCAGAAGCAAATCCAGGAGGGGCAGTCCTCCGAGGAGAGGCTCCATGTTTCGTCCATCACAGGTCAGAGCGGGGGAAGCCCGGCCCACATCTCCGGAGTCAACGTGGAGAGCGTTCATGGCGGAGGCAGCGTCCTGACCTGCGACGGCGCCGAGCTGACGAACCTTCAGCAGCGCTCCATGCAGAGAGAAGCGGCGTTGAACAAGTTCCGTCTGAAGAGGAAGGAACGTTGCTACGAGAAAAAGGTCAGCGCCGACGAACCAACCACCTTCGATTATTGTCTAATTACAGTCTTCTTCTCTACGAGAAAAATCTGACCGTAGAATCGTCTTCCTCGGCGACGATGATCCCCCCGCAGGTTCGCTACCAAAGTAGGAAAAGACTTGCAGAGCAGCGGCCCCGGGTGAAAGGGCAGTTTGTCCGGCAGGCGAAGCCCGATCTTTGACCTTGCGGCCGTTGACCAACCCAGTTGACTACACCCTTTTGGTAGTTACGATTACCTTCTGCTGTAAATAGGATGTAATTGTTGACTAACAGAAGCCGGTCTACGTATCTGTAGCCTCTGTCTGTATCTTTCTCACCCCCTTCCTAGAGCTGACCAGCCAGAGATGGAGGTCATTTTGCCGCACCCTCCTCTGTAAACCACTCTGTATTATCTTCCATAGAAGATTGTTCTTCTCCGTTGACTTGGATCTCCTGCTCATCCGAGCTCTTTCTTTCTTGGTGATCTTGAGAGGTCGGACGAAGATCTCCGAGGTGACTATTCGCGGCTAATATTTCGAAGAAAATCAGGTTTTTTTTTTTTTTTTTTTTTACGCTCTTACCAAGGGGAGGGGGACCAGTCTAAGAGAAATCTTTGGGTGTGTGGTGTCGAGAGAAAATACCCATCTGGCGGGGTTATTCCAATTCCTTAAAATTTGGACCGCCTCGAGGGAAAATGCCCTAGCGGCTGCAACGACAACGTGGGTGGGTCACAAGTTTCGCTCTCGGGACCGAGCTCACATGGAGCTCGACCGTGTCGGCGGGTCTACATGTGCTCGTACACCGCGACGACCCCCGCCGACTAAGGTGGGACGCCCACTTGGCTCGGGCGGACCAATCAGAAGGTCCGAAATTGACCCCCCCCCCTATCGATTTAGCGAGCTACACCTCTTCGTGCGTTGTCCACGTGCATCTGCATGGCGAGGAACCCACACCAAATAAATGAGAGAAAAAGTAAGAGAGAGAGAGGAGCCCGAGTAATGAGGGGGGTCAAATACCCTTTGACTTGTGGGTCAAAACCTAGGGGTCAATTTATCCTCCCCACTCTTGGTTTGGAAAATAAGGTCCTAGCCCTCATAATATGCGTGCCAAGAATGGGCAGCTCCCCTGTTGATCGGTAACGATGATTAATTTATTGATTTTGGAAAAAAAATACTAAATAAATATTGTATAAAGTGTTATTACCGCACATTCGTGATCCAAGCATGGTCGAGTTGATTTTATGAGGTTGAAATGCGCAGAATACGCACTCGCTGTAAGCTATTTTGTTGCCTTCTGAAAGGCCGCCGGATAAACCAGCTGTCGGCTCCACCGTCACCACCCACCCACCTCCGCGGACCCCCACCGCCGATGCCGATAAACCCACCGTCGCCGGAGCCACCTCCGCAGCAGCATCCACAGACGACGACGATATGACCTCGATTAAGCTGCCCGGCTCGGACGCCGACCCCAATGGATACCGCGGCCACGGCAGCCGCGGGCGCGCCGCCTGGCAGACTATCTTCTTCGGCCTCCTCCTTCTCATCTTCCTCCTCGGCGTCACGGCCCTCGTCCTCTACCTCGTCTACCGCCCCTCCGAGCCGCGGTTCACCGTCCTCTCCGCCGCCGTCTACGACATCAATGCCACCGCCCCCGACACGGCGGCGGTCTCCGTCAGCCTGCAGTTCACGCTGGCCATCCGCAACCCCAGCGAGCGCTCCGTCGTCATCTACGACCGCCTGGGGGCCTACGTCGTCTACCGGGAGCAGGCCATCACGCCGGTGACGCCGCTGCCGCCGCTGAACCAGGAGAAGGACAGCACCGTCATGGTGTCGCCGGTGCTCGGCGGCGCCGACGTGCCGGTCTCGCCGGAGGTGATGCGGGGGCTGGCGACAGACCGCGCCTACGGGCTGGTCGCCGTGAGGTTGGTGGTGCAGGGACGGGTCAAGTACAAGGCGGGGCCTTTCAAGAGCCCCTGGTACGGGCTCTTCGTGAAATGCGACCTCCTGGTGGGCGTCAAGAAGGGGAAGCTCGGCCAGGTGCCGCTCCTCGGCGCTGGCTACTGCTCCGTCCACACCTGATCGGCTGCCGCCGCCGCCCTTTCGCCTGCAGATATCTGTAACAAGAGCAGGAGGAGAAGGACCAGTAAATCTCCATCGTTAAACTCCCATAGGAAGCGACAGTGCTCCGTGGACCTCTGTTAAACTCCATTGGCGGGGGGGATCTAAGGTGTTCCTCCGCCCACTGTACATCGCTGTCGTCTGTGTCCAGAGGAAGAAGACGAAGAAGAAGAAGAAGAAGAAGAAGAAACCTTTGTACGAGACAAAAATCTAATAAATACGGGTTAGCCCGCATGTGAGCGCCCCTTGATTGTGCGGTTAGATCCCATTCTGGGAGTGAATTCAGTTCTCTGCGCACTCCGATGCGGCCACTCCTCCGCCGTCGCCGCCAGCTTCCGCTGCCGCTGCCGACCTCACACTCTCCACAGTCAGTCCAGCTCCGTCGGCTGACTTTTATTTGTGGGGCCAGTATTTATGGGCTGGCTTCTCAGGTCACTGGCCCATTAACATGACTGTTGGGCCGTGGAAATTAGCCTACGTCCATTAATGCTCCGTGGGTTGAGTCCTTCCAATGCCAACGGACCGGGCCAGGTGGAATTGGGCCTGGCCAATTGTCCCGCCCGCTCTCTGGCATTCCATTGGACGCGCGCCAACTGCCCGCTTCTTATCCACATCGTTGACCTCTCTACTATCGCACCAACCAATGAATACGTCTTATATCATCCATCCCATCACCTAAATAAAGCTTCACAAACTCTCTCTCTCTCTCTCTCTCTCTCTCTCTCTAGATATATGCATGCAATTGCGAGGCTACGTGATTAGGTCGATGGGGGTGCCATAAAGTTGGTCAACTGGAGAAATAAATACCATGTGGTGTGAGACTGGGAATAAGAGGGGACAAGTAGTTCAATTATGTGGTGAAATTGTATTTAATGGGTATTTATAATATTCTTGTTGAATCCATTATATCTTTATTTTTTGTTAAAATATTAAGCAAAAACTATTTTTATAGGCTATACACGAAGCTAGTGCGCCAATTTTCTCAACAACGGTAAAATTTTTCATCTGTTTTCTTGCCGCCATTAAATTACCAAGGAAATTTGAAAATTATCTCGTGAGTAACCCAATTATATGCTTTTTTAAGACTTTTGTCATCATGTGGTTGACTTTTGTTCATATATCTTCCTATAATTTTATACGTGCATTTGATACAGACAGACAGGTCGATAGATCGAGAGCTAGAGAGAGAGGGATTACTTGAGTGTTATTAAGATCGTGTTGACCCAACGAGCAACTGTCGGCTTGGTCAATCAATCCTCTTTATAGCGGTCGTTCGTCCCTTCTGCCACCCACTGACAGATTTCTATGGAAAGTCAATCGGATCTAAGAAGTCAATCACTGGCCCAATGTTTACTGCAAGAAGAGAAGGCTGGTGTTTCTCCCCCGTCGTCACTCCCGCCAGCGGCGGTCTTCTGCCGGCGATCACCTTGGAGCAGACGACCTCTGAGCTCACCTCGGGGAGACGCTGTAAGTCTGAACGGCTCCATCCTCTGCAGGACACAAATCCTTCTTCTATGTCATCTGATTCCCTCCATGGAAATCTCGTCAGCGTCGGAGAATGCGATTGGGCCGGGGAGTGGTCGGACCTGTTCTACGGCCTTCTTGTCACCTTCGTCTACCTAGAATGCCCGTGGCGGTCGGGGCCTGCATTAAATGCTTCGATGCTTTGTTATTGACTTTCTTCATCGGTAAGAAGATCGGAGACCATGGCGGTCGGTTTATGAATGCTTCCTGTAATTGGAGGAATCAGGGGGGGAAATCGTATGCGGCACCGCGGGCGGGGGAGTGGGGTCGGGAAGGTTGACCAAGAAGCATCGGTTCTGCTCCCAAATTGGACCTCAGACCTCCTTCCCGGTCTTCCCCACCACCATTTATCCTCCTTTCCGGTAGGCCGTGGTCCTTGGTGCTCTCCCTCTCTCTCTTTATTCTCTCTCTTCTCTCTCCGTGTCTCCGTGTTCGACCGTCTATATAAGTCCTTCCGCGGCACGCACGCAGAGAGCAGGCTCCCTGTTGCTCGTCGAAGCTCGGCGCCGAGAGAGCAAAATCACAAGGGAAAGGAGCGGCGCCCGCTGATTCGCTCGCGTTGCCCGTCTCTTTCTGCAGTTGTTGTCGGATTGCGACCACCAGATGAGAGAAGGTGCTCCCGGTTCCATCCAATGTTCTTTCCCGCCCCCACCATTTTCACCTTCAAATTCGCGCTCGTTTATGTGTTCATTCAGACGTCGAGCTTCCTCCTTCTCCTCCTCCTTTAGATTCGGCAGATCCCACGCGGACGCCGTCGCTTTCTTCCCCTCGGTCCTCCTCATCTGGCTGGAAATTGAAATCGACAGAGAAACCCGTGGATTCCGCTCGGCCACAGCCCTCCGCCGACCGGATTTTATCGGGGGTTTGTGCCATTATCGTTCGCCTTCCCTCGTTCCAGATTCAGCTTCGTCCAATTTTGCACGCGGAAAAAAGGATTTTCTGCTTCTCATTGTTTTGACCGATCAGAGCGAAAACTCTCAGCGGGACTCCGATTTAGGGAAACTCGATCTGGGAATTGGCGGCTTGTAAACGACTCAAATTGCTGAATGTGACGCAGACGCGCGTTTGTTTGCAGGCCCGAGCCCTAAGAGCGGAGGTCTTCTAAATAAGAGGATCTGAGGTCAAGGCTGCACATCCGGTTCCGGCGCTTCTGCCCTGCCATTCTTAAGCCCCTCTGCTCGTTGGAACCCACCCTGCAGGCCGTGCTCTCGGGGAACCAGAATGGCATCTGCTGTGATGAATGCAACTACGGTGGCTTTGGACTGGCTATCGTCATCCTTCGATGCGCCTCTTGCCCGGGCTGTTATTTTTGGTGTTCATGTTGATGGTAAGGTTCTTGCTCCGTTTCCCCCCTGCGACCTGTTCTGGGAACCTTGCCTCAATCTGATCCAGCTCTGTTGTCGACTCGTTGTTGATTTGAAGGGCACCTGGTTGTGGAAGTGCTTCTCATAGTTGTCATACTATTTCTTCTGTCCAGAAAGAGCTACAAGCACCCCAAGAAACCTCTCACAGAGAAGGTGCGTATATATGAATCTTTGGGCTCTTTCTTTCGGTGCTTAGCTTCCTCTGTTAGTGTAGCAACATGGGCTGGTATGAATCGCTGGTAATATTCTCTTGATGTTACGGGGGAGCAGGCTCGCACCTTGCTAGGAAATCCATGCTTTCTGGACCGCAGGGCCGTTGCAATGGACTGGTCAACCCTAGGGACATATTTTTTTAATTTTTTCCTCAGATGGGTGCAAATTGGGACAGAGGACATGCTTTCCATGCACATGGCGGGCAAATCCCTCGAGCAATCTTCCTACCTTTTTACTAGCCTGTGACAGTGATGATGCTTTTCTTAAATTCTCTTATGCCATGTCTTACTCTGAGTAGTTGGTCAACAACTCCAAGACTGGACAAAAATTAAAAAGAAAAATGTATTTTTTTCTGGTTTTCATGGGTAAACATATTCCCCCCTTGTTTTTGTTCCTTACAGTCCATAAAGTTAATGTTATTCTCGATGCATATTGCATTTCAATAATTGAACAAAGGATCAGCTGATGCTTCGTCCATAATTCATCAAATAACTAGCTCTGATCCACATCTAGTGTCTCAGTAACGTTCCATAATCAAGTTCTTATGAGAAGGTGGCTCCAGGAGTTGTGATTTTTCACGTAGTCAGTGTTGGCCTCTTTTTTGCATTTATTTGGTTACATCAGCTTTAAAATCTCAATGCTTATGTACAGCCATTTTTATGATCATTCTTATCCTAGTTTTTGGACATGCTTTTTATTCGTCGTTCTCACATCAGTACTCTTGTTGGAACAAGGCCACCTTCTCTGAACAAAGACTTTATTGTCATTTTTTCAACTGCTACTGCGTTCAAGTGTTGTAGTACTAACATCGATTTTACCTTCAAATCTGTCGTAAATATGAGGTATGTTTCTTTTCCTCAGGAAATTGATGAGCTCTGCGAAGATTGGGTCCCAGAACCTCTTCATCCTCCTATCACAGAAGAAATGCTATCTGAGCCTCCTACACTGGAAAGGTGAAGAACGATCAGTGATTCTTGAGTTGTCTTTTTACCTCGCCGGAAAATTTGAAGAAGTCTTCTTGTTTAATCTGATTAATGATGATGAATAACCCAAAAAAAAAAGGTGCATTTGCTCACAGTATTTGGCAGCGTTAAGGTGCCATGTTGTTGTTTTAAGCTTGCGTTCTCTACTGGCTTTCCTGGTGCGCGAGTCTGATGTCGTGTTTTGATCACGGTCTTACTGGTTTACATCCTCCGATGTATGTTTTATCTTCATTCAAGTCTCTCTTATGGTTTTTTTCCTCTGAAATGATTGATTATGTTTTAAAGGAGAGATTGCTGTTGAAGGAACAAGAACATTGTTTTCAAACTTTTTTTCAAACACGTATATATCTTCTTCCGGCCAGAAAATGGGTCAAAATTATGGGGTGATCAACTTCATATCCTAATGAAAGGAACATGTTGAATTCTGCCATACAGAATTCTGCCTTCTTCAAGTACACCTTCCGTGAGTTTATGTTTGATAGCTTCCATGAATTCACTCAAGAACACCCTATTTTCGCTGGCTTTTACTCAGCACCTTATAAGCAAGTATTTCCCTAGTTCTTTCTTGTACACTAATTAGCCTGGTGATCTCAATTTTCCTATGTTTCTCATTGAAGCTGTCTGACCCGAAGATTGGAGATCTTTACGGATGCCTGGCACCCATCCCCGTCTCAATCTAAAACTAGCTTAAAGAATTTGGCATCATTGAGCATTACCTACTTTCAGAAAGTCACTTGTTAACTTCCCTGCTCATAATATCCTATTTCATTTCAGTGCTGCGGGTACACATACCATGATTGATGGGAAGGAAGTTGTGAACTTTGCATGCGCAAACTATCTCGGGTTGATTGGACACGAGAAGCTGATTGTGAGACTAACTTCTCGTCTATATATCCTACCATTCTTTTCCGTACTTGTTCCCATGAAAAGCGATACTGATACTAATTTTTTTGGTAGAATTCTTGTGCTAGTTCGTTAGAGAAATATGGTGTTGGTTCTTGCGGTCCCCGTGGTTTCTATGGAACAATTGGTAATGTTCGTTTGGACTAGCTTTCGGAAATCAGTTTTACTGTATTTGAATGATATTTCTAAAGTGGGTATGTTTTGTTGTTTGCAGACGTGCACCTTGACTGTGAGGAAAGGATTTCAAAGTTTCTTGGCACTTCTGATTCAGTGCTCTATTCGTATGGGATTTCTACTATTTTCAGTGTTATTCCAGCTTTTTGCAAGAAAGGAGACATTATTGTGGCGTGAGTATACTTCTCTTCTCTCATCATTGCATGATTATATCGAATTCTGCCCAGAAACTGAAGTGCCGAGAGCTCTTGTTTGACCTAATATGTTCATCTAACCATGCGTATGATATTACTAATTCAAAATTTTACTCAACTTCTTGACAATGCTTCTATTATGATAATCATTTAATAGGTTTTCGAGTATATAGTTTTGGGTTTCCAATTGGAATATTCTCTTTATCTACATTCCAAAGTGGAAAGAATGAAGATATTTGCTCCCTCTCTCTTCCTCTCTCTAGATTTCGAGCAGAAAATTTTCACCTTTTTGCGTGTAAGAAAGGCTTTTGGGCAGTTCTAGGAAAGCTTTCCAAGGGTTACAGATTCTTTCTTATGCGAGGAAAGATCGGATTTGCACGCCCATGGCGAATAACAAGCTTCATTTTTCTTGTTTTCCAGTGATGAGGGTGTCCATTGGGGAGTTCAGAACGGTCTCTACCTGTCCAGGAGCACTGTCGTGTATTTCAAGCACAACGACATGGCATCACTGGAGAGTACTCTGGAGAGAATCACCAAGGGAAACAAGCGCGCAGAAAGGTTACGTCGCTACATCGTGGTGGAGGCTGTGTACCAGGTATCGTTGACCTCTCTACATGAACTTATTATAAACAGTTGGTAACGAGGACCAAGGTCAATGTGTGCAACTAGATCTTGCGACCCCTGGTTGGATTACATACCCTGACAGACGACTCTATGCGCTAGGTACGGCTCAGTGAAGTCAACACTTTGACTTCAGAAACCAGAGGGCTGCTTCGACAATGTCAGTGCATTTAGCTCATCAGTCACTTTGAAAAAAAAAAAGAAAGAAACTTGGCGTTGACCCCTCTCCTGTTGATGGGTTTAGCTGATACCCCTATCTGCTTCTATTTCACCTGTTCTTTAGACGAGTTTAATGGCTTCTAGTTAGTGATCATTATCTTCAGGTTATAACAGCATTCCTCTCTGAGTCGCCAATATATTTCTCTCTCTCTCTATGATTATTTCTTCATTCCCCTTAAGGTTCTGGAGATGGATCATAGCAGGGTCTCGGAGAAGGGCATGAGCCCTGAACCCAAAATCCTCAGATTTCACGAACCCAAATATCCTATGATCTTCGCTGTTGAATGGCAGAAATGGAGTAACTAGTCAACCTTCTCAGTACCCATGCATGATTTTGACTTTGATTAATGATTCCTCTTCTTTGACCGACTGCAGAACTCAGGCCAAGTGGCCCCGCTTGATGTGATCGTCAAACTGAAGGAGAGGTACCACTTCCGGGTCATCCTGGACGAAAGCAACTCCTTCGGCGTCCTCGGAAGCTCTGGCAGGGGCCTTTCTGAGCACTGCGGGGTCCCCGTGAGTTCCTCCGGCGATCGTTTGATTTATTATTTTCGTCCTCGATTATCTCATTATTCATCCATTCATACTTAATTTCTGATAAACCCAGATCAATAAGATCGACATAATCACGTCCGGGCTGGGGGGCGCCCTGGCGACCGATGGAGGCTTCTGTACTGGCAGCGTGAGAGTCGTCGATCACCAGGTAAGCAGTCGTCGATCACCATGTACCGGCGCGGTCGATTTCTTTGAATCCAGGTGTCGTTGACTTTCCATCTTCGTTGACTTTCAGCGTCTCAGTAGCTCTGGGTACGTCTTCTCCGCGTCGCTGCCCCCTTACCTGGCGAGCGCCGCCATCTCCGCCATTGACCACTTGGAGGAGAACCCTTCTCTCCTGGGTCAACTGAGGGAGAATATATCTCTGCTGCGGAGGGGTAAGTCTCGAGGAAGGAGCACTCTATCTAAATCGCCTCTAGATGTGGAAATCACTGGTTCTGACTGTCCTTTCCCATTGTTGCCATATTTGGAAAACCCAGAGCTGGAGGATGTACCCGGGTTGACCGTCTCGAGCAGCCCGCTGTCCCCCATGGTGTTTCTCACATTGAAGAGGTCAACTGGCTCCCCGAAGGCCGACCAGCAGCTTCTGGAGGACATTACCAACAGGGTAAGGCTGCGAGCCCGCCATGTTCCCGAGCTCTGGTCAACGCTGAGGAGGGTTTATCTGACGTCTGCTCCTCCTTCCTGCAGGCTCTGAAGGAAGACGGCGTCTTCATCGTGACCTCCAAAAGGTCAACTCTGGACAGGTGCCGCCTACCCATCGGCATAAGACTTTTCGTCTCCGCCGGCCACACACACGGCGATATCCTGAAGGCGTCGGCGTCGCTGAAGAGGGTGGCGGCGGCGGCGCTCTCGGAGCCCATCTGAGGGCTTGGGAGCAGCTGGCGGTTGACTTCATGGATTCGATGAAGGGCAGTAGAGATCTGGTCTCTGTGGTCCATGTGAATGCGTAGGTTAACGTTCTCTTCATATCTTCCTCTTCCCCCCTCCTTATTTTTCCCCTGTTTTTTTTTTATTGGAGTCTAGTTAATATAACCAGGACAATTCCTGTAAGATCATGAGGTCACCCCCTTATCCGGGTTCTGCTGCTTTCAAGACTATTTACCTGAAAAAGGAAATAATATGCTGTGCCTGACTTTCAATGCTTAGCTCCTCTCTCTCTCTCCCTCTCCCTCTCTCTCTCTCTCTACACGTGGAAAACTGTATGTCTATAAATATAGATAATAAATGGTTTTATTCCAATGAATCTGATATTTCACTTGATGTGTGTTCTTTCGAGTATAGCGAGGTATGGGATGATAATCTTCATTCTATTTTTCAGGTGAGATAATAAGAAAATCGGAGAGGGTTTTGGACCAGGGAATGAGCTTTTTATATGTATGTATATATGGGCGTGTGTGTGTGTGTGTAAGAGAGAGAGAGAGAGGAGAGAGGAGAGAGGAGAGAGGGAGGGAGGGAGGGAGGGAGGGAGAGGGAGAAACAGAGAGAGAGAGAGAGAGAGAGAGGAGGGCTTAAGTTATTTGTAAAAGAAGAACGACAGGTTTATGGAGAGGTAACCCCACCTGCGGTGTCTGTATCGCGAAGAAGGTGAAGCAAGAGAAGAGGGAGATGCAGCTGCTATCTTCTTTCGCTTTATCCGTTCCGCCTTCGGCAGGCTCTCGTCGTCCTCCTCCCACTCCTCTCTGCGCTTCCTCGGCCACCGCCATGGCGACGGCCTTGCTCCCTCTCCCTCGCGTCTGCTCCTTAGCCGACAAAGGCGGAAGCTTCTCCTCCTCTCTTTTTCATCCTCTCTCTTCCTCCGTCGCCTTCTCTTCCCAGCCGTTTCTCCGCCGGGAACGCCTCTCCCTCCGCAATGCGAGGCCCTTCACCGTGAAGGCCATGGCCCCTCCGAAGCCCGGAGGCAAAGCCAAGAAGGGTGAGGAATTTCCCCTTCTTGGTCCCCCCGGATTTCCCCTTCTTCATCGTGTCTTTCGTTTGATGGTTCGTTCCTGGGCCTCTCGGCCTCTGCAGTGGTTGGAGTGGTGAAGCTTGCCCTGGAGGCGGGGAAGGCCACTCCGGCGCCGCCTGTGGGCCCGGCGCTGGGATCGAAGGGCGTGAATATCATGGCGTTCTGCAAAGAGTACAACGCGAAGACGGCCGAGAAGGCGGGCTATGTGATTCCCGTCGAGATTACCGTCTACGATGTGAGTCCTCTTCTCGTTCTTCTTCCAGGATCAGACGCTCATCATTCCTCAACAATCCATTTAGTTACTTCCTCTCGTGTGAGTCTAATTCAGGCGTGTCGAACTCCGTTTCTGTGGGCAGGATAAGAGTTTCACCTTCGTTCTTAAGACTCCACCCGCCTCGGTTCTGCTACTCAAAGCAGCAGGTACGGCCACTTCTTTGAAGGAACCGAGGACTGTTTGGTGCATAACTTCTTTTGTGCTCCCTTCTCCTCCGATATTTCTCCATGTTTCTCTATTTCTTCGAGAGATGGATGTAGAATGGGTGTGATCCTTCTCCTGATTAGTGGTAGCGGCGGAGAGAAATGAAACAAGATCAAATATTATATGTGCAGATAGATTCGGCTGAACATATCGATTTCATTAGAATATGGAATTTCAGCCGTTTGGGTATTACTTTTGAGCAGCAAGGATCCAGATTTCTCTGCACAATACTGAAACAAATCGATTGGATGAGATGGGTTAGACAATGTTATGATCTAAACTAGCGAAGATGTTTTTTTTTCCATGTTTCTCTATTTCGTCGAGAGATGGATGTAGATTGGGTGAGATATTTCTGCTGATTAGTGGTAGCGGCGGAGATAAATGAAAGAAGATCAAGTATTACAAGTCTCGATTTCATTAGAAAGAAAATGAGTGGATGAGATGGGTTAGATGATGTTATGATCTCCCGTTGTTATTTCTCTTCAGATGGAAGAACAACGGGTCCCTTGTGATTCCTCCGGAGAGTAGTAAGATAATGCATGATAAATGGCCTCTGTTCTTCTCCTCATTTCCATTCTCCTCAGACTTCGCAGTGGCAGCTGTGTAGATTGCTTTCACTCATGCAAATCTCTCTCTTCTCGCTGTCGTTGTCGTCGTCGTCTGTGTGAATTGGTCAACGATGGGACGGATATTTGATCTAGCCAGTATACCTGATCAGGCAGTTGCAGAGGAATAAGGGGACCGCACCATGGTGATATAACTTAGTTTGACCGGCCTAAGTTCATGAGTCATTCCTCAGAAAGATGTTGCTGCTAATTATATACTTAATGGTGATTTTTTCCTTATTTTGTACCCATTTTCCTTGGTCAAACCAAATATTATTCTCTGGTTTGATGAAAAAAAAGGTCAAATTTCTTGTTTTTGACATGATTTTTTTATATTTTTATATTTTAACAACCTCAAGAACCCAACAAAGGTAGGTTATGGATTGCTTTTGAATGAAGGAAGGGCACAGAGGGCTGAAGATCAAGAAAGAAAAACCCTAGTTCTTCCCCGTCACTAACAGCCGGGCCTCTGTGTTTTCTGTCAAACAGGGGTTGAGAAGGGTTCTAACGAGCCGAATCGGCAGAAGGTGGGGAAAGTGACCATCGACCAGGTGAAGGCGATAGCCACCGAGAAGCTCCCCGATCTGAACTGCACGACCTTGGAGTCGGCCATGAGGATCATCGCCGGCACGGCCGCCAACATGGGCATCGACGTCGACCCACCCATTCTCGAACCCAAGAAGAAGGTCGTCCTGTAGAGCGTGGGGGCTTCTGGGCTCTTTCCCTCTTTCCCTCCCCGCCGCCCCTCCCCCCCCAATTCTTCTGTTCATTTGCCTTCGCCTTCACTGTGAATCGGGAGTTCAGAAAAATTTTGTTTGTGCACTCTGAGATCATCTACTAACGCGTCTCTGCCCGCCCCTTTGATCCTCCTTACGACACTTCTGGTTGTTGTGAGATCATATGCTAACGTCGGGAGGCAGAGAGAGAGAGAGAGAGAGAGAGAGAGCTTGATGTGGGTTCCTAATTTTTATAGTCAACGCCTTCATTTGTGGAGTTTGTCAGTGGACCCCGTCTTCTGAAGTAGCGTAGGTCGATTCGGGGCTATTCTTCGTTTGCACATCCCTCAAGATGATGTAATATCTCAAGCTTTAATTGGACATGTTGACTGTAAATATTCACGTGACTTTCGTTGACTGTGGTAGTGGCTGGAAGGACTAATTTGCCCGAGTTTTCAGTTGGGATCATGTCTCTAAAATAATAACAAAGTCAACAATGTTCAACTTGAGAGCAATAATACTCATCTCCCAGGTCAACGCACTTGAGAGCCCGTGGACAGGTGCATCTCTTAAAATAGGGATGAGAAACACGAGAGGGCAATCCCTCTCTCTCTCTCTCCCCTTCCGTCTCCCGCGCCCCCTCCTCCGGTGTCAGATAGTAAAATTTGTACATTATTCTATCTCTGATTTGACGTCACACAGAACTCCTTGCAGCACAAGGTGTTGCTGCGATATGATCGTGATCTCTCGGGTAGGCAGAGAGAGAGAGATAGAGAAAGAGAGAGAGAGAGAGAGAGAGATAGAGAAAGAGAGAGAGAGAGAGAGGTTTGCTCTGAGTCTACAGGATGAGTCCCCCCTTCTCGTCGCCACGATCTTCACTTCCGGCCGGCTCTGCAAATTCCATCCCTCTACTCGATACTGGCCGGACCTGCCACCGGCCACAGCTGTACTGGTCCACAGTCTTCTGCTGCAGTAACCCTAGTGGGCTAGCTCGCAGGGACCGCTCCATTACGTAAGGAAGCTAGCGAGAGAGAGAGAAAGAGACCAATGTTTCTCCCCCGAGCAGCGTCTGGAATCTGACCTACAGCAGAAAGTGCTCCAAGCTTGCCAGTCCTCGGGTCAACCGCCCTCCCGGAGGTCAGATTCCCTGCACGCCCCTCCTTCCATGTTAGTTTGACGAGTTTGCCATGGATGCTCGGGGAGTGAGGAGGAGCCTCCTCCGGTGACCCTCTCTCTCCCCCTCTGCGCATCTATCGTCTATATATTGGCCGCCGCCGAAGCTCCGGTAGTAAAAGTCAACGAGCCCCATTGGAAAAAATTAGGCACAGTACCGTGAGAAGATAGATGGAAGCATCAGCCACCCTCCATCCTCCGGCTGCGCTGGACCGTCGCAGAGTCAAATTCCTCTCTGGGTCAACTCAGCACGAGGAGTTGATGAAGGAGAAGATCTGATGCGCCGCCGCCGCAATCTGGTCGGCCGAGCACAGCGCACACTGCTCCTCCATCTGCCAAACCCGGGCAAAAGCTTGAGCAGGCGAAGGTTTTTCTTACTACTTCTGTACAATCATGGCGGTGGATTAGGGTTTTGCTTACCTTTAGGTTGAAGCAGTAGAAGACGGAGTCGTCGAGGGAGGTGACGTTGAGATGGAGCACCGTCAGATGGAGCTCCTCCAGCGCCGCCACGGCCCTCAGAAGCTGCGCCGGCCGCCGCTGCGTCAGCACTCTAAGGTTCACGTGGGCCTGCACCACCGTGGCCTCCACGTCCGCCACCGCCGTGGTCCTCCGCCCGCCGGCGGCGACGCCGCCGCCGTAGCACCCCTCGGCGGGTTCTTCCTCCTCTGCCTTCGAAGCACCGAAGGGGGACGACGCCGATGAAGATAACGACGCCGGCGAGGTGGCAGCGGGAAACGGTGACGTGTACGTCGTGTACTGCGGCGAAGCGAAGAAGTCGCGGAAAGGGGCGGTGGAGGCGCCGCCGCCGCCGCCGCCGCCGCCGCTCCATCTCGAGCGCCGCTGCTTCTCAGCCTGGAGCGACTGGAGCAGCTGCTCCAGCTCTTTAACAAAGTCAATGGCGCCGCCCACGATCGAAGCCTGGTCTCCCTGAGAGGTGAAACCAGTCAACCCAACCACAACCGCCCGGTACGTAAAAATCACGAGAGACGTTGACCAAACGGGCGATGGCGTTGACGTACGCGTTGGACGAACGAGGGGGGCATGAGGGAACGCAGGGAGGTGAGGTGGTCGTTCATAAGCCGCCGGCGGTTGCGCTCCACCGCAATGTGCGTCATCCTCTGGCTCTCTACCTCCTCCACGTTCCTCGCGGTCCGTCGCAATCTCTTCCGCTTCCTCTTCGCCGCCGCCGGCCCTTCTCTCTTTCCCACCACGGCGGCGCCGCCGGTGGCGACGGTCTTCGCAGCGGCGGCGGCGGCGCCGCTGGGCTCCTGCTTGGACATCGACTCCGATGTGTGGGTGACGCAGCTGTCCAGCTCCCGGCACCAAGGCTCGGCTTCGGGGGGCCACTCCTCGCCGCCCCACGGCGGCGGCGGTGGCGGCGGATGGTACACCGGCGGGCGGCGGAGGCGCTCCTCCTGCAGCCTCAGTAGCAGCTGGAAGGCGCCGGGCTCCGGCGGAGCAGCTCGCTGGTCTTGTTCCTCCAGGAGCATGTGGAGGAAGGGCATCTGGAGGTGATGGTGCGACGCCATGAAGCCCTCTTCTTCCTCTCCGCGGGACTGTTCTCAGAGAAGAACCGAGCCAAAAAAAATTCAACACAGTGAAGAAGATCAGCCTCCATGGCTGGCCGGATAATTCCGCAGGAAGAAGAATAAGAAGAAGAAGAGGGACGGAGAGGTACATAAGACTCACGATTTGATTGATGTGCCCTTGTAGCATGGAGGCGGGTTGGTGGAGGAGGTACAGAGAGAGACTCCGCCCCCCCTCTCTCTCTCTCTCTAGCTTTCTTCCCCGTGTTTCTTTAAGAGGAGGGAATCAACTCCAGTAGCTTCCTGTCATTCCCCTCCATGGACAGCGGCCCAGAATACCTGGAGAAGTAAATGCAGCGGGCGGCGACGACGTCGGGGGAGGTGATGGGGGGAGAGGAGGTAGGTGGAAAGCTTGATGGGGGAGGGGGGAGCCGAGAAAGAGGAGGCCTTGGAGGTAGTGAGAAATGGAAACTGTCGATAGGACTGGATAAATAACCCCCACGAGCAAACCCACCTCGCCGTGGACGCTGATGAGCTTTTAGAGAGAGAGAGACGGGATTACAGACGAGAGAGACTGCCCCTCAGCTAGGGTAGCAGATTGCTCCTGTATGCATCATTGCTGCCTGTTGGGTAGCAGAGTTGTCCTCCTGCTGGGTCTGTCCTTGGCGAGCCCACAGTCTCTCTCTTCTCTCTCTATCTCCTCGATAAAAAAGCAGGCTGAATAGAGATCACCAGATTGCGCGGGTGAAACCCTGGTTTTGACCTCGGCTCTGACGAGGGTCTTCGCATCCCCACCGTCCGTTCGGCGTGGATCCGCCGCAACGAATATATCTGAAAAGGACGCAGCAGTAAGAAAAAAAAGGGTCCCCTCTGAAGGTCCTCTGCATGGCTACTGTCAGCGCCCTCCGGGGAGTCCTGACACCATTGCTGTAAAGCTCTCTGGGTTGACCTCCTTCCTCCCTCCGTCCCTCCGTCCCTCCGTCCCTCACTCCCTCCGTCCCTCACTCCCTCCGTCCTCCCTCTCCGTCCCTCGCAAACCACTTCCCCTCGTACTCACTCCCCTGATCCTACTGTAACAAGCTAGCGAGAGCGAGAGAGAGAGAGAGAGAGAGAGAGAGAGAGAGAGCGAGAGAGCGAGAGGGGGGGGTCGTCCATGATGGGGAATCTTCCAGCGCTAAGGGCCATTGTCCATAGTTGCAGAGGAGTGTTCAACCACGACGGGTGCGGACGAGCTCGCCGGAGAAGAAGACGTTTTCAGCGAGAGAGAGAGAGAGAGAGAGAGAGAGAGAGAGAGAGAGAGGGAGGAGATTACCGCGCAGGAAAACGGTGAGAAAGCGGCATATAATATGGCGGATAAATCAGCCGGAAGAAGTAGTGACCCTGCGGGAACCGCGAGAGGCGACAAAACTTTGGCAGTGGGCACGGCGCGCAGAGAGAGAGAGATGAAGGTAACCGCAGCAAGTAGACAGAGGAAATTATGAATGGGTACGTCTGCGGCGGTGAGGGGATCGATCTTCCGATGGGGATCTCGTCCTCGAATTCTTCTTCTGCCCAATCTTGTAAATTGAACCAGAGATAGAGACCAGAGACTGGATACGTGAGAGTAAGAGCAGAAGATTTCAAGCATCTTATCATCTCTGCAACCTCATCTCCCCTCTGCTTCTACAATCCCGGAGCAATCCTGGGCCTTCGTCTCCTCTTCTTCCTCCCTCTTTCGCCTTGTCCTCAGAGGAAGCCAAGCCTTCGCCGATCTCAGTGGTAAGGTACCGCGCACTTTCGTGGAACCGAGAAAACCGTCCGCGGCCCATCAAATTTTGAAATCTGATTCCGCCGTACGCGAACGATCCTGTTTGGGGGAACTTCGCGGAATTGGATTCTCAGTGCCAGTCAGCTCTCCCAACGGCGCCGTGTCGTTGGCCGCTCGGATCGCAGTCGGGCCCACTCTCCGTGCAGGTTCCACGTCATCGTGGACTTCGTGGCGTGGATTTCCCGCCGCCTGACATTTCCGAAAACGACCCTCCTCTGTCTGTCTTAGCCTGATCGCTGACCGGCTATAGCCGGTGGGCTAGCCACGTGGCAAGAATAGCGCGAAAGGGCTCACCCGTTCCTCCCGCGGGCCCCACGATTTGTGGCCTGGAACCGGACACTTTTACGCGGCTCCCGCGGCCTCACAAAAGAGTACGGCAGCCATATTATCTTCCACGGGTGGCGTTAACTGAAATACCTAAACTGCCCTCCAACCCTGGACCTGTTCGTGGTCTGGAAGTGCTCCCTCCCTCCTCCCACGATGCCCTTGCGACCCTTCTGGCAAAAAGCGCAGCCCGAGCTCACGCTGGCCACTAAAAAGCCGCCACTTGGCGCGATCTGGGAGCCTCCCACGCTCTCTTCTCCAGGAATTTTCCCTACTCGGAAATCCGGCAGAAAAGATAGTGGCTGAGATTTATCCAGTTCCTCTCCCCCTCCCCCGAGCTGGTTTTAGCGGCTCCTGGCCCCAGACCTCGTCTCTCTTCTTCGTCTGCTCCGCCCAAGGGCCAAGTGCTGGAGATCGGTCGCAGCGGAGGGGCTCTGATCTGGACGCAGGGCAGCTGCACGGGGGAGGACTCGTGGGAGAATTGGGAGAGAGGGAAGCGCGGCGATGAGAAAGAGAAGAAGAAGAGAGGATTAGAGGTGGTCTTTGCTTTTTCTTTCAAGCGTAGGTCCCCCGGAAGTACGGTCTGGTCTTCTCTCGGATCTAGAGTCTAAGGGTTCTGGGGAGGTGACTTGGCGCCGCCTTTTTTTGATCTTTGTTTGTCCTGCTCGTCCGGCAGCGGAGCCACAGTGGCGCCGGATTTGATCTGGTGAGGAATCAGAAACGGTCCTTTTGGTTGGTTCTGTGATTTTTCTTTTGGATGTCAGCTGCTTGCGGATGGTGCTCGTTTTGCAGTTTAGTTTTTTTTGAGTCATGAGGTATTATTTGTCTCATCTGGTTGAGCGTCTGGTTGGAGACATGGAAGGAGGATGCATACTCGTTGTAGAAGATATGAAGTGAGCTGGTCCGCGCTTTTTGCTCTTTTTCGTGTAAACTGCGGTGATGGAGGCATGTTCCTCTGGAGAGGACTTGATCGTAAAGGTAGTGTCCTGCCGGAATTCTTAATACCGTTTTAAGTCTAAATAGTTCTCAGTTGATAATTTTAGTTAGTTTCTGTTGTTGACATGGATGTAGGCAAGGAAACCATACACTATTACAAAACAGCGGGAGAGGTGGACCGAGGAGGAGCACAACAGGTTTCTGGAAGCTTTGAAACTATACGGAAGAGCTTGGCAGCGAATTGAAGGTTAGTCGATGGAAAATATTCTCCTCCCTTTCTCACCAAGAAAATGAATCTTTTGGATTTGCATAAATTCATGTGCTACAATCTGACAAGTGAATCTTATTCGTTCTGAATTGGGCACTTGTTCAGGGGTTGACATCCACAAGGGGGTGGTGACGTTGTAGCATTTTTTAAGCATTAAAGATCATTGATTCTTGCATGATAAAATCTTTCCACCGTGAAAATTTTTGAGTATCTTGGGCATTGAACAGAGCATATTGGCACAAAGACGGCTGTACAAATAAGAAGTCACGCACAAAAGTTCTTCTCAAAGGTGTGAGATTTTCGCTGTGTTGGTAAATCAAGCTTTATTTCTTCCTACTTTTACACACGTTAATTATGAAAGTAGGAGAAAAAATTGAGTTAAACATTATTTTCGTTGCTAATTATGTTGTTGTGTACTCTTTAACGTTTACTTTCGTGATATCGTATAGTTCGTTTGTGATGCATGCTGCCTCTATTGGAATTTTTACTAAATCAATGAGTATTTTTTCCGAGACTGCGGATCATGGTCAGAAATATGTTTAACTTTAGATTTATCTTTGTTGCTGCTCTGATTTCTTTTTACCAAGAACTGTTTAGGGTTCATTCCATGCCTATATGCAGGTCGATGGTAACATGGAGAGGGAACCATCCAGACCAAATATTTATTTATGAAGAAAACAATTCCAGCATAGCATGTTCTATCGTTGTCAAGTTAGATGTTTTTATTTATTCATTAAGGATAATTAGCATCCTAATTCAAGTTCATGTAGTTAGCTGTTAGACGGTGTCTGGGAGTATCAATACATTTGCTGCTATATGCTTAATTTGGGAATCATCAGAGTAGTTTTGTAAGAGGAACCTAGGATAGGTAATTGGAATGACTCCTACGTCATCAGTAAGTCTTATGATCAACCGAAGGAGAATTTCATAGCCCATAGTGGTTTGAATTCAAGAAGACCGCCTGATTGACCGGGTTTGATCTTAATCCAAATCAGGATTGTATTGAACCAAATTGCCAATACAACTGAAATGAGAGCCTAGTAAATTTCGTATTACCATTTCCATGTTGATTTGGCTCAGATGACTCAACACTTGTCAACAGCTTAAAGATCTTTCACAGCGGTTATTTAAGATTTTTTTAGTCAGATAAATCATTAGAGTAGCTTAGACAAACCTTCCATTTTTCCTCCGTAATGATCAACTTAAGGTTACGAATCTTCATTTATATACTACGTCCACTTAGGATTTATTTTTAGCTGTATTCTCAGAGATTCCATTGTTGGAAGTCACAAGTCCAAGGAATTTCGTCCCCGTCAAAGTTTGTCTGTGCTGATGTTTAGGATTCCACTTTTGAGACAGTAAACTTTTGGAGAGAATTTTGAATTTTTACTTTTGACAGCTTGATAATCCATAGACATAGTGAAAACATACTTAGAATATATGAAACTTGGTCTTTAAAATCCTTCAATGTCGTAAAAATACTGGGCTGATTGTATCGAGTTCTCAAGTGAAATATGCATGACAATCATGCAAAATCATACTCTATATTTTCAATTATTCTCATTTCGAGTAGAGCTTGAATAGGATAAATCTGCGAACAACCTCAAAATTTATGGATGAAAATGGAGTACCCATAGTGACACACTCCCTGGAAACTGTTTCTATCGAGTCTTGAAACCATGTGTTCGACAGTAAATGATCGAAGATCGTACTCTAATGCGCACTAGAGTTGGTATGTGCTGTTATGAATTAATAATAACCTGAGTCAAAGTCTCAACTCATCATGGAAAGCATTCAATAAATTCTTAATCAGATGAATACCATATCTTATACTCATCTGATGCTGGTGCCACACTCTAAGGTTTCGTTATAATTGAATAGTAAGCTCTGTCACATTATTTTATTAATCCCAATAATTCATTCAACGAAAACACGCCACGACAGGCCAATGGTAACGTCTATAAATTGTCACTTATTATATTTATAATTTTTCAATCACGTTTTTAGTTTTTGCCTTCTAGAATGGTACTTGAGCAGATATGTGTCTGTCCCTTCGTAGATTGTATTCCCTCTTTTCACTTGTATCTCCTCTCCATAACACTCTAAAAATTTCCCATTTTTCTCTTGTAATAAGGTGATTAACGGATAATAATATTAGGCAGAGAGTATCTCCTCTCCTCTTCCTCCTCCTCCTCTAGATCCACCTTCCTACACCTAGAGGTGGGGTATTGGAGGGTATGATCCTTTGAACTGGATCAAATTTGGGGAAGAGGTGTGGGAGCGGGCAGTGGGAAACAAGGCTTTTCCCATTGCTCTCTGCCAGGGATGAGGATAATCTTGCATACCTCTCTGGCCAGCGGATTTAGGCCAATCCAGACTATAACCCCGTGTAAACTCAGAACCATCTATGTACCCTGTGGGCGTGAGGTTAGTCCAGTCCATTAGGCAGATCAATTTCTAGTTAAAAAATTAATATATGATTGGGAAGATGGTGAGAAATAGAAACAGGAAGATTGGATAATTCATGATTACCGTGGGAAATTATGGAACACATTTTTAACCTGAACTGTAGGAAATCGAGCTGTCTCTAACTTTTAGAGCTAAATCTTCTGTATTGCATCATAAAGTTGAACCATAGGATTGGCGCTTGGTCATTATGCTACTTTTCTCAACAGATGTGGTGATTTTGTATCATCATCATCCTATGGTCTTCTATGGCGGGTGTCCGTTTTGTTGAAAATTAGGCCGTTACTGTCCCTGCTTAAATTGCCACTTCCAAAGCAATTCTGGAAGTCTTTTGTCATTTTCTTCGATATAAATAGAACAAATACAGCTAAAACAGCTACAAAACATTCATCCAGGATACGATGGTGTGAGCTTCAAAGTGGATAAAGTGGTTAAGTACGCAAACTTTCAATCTCACGCAGGAAAATCGTCAAAAATTCCCCTTAGGACTTTCCATTTGAAGGTTATCCTTTCCCAACTCAAGTTAAAGCAACATGATTCTTAACTGCTTTCTCCCGGGGGGGGGGGCCAAAAACAGGTAAGAACCTCGATCCTACCTTATACTAGAAATTTCATGCTCTATACCCATGAAAACAAATGAAGGAGGTCAGCCTTTCTATCTTCATATCTGATTTAAAGTGGACGAATACTTTCATTCTTCATAGCAAATCCCGCTTGAATGGAGAAGAAATTTATTTCTTCAGTCCTTGGAGAAATACTTGGGCCGTGCCATTCGAAAGATGACCAGATGGGAGAATTGCCCACTTTGTTATTCATACTCTTATATTGTGGAGGGAAAAGCATGGAAGCATTACAGATCTGCAGATATGAGCCAGACATAATCACTTATTTTTGAGCTTTTTCTTTCCTGGTAAGACGCATTTGAATGTGTGGGATATGCTTTCTTTTGAATGTTCTTGATTTTTTGTGCTGAAGACCACTCTTAGTTTATTTTATCAAGCTTGATATAACGATGCGTTCGATTTCTAATAGAAAACTTACTTCCAGTTAGAAAAAGAAGCCGTATCTAAAGGCATTCCTTTGGGACAAGTTCATGATATAGAGATTCCTCCTCCACGCCCTAAACGAAAACCGACCAATCCATATCCTCGAAAGATTGGTGTTGGCACCGCGTGCCCGTCTGGGGGAGGAAAAGACGATATACCATTAACATATATTTCTTCTTTACATTCCAAGGAAAAAGCAGAAGACCTGCGACGCGATTCTCATGACGAGGTACGAACCCCCCACCGTCTCTTCCTCCCCACCAACCCTCTTTTCCCTCTCTAACCTCTGGCTCCTGTTTATTTCTCCTTCTTATCAGAAACAGGCAGGAACGAAATCATTGAAAAGAACGAAAGAGACTTGTAGTGATAGCAAGTCCTCAGGGGCCCTCTCCCTCTTCCACGAGGGGCCATGTCCTTCCACCCCTTCCTCAAGCAAATCCACCGTCGACCCCCGTACCCCCCTGCTGAAGGAACCCAAAAACAGCCCCACAGTGAATCAGCCTCCCCCCACAGACACACAGAAGAATCCCAGGGCTCCAGACATGGCAGCTATGGACGTCAGAAAGCATGGTGATGGACCTACTAGCGTCGGCGCTCAGGTCAAATTATCCCAAGAAAGAACATCCGGGCTGGTAACCAACGAGCTTAAAGGCAAGATGAGCTGCCCGAAGCAGATCACGGTGTACCCTCTGGAGGGTGATAACAGCGGAAATCCGAGAAGGGGAGTCTCTGAAGTCTGCAACCACGCGGGAGCCCATTCAAACCCCAGCCTGGTCGCCATTCCCTCTCCATCTGCCGTGACCTCTGCTCATCAAGCTTTCCCAGCTTTCCCTCCTCCCTTCGCCCAATTCTGCTGCACTCAAGACGTCTACAGATCCTTCCCCAACATCCCATCCACATTCTCCAGCCACCTGATGTCAACGCTGCTTCAGAATCCGGCGGCCCATGCAGCGGCCAGCCTGGCGGCTTCCTTCTGGTTGACTTCCGACGTCGAAGCCTCCAGTGATTCTGCGCCGGAGACCTTCAGCGGCAGGCAGATGAGCTCCCCTCCTCCTAGCATGGCGGCGATCGCTGCCGCCACCGTCGCAGCGGCGTCCGCGTGGTGGGCCACCCACGGCCCACTGCCATTCTGCTACCCTTCCTTCAACAGCTGCTTCGCATTTGCTCCAGCGCCGCCCACAAGCGCCGCCCCGAGGACTGAAACTGCTCCAGGCACGCAGGACGGGGACAACAAAGAGGAGGTCTCCGATGCCCTGGAAGCAAAGGCGTCGCCTTTATCGTCCACAGACTCCAACCCAAGTGGGAAAGGAGGGAGCCCAGGGGAGAGGGAAGAGAAAGCCGGAGGCCCACCGCAGAACCAGCTGAACTCGGCGCCGGACTCTTCTGGGCTCGAAGAATCCGTCGGAGGGAAGGGGAAAAACCAGGTTGATCGCTCTTCTTGCGGCTCCAACACCCCCGGCAGCGAAGTGGAAACAGATACTGTGCAGGCCAGCCTGGACAAGGGAGAGGAAGAGCCCAAAGAGGATGATCTCTCCGTTCATCCCCAGGCCGTTGACCCGAATGGCCGCAGGGCGAGGAGCAGCGTCGGCAACGTGGCCTCCGACCCATGGAAAGAAGTCTCCAAGGAGGTGTGCCCATCTAGGAGTTTCTTCGAAAATAGATACCACACAGAGCTTCAGAGCTTCTTCTGCTGCTTCTTCTTCCTCCTTTTCTCTGATAGTTCCTTCCTTCCAGGGCCGGCTCGCCTTTCAAGCGCTCTTCTCCAGAGAAGTGCTCCCGCAGAGCTTCTCGCCCCCGCAGGGCGAGGACGGCAAGGAGGAGAACGTCGCAGCGCCAGGAGCAGCAGCTGCCTCACTGCCGCCCCCCGAAGTCAACCACCATGACCACGCCCGCGTTTTCCATGCAGTTGACAAGAACTCTTCCACCCGTGAGGAGGACAAGGAGCGCAGCGCAGACAGAGGAGGCCCTCCCCCCAGCGAGGTGGGTCAATGGCGGCTGAAGTCGCACTGCACGGGGTTTAAGCCTTACAAGAGGTGCTCGATGGAGGCCAAGGAGACCAAGACCGCGCCCGACGAGGACAAATGTAACAAGAGAATACGTTTGGAGGGTGAGGCCTCGATGTGACTGTTCCCCCGCCCGGTTGATTATCTCCGGTAGGCTCTTTCTCCCTCTCCCTCCATGAACTCGATCGATCGTCCTCTTCGCATCCATTCTGTGGCTCGACGTCGAGACCTGGACTTGCGCGAGCTGCCGTTTTTCGTCTCATATTCTTTTGCACGGGATCTCTCCCATATTATATAGCAGCAGCGGGGTCCAAGTGCACAGAGATCATCACTAGGGGATTCCGGCTGGCTGGTTGGCTTCCTGGCTGGCGATGTCGAGAATCTGTAAGTACCCCCTTCGCCCTGCCTCTCCCGTGCATAGTCTGTAAAAATAGGTACTTTCTCTGAAGAACTGGTGACCATGGTTGGAACAAGATTGAACTTTTCTGCTTCATACTTGTTGATTGGTTTGAGTTCCGAGCTCAGTCTTACCGTTCTTCTCTCTCTGTCTGTCTCTCTGTGGGCTCTTTCTTGGTCCGAGTCTAAGAATGTGGGCTGGGTCACGCTGGGCTTCTGGAGTAGGCGGCTCATTAGCCTTACCCACTTCCACCTGCCTGCCTCCCTCCCTGCCTGCCACTTTTCTCGTTCTCTGACCAGATGTGGGCTTTCCTCTCTCATCCACATCTTTTTCTCTTCCGGGCTCGTCTTTTATGGCCCAGGTCTGCGAACGTGGGCTGTAAATCAGGTGTTCAAGTTAGCGTGCACAGGTAGAGAGGGAGGGAGGGAGAGAGAGAGAGAGAGAGAGAGAGAGAGAGAGACGACCTGCTCGTGAGGAGTTGATGGGCACATAACAGAGTCCCTCGTCTAATCATCACCAAAAGCCCAGAATAGGCCCAATAAGGCGCAAAGGCTGGAAGACCCCTTGAGTGGGAGTGCTGCCACTGGAGTGACCTTTTGGGAAATTCTTTCAAGAATCGTTTGCACAAAAAAATATAATATCATTACAATGTTCAGTCCATTTTAATATTATTCTTTGAACAACTTACCACCCTGATGCTAGCTAAGCATCTTCACCAAGGTGTACTCAGTCTATGTAGCAGTACTAAGATTCGTCCTAAGAAGGGGCTAGGTCTAAGTGCCTATCACCCACACCCAGAAGGGTAAAGATGTGTTTAGAGCTAGAGCAGTATCACGACAGGTAAACTCCCTTGAGGAGGGGTTAGACTTCAAGTTGCAATGCATGGGCCTGAAGGTACCTTGGTGAGTGACCATTCAGAACAATTCGAATTGCTTTTCTTGCATATATCTGATGTAGGAGGATTTTTTTGTATAGTAGTAATAAGCCCCTTTGACTTCTCTTCATCTGCAAAGAATTCTAGACGCAAATGAATCCGCAGAGGCAAAGGGCTGATCTTTGAATAGGAAAAGGAATGGATCCGCAGGGTCCCAAAGGAATTGGCTTATTCGAAAAAAGCCTTGTTCTTTGACTAGGCTCAAGCACCGCTAAGGGGCGAGAGAGAGATAATAAAAAAAAAAAGAAGAAGCAAAGGGTAGGTCAAAAAACTAGATAAAGCGATTTGGCGGGTCGGACCACTTTTATTCCACAAGGGACGAAGATAACCTTGGGCTTGAAAGAATGGTCCTTCGCATGAGCCCAGTAGAGATCGACCGAGCCCAAACTTCCATTCTCGGAACTGGGCTCAAGGCCAGGCTTGGACTGCACTAAGATGGGCCGGACAAGTTGGGCCCGGGCCAATAAGATATGGTCCAAATCGCCCAAAACCCAACTTGCATCGGGTTGGGCTCAAGACCGGTCACGACCCAATTCAGATAGAACTTTTGGGCCTTGCCCCCCCCCCCCTTCCTCATCTTCTCTCCAGAGCGAGAGAGCGAGAGAGAGAGAGAGAGAGAGAGAGAGGGCTTCTCGCCTGCATGGTGGTGCTGACGTCGTCGTCTCCAATGAACGCACTCTCTTCGGGGCATCTCCTGCAGCTCCCAATGCAGTAAAAACTCAAAAGCTGGTACCCAATCTGCTTGGCAAGCAACAGTAGGAGGTCCCTTCCGACGGCTTTCCTCAGCTCAGTTTTATTGACAGAGGGAGAGAGAGAGAGAGAGAGAGAGAGTATGCCGTATAGCGCTCCTGTTCCTGTAGCTCGTCCCCTACCGTCCGAGAGGTATCGGCCAGGCTTTTGGCCCCGGATGTTCCCACAGTCGCGATCGCGGCTGTCCACACGATGAATATAAAGATTGTCTTTTTGTTCTTCCCAAGAGTTTAGGACTGGATCTGGAGGCAGAAACTGCCTGCTGCTCTCCTCGGAATTATCAGCTGACCTCGCTGTAGCATGCTGGCCGAATCAACGAAATCATAACTCAGCAGAGTTGAGTTAATGAACGTTTCTGGTCTTGCCAAGACGCGCATTCCCAGAAAGTGCGGATTCCTCTGGAGCGGACCAGGCATGGGGTGGGGAGGGAGGGAGGGAGAGAGAGAGAGAGCGAGAGCGAGAGATGGTGGAAAATCCGCAAGAGGATCAGAACATATGGAGAACTAAGGGTCACGGTCACGGGTAGCCCCCATCTACGTACGTGGTCCATGCATGAACCAAACCCCTACGACATTAGCTTGCACGCGACCTTAGCGTCGGTCCATATCAACTTATATACACGTGTATTATCTTATTGTACTAGTACATAGAGAGAGGGACTGGGGAGACAACGAGGGATATGGACGCACCTTTCTTTTGTCCTCTTCCCTTCTGTTACCCTCTCTCTATCTTCTGCTTTTAATCTTGGTTTTTCCTGTGATTGCTTCTTCGGTGCTATTGTTTCTTCGTCTCTCTCTCCCTCCCTCTCTCTCTATGTGCACATATATATATATATATATATATATATACGCATATATTTATGTGTATCTTAATGCATATGCGTAAGCGAGAGGTAAAATTGTAAAAATGAGCTAGAGAAGCTCTTGGTAGTAAATATTGAAGAAGGAAACGCTCGGCGGCAAAAGTCGCTAGTTTTCCTGGCAAACCCGAACATCAATCTGCGTCTCCGCAGAGGCTGCCGGGCTGGCCGTCCGGCAGCCCCTCGATTCCTCAGTTCAGGCACTGTAAGGAATTCAATTATGTAGATCGAGGATGATATCGAGCTTAGAGAAACCCACAGATTGGCACCGTCAGTGCTGGTGGTCCTCCCCTCTTCGCCCATCCCCTTCCCCTGGATTTGCAGGTGACGAGATGCACAGGGACCGCCTCCTTGGGATGGGGAGGGGTAGCAGGCAGCTAATCCGAGGCAGGATGATAAGAGCGAGAGAGAGAGAGAGAGAGAGAGAGAGAGAGAGAGAGCCCCACAGTGATCAGGACCACCCGTCCTGGTGAAATACAAAAGCAGAGAGCTTGAATTAATTCCTGGAAGAGCCACTGCACTAGCCAACAGCGTGATTATCTTGCAGTAACGAGCCTGACAGGAGGTTAACATAATTTGGAAGGGAAGGGATGGGAAAGGGTGGGGGGCGGGGGGGGCGGGGAGGGCGGTGGGGGCGGGCGGACAGTTCTAGGGTTCACCCCAATCTAACACGTAGATGCATGGAACATGCAGGATGGGCACGCTTCGTCACCCACTGGCTGGAAGATGACTGAGGAGGTCATGGATTGGCAAAGACCTATCCCCCGGGTTGTCTGTTGTTCCCTCACCTGACGCCTTTCAGGGCGAGCGGGGGAAGTCTCATTTCCAAGTTCACGGTTGAAGACATTCAAGTTAAGCGAGAAAAAAGCTCCATGAGATCGCAGTTTCAGAGAATTCTTCAGACCAGCGTCAGAACTCCGAGGCGCCTCCCTCTCCCTCTCCACCTTCTGGTCCTCCCGTCCTTCAAGTAACCCTTCCATTCTGCTCTGCTCTCTCTCTCTCTCTCTCTACACGAGTTCTTCAAGTTTTACTTCTCGTTGTGCCGATGGAAGGTCGGTGCAGACCCTCTGAATACGCGGATCAACACGACGGAGGGCCTATCCAATCTCACTCGGCACTTTCCCCTTTTCTTCAGCCCTTATTCTCTTTTGCTTTCTCGACGAGATATCTCGCTTACGGCTCTTGTTGCTCTTGAAGTCCTCCGAACAGGCCCTATCTCCCTTCGATCTAAGTCTGATCGAATCGAAGAAAGATTTCATTTTTTGATCATCAACTAGGGTTTCGGGATTCTCGCGGCAGCATATTCATGGTCCCCTCCGAGCGGTGTGACACACCTCAGAGTTGTGGCAGACCCCGCGAGGAGAGAGCACGAGGTTGCATGGTATGGTTGGGATGGAAAGGACGTCCAGGTGCTGTGCCAGTAACTTGGGAAGCGTTCCCACGTTCTCAGCCAGGAACTGAAGTATCGTCTTAGACGGGTGACGGCATTAGGACTGTGACCATGAGACGGAAGAACATCGATAGATAATTAGATTGTCTTTTCTGACGAATATATGTCTTAGTCCCAAGTTTGACTATTATTGTTTTCCGTGGGGTGATCTATACAGCCCAATTTCTAGGTCTTCCATCTGAAAAACGTAGAATACCGTAGAAAAATTGAAAAAAAGAGAATATATTTTTGTCAAACTCCAGGTCAATCCGGACAGAAATCGTAGGCTCCTGTAGTTTTACTTCATGCTTAACTTACAACACATCATGTGACTATTCTGGTGTTCTCATGGAGCTAATCACGGAGTCTGTCATCAAGAAAGTGGTATAAGGATAGGAGAGATGCCAGCATACCTGGTTCACGTCTAAATGTTGTCTTACCTGGCTCCAATGGCATGAATAGAAAACGACCCATTTTAGGGATGAGGGGGGTGGCGCGTGATCCTCGAGGTAAACCCACCCATTAATGCTGATTTTATACGTTCATAGTCTCCAAATAAAGAGATGCCTTCTACGGATGATGAGTCGAGGGAAATCCCATTGGTAACAACCAACAGTAGACATGATAGTCTCATGGAGGAACGCACGGCAGACTGACGGGCCCCTATTAACGCACCATACTCATCTCAGATGAGATCCACAGACGAAGATCTCCATCCCAAGAGAGACATTTATGAGGAAGACGCCCCCCCCTCCCTGAATTTGAGCATAAAGAGGAAAAGAAGGGAATTAAGGCTACGAAAAACAACCTAGTTCGTGACAAACGAGTGGAAAAGCATGAAAGGCATTTGACCAAAGAACTAGTTAGAATAATCAGTTTGAAGTGGAGACGATTCACTGCAACGTACTTCTTGTAGTACTTATCGAATTCTCTGAAACATCCACCACAATATGAATCTCTCATTATTTCTTTCGCAAACCAAACAACTGGTGTGGTTTATCCTCAAAGAAGATGATAATGAGATAGAGAGACGAATCCTTATTGACCGTGCCTTATCGATCGTGTGTGTGTGCTGCGAGAAATATTGATGATCCGCTAACATTTGACCATTCATCGCGATAACAGCAGTATAATAAACCGCATAACGAATTCAAACATAATACTTCGATCAATAAAATGATTAAAATGTGAACAACTCAGTAAATTATGTTAACATGCCAACGGTATAGACGTCTCACTCCATGAGGGAGAATACGCAGCGCACTGTTCTTATGCTTTCCCTCACAAGTGTAGAGTTCCCTTTCAGTCATTTCATATGGCCTATACTACCATACCACATGGCCAGGTCTTTCCCTCATCATCTACAGGGAGAGGTGACTGGACGCCATGCAAACCTATCATAATAGTTTTGGGAGTGACCAAGGGGAATTTAAATCTAGAAGCATGATATTTAAATTTTCAACTTGGAAGGCAGATACGTTTGGAGATATTATTGAGAATCAATAAACTATATCTCTTAATGATTAACTTTTGTCATGTCAGAAAACTAACTTTTATCTCCTTCAAGGTTTTTTTCCCAACCCTTTTATGCAATTTCACATTTTCCCATCGTGATATGAATGGTATACACGCTATCTGTGACATTTAGTGGAGAATACAATTGAGAACATAAGAGAAGTTATGTCAATTTCTATATTTTATAATCAATCATTTATGGTTACTGATGTTGCCTTAGCTTATTATCCATATCTTGCCCAATAAAATTGGAGCTCTCCCCGTTTCACTTCCCCATCTTTGTCGACTGGGTAAATGGAAAACTTATGCACGTTCAACTAGTTTTATGATTTTGAAAGGTGCACGAAGCACGGAGGAGATCGATATGAATTTTCTCAAAAATAGTGTACGGCTTTAACCAAAACCAGTGAAAAGGTTCCGACTAGAAAATGAGAAAACACAGAAAAGGGCTGGTGATACTCTTTCAATGAAACCCCCCTCCCTAGTCATTATTTCACCAGTTTAGTCATCTCATTGTTCCTTATTTGATAGGTTTATCAGTTTATATCCAGTAGAATAAATATAACGCAGATTCTATCAATCATAAGGTTATTATTGTAGCTCCACTCCGAGAAAATCTTATCATTTATCAGTATGGTAAGAGAACGGTATCCCCAAAATTTCATAAACTCTATAGCACCTGCGCCCAGGATCTTGAATCCCGTTGGCCAAACATTGAATATTCTCACATATCACGAAAACAGCCAGACTAACATTTGCTAATGACAGACCGTGTCCTCAAGAAAAATTGAATAACGAACAGCAGACAGGATGGAATATCCAATGACTTTGGCCTCATTTAATCTTGCGAAATGTGGGGAGATGCAACATATTCTTCTAACAAGCCTAGTAAAGGTATCCAAAATGGGTACGGTTTATCATATAATTACTCTAGATTGATGTTGACGAAGTAATCTTTCTTGTACGGGATACTGCCGTCGATATTTTAAAAAATGAAACTGTAGATCTCCTAGAGTTTCGTTAAGGACAGCAACAGAAATTTTAAGCAGCCCAGTAAGAAAATATCAAGGCTTCCTCCCAAGGGTCAGTACTCCTATATAGTTTTGAGATCGACGCAGTAAAGGAAGCTCACTCCAAATTTCAAGAGAACCCTCAAATACCATCTAACGCGATGCGAGCCCTAACACGATATGTTAAGAGTATGGAGATCCGCATCTTCATTCACTTGATATTGGACAAACTCTCAGCTACATCCAAGGGGTTTTAGCCTGTTGAGCAGCTTAACCTATGTCCCAGATGGTAGAACTAGAAGGTCCCAATGAAGCCTCACCATGTCTGACTTTACCGACCATCTAGTAAAGAAACACGGAGGATACGCACAGCCTTGCCCTAGATTTCCAAGTTAAGGTTGTCTAGATGAAATGGGCCATCTCCATCCTCCCCGAGACGCATTAAATCTGGGGGCGGGGGGGAGGGGGGAAGTTGTAAGGTCCTGATTCTCTTTGCGATGGGTTTCTGTCTGGCTGAAGCCTACCCACAATAAATCAGGCAAAGAAGGTGGTAATACCCTGTCCTGCAAGAAAATTCCAGCATATGATAGCAATCAAGGTGCACAAAGTTCGATTTTTATGTTCTCTCCAGAGGAATGACTGACCGCTACGGGTGGTTTTTGGGGGGGGGCGGTGGCGCTGGACCGGGGGGGAGAAGGGTAAAGAGCTAGAAATAGAGTAGGATAGAGACCTGACCTTTCATAGCCCCGTTAGCTTCGTAAAGCGTTCCAGCCTGCCATCGTCTCAGAGCATTCGATCTGTCTGAAGGAGGAGCTGCAACCAGCTAGCATTGCGGTAAAATGCAATAGGCGAAGTACCAGAGATTATGGGAGGGGAATGACAGACAAAAAAATGCAACACAAAAAATAAAAAAATAAATGGAAAGTTCAGAAGATAGCAATTCGATCTGATAACAAATTGTTCATCCAGTCCAATCTCAGCATCTATCGCGGAGCGTGGGGTAGGTATACTTACATCTACCAAAATAATACATATGTACAGTTGAAGCAGCAGATTTTGAAATCAATAGATCCGATATGTGTGTGTGAGAGAGAGAGAGAGAGTGGGGGGGGAGAGAGAGAGAGAGAGAGATAGAGAGAGAGAGAGAGAGGACGGGGAAGAGAACGCTACTCGGCAATTGTATGATCGCTACTCGGAAGAATTCATTCTCCCATAGCTTGGCTCAGACTCACCGGCAATATAGTTGCAAGCGGAGATCATAAAGTGGAGGAGGAATTCTCTTGTTTTCTTCGTCGTGGTCATCTTCTTCTACATCTCCAGGTCCAATGACATTGGGTGCTTATCTTTGCTCGGCGACTCGGGGATCTCCGAGACCCCAAGACTCAGTCGAAGACGATCCGTGGAATCACCATCCGAATCAGCTTCTTCAGGAGCCGCGCAATCCAAATTCACGCCGAACAGCCTCACCCTCTTGGCGGCAGCGTTGCTGGGGATCACCGGTACCGAGTTTAAAACTACGGGCGTGCCATGTCCGCCGCCCCCAAGTTGCACTGGGACCTGCGATGGGGTGCCCGCCGATCTCAGATACCAGAACGTGTCCGAGGGGTAGGCGACAGCATTGTAAGGGAAGCCCAGGTGTCGGCGGGGATCAAAGGTTCCCGACGTGGAGGAGACGAAGTTGCCCCAAGGGACTACAGAGCGGGCGAAGGACATTATCGCGGGGTTCTGATTGAGGCGGGGGGACATGGGGAGGTCGGGGCGGCGCTTCCAGTCGATGAAGAGGCGGTGGCGGGCTGATTCGCCAAGTCCGCGCTGGAACGAGACGGTGTCCCCGGCATCGAGGCGTTTCTCCTTGACGAAGCGGCTCCAGCCCTTGGTCATCACGTAGCTCTGGCTGCTGTTCCAGTAGGAATAGCGGAAGCGCCATTGCTTCCCTGTTCTATCCTCGAAGCATAGCAATAACCCCTTCTCGCTGCATGAGGGGTCGAGGGGGAAGTGCTTCTCGGCGTGCTGCTTCGGGATGACGAGGCGGTTAAGCTTCCCCACGTCGCTGGGAGTCACCACCTTGTCGAACATGTGCTCCTTTTCCACCATGGCAACGCCGCCGCCGTTGTCTGTAGAGTCCATCTGCGAGGAGGAAGAGGTCGAAGGGGGCTGGTGGAAGATGAAGGGAGCGCGGCGGGTCTGAGAGGGATCCTCGGGTTCTTCTTGATCAAAGAGCTGTCTCTCTCTTCTTCCCTCTTGGAATTCCATGGTTCTCATCTGGCTAGAATTTATAATGATGATGATGACAGAAAATCGTCGGCCTCCTTCGAAGCGCAGAGAGAACTATACTGCTGCCGCCGACACCACTTCACGAGCTGAGCTCAGATTCTCTTTACTCTCCCTCTCTCCCTCACTTGGCACTTCTGAGATGAGAACAGCAGAGGAAAGGTAGAAGAGGGAGGGGGGTGGGGGGAGGTGGGAGGTTTCCAGAGGCTCTTTTCCCTTCGGGGGAGTTGGGGGGGGGAGTGAGAGAGAGAAAGAGAGAGAGAGGGCGAGGGGGAAAGAAGCTATCCCTTCTGCGATTGGGTACAGTGCTACAAGATCGGGCGGTTTTCTCTTCCCCTTAACCTGCGAGACGGAAATATAGATCGATGCGGCTCTACGGGTTTCACCAGAGGACCCATTTCTTCTCTTTCATGGCAGCTGTCCTCTCTTCGAGGAACAAAGCGGCCATAGCTACTTCCCCGCAGAGCCCACTCCTTCAAGATGGGAAATTGAGACAGATAGACAGATAGATAGATGGATAGGGAGAGAGAGAGAAGGGTAAAGGGAAGAACTACAGCTTTATAAGGGGAAGTTGGGTGTGTGTGTGTGGGGGGGGGGGGTGTTTGTTGTGGTGCGAATTATCTGGTTGTGTTCATGTGAGCCCGTCTCTTACATCGCATTTATATTTCCTCTCGATAAGCTCCCCGTGGCCAGTTGTTCAGCAGAACTTCTGGGCTGTGGAGACTAGTTTTGCCAGTTTGTCCGAACACCCCCTCCCCCGTCCCCCCCCCCAACCCACCCAACCAACAGCACCCGCACACTAAGAGTAATAATAATAAAAAAAAATAGCGCAGTTATATATTAATTATGCCATTAACTGTCCTAGAGTTCTCCTAGCCAGCCCCGTACTATCACATGAGCCAAATAAGCCGATTATTTATATATTCTAGTGGTGCAACTTTTGGCATACTTGTGTAATATTAACCAATAAAATACAATAATTAATGGTTGACGAGGTGCCGCCAGTGGCGTAGATCTGACGGGGGGGAGGCTTTTGACTTTTTGCACCCTCCGTGCCCCGATCAAGAACACCGCCGACTTTCTCTAATTTCAGAGGCTACGAACGGCCGGGATTTCGTCATGAGGATCCCTAATCATAAGTAAATATTTAATGGCGCTTGTCTTAATATAGTGGACCCCCCCCCCCTCCCCCCCGCCCTCAGGGGACCAACGTGGGCCTTGTGTGGCGGTGATCCTCCCCGGGGAGCGAACATGTGGACGTGATCCCTGCCGCCCAAGACAAGGGGGACGAATAAAAAAGGCGGGAAAATTAAGTTAGGAAAATTTGGTTAGGAGATTATGAGGATTAATGACGGCGGGTGACCGCCGTCATCGTCGTCAACTTGGCATCTAATGACTCCTTTAGACCGCCCGGCTCTCGGGTCCACTTCGAAACGTACGCCGGTCCAAATGGCGAACGCCTGGCGCGCTTCGCCCACCGCACGGGGTTGCGCCACGTCTCCCCTTTCCTCGGGACTTCAATGAGCCACGTCATCAGCTACCAGGTGGTCCGACGCAGTGGTCCGGGCGGAGGGTCATTTATTTTATTTTACGGAGGGGGGGGTGGGTGGAAACGTTTATCCATGGCGTCATTGGAATGACGTAGGAGATTATCGGGGTAATTAGAGAGAGATAGAGAGAGAGAGAGAGGGGGGGGGTTGGCTGCCAGTGCGCTATTTTAGCGGCGACGACCACGCTGTCGCTCGGTTTTCCCGCCGGCCGACGGCCGGTGGCGCCGCCTCACACGGCCCAAAACCTACCGCCACCCGCTGCTGCTCCATCGGCCGTCGGATGGAGATCGCCGGGTGGGGACGAAGCGCGCTCCGAGCAGAACACGTGGTGGAGGAAGGGGTTCGTACGTACTGGGGATAAGAGAGAAAGAGAGAGAGCAGGAGCTTGTACCACGGGAACGCGTCAGCAGCCTCGCGTGGGGCTGCTAGTCTTATCGTGGGTCGCCCTCCTCTTCCGCTTACTACGACGGACACCGATGGGCTCCTGCGACGGTATCAAGGAGGGCCCTTTAATAATCCTACTTGGGTAGCTGCCGACGGCGTAACGAGGGCCTGGTCTCCGCGTTTATTCTGCCCTCCACCTCCCAACGGTGCGGGAGAAGTAGGCACCGCGGAGCTCCGTTGATGGCAAAGCCTTGCTACAGAGAGGAGGAGGGGTCGTGGAGGATTCTTATTGGCGTTGGCGGTGTGGGTGGAGGTAGAAAAGTGGGGGAGGATTCACTGGTCCGGGCAGGCGGCGCCGCCAGACTGGAAGGCGGAGGGGGGAGGACCACCATCGCACTCCGGGGGAAGGCCCACTGGGCCTGGCGCGCAGGGACTAAAATATCTCGCGCGGCAACGTTTTATTCGCTCTTGCCCCAGCAGCCAATCAGGAGGCGCCACGTAGAGAGGGACATCTGATACCATCAAGAGGGGGGGGGGGTGGTCCCTGTCGGTCTGTGTTAAAGGAGGGGTTGGAGTAGGGGAGGGGAGGGAGGGAGGTGCGCCATTTAGTTAAAGCTGCCGGGGGGGGCGATCTTTAGACTAGCTCTCGAGTTCTCAGAAAACCCAGGGATGAGAGTTCTAAAGTTGACACCTACATGGCAGGTGGGGTGCAACCCTCTCTCTCTCTCTGGCCTCCCTCTTTAAGATCGATAAAGGCTGGCTGGTGGGGGACCCCTCTCTCTCTCTCATTTATTCAGATGAAGAGAGGGGGGGGGGCGGCGGGGTCTTGCTGCGTTCGCGTGGGCATATGCATCTGATGGACACATTTGTTCGCCGGATATTTTAATTCCAACTTATATGTGATACAACGATCGGGATGCAGGACCACAGCTCCGTCCCCCCTCCCATGATTCTCTCTTCTTTGGTTTCTTTAATCAGCTTCCCACTTGCTCTCTCTCTCTCTCTCTCTCTCTCTCTCTCTCTCTCTCTCTCGCTATCTATCTATCTATATATCTATCTATCTATCTATCTATCTATCAATCTATCTCTCTATCCATCTATCCATCTAGGCTTGTGTTGGAGAGTGCATGGAAGTGTCCTGACAAAGCATTCTTTTTGGTCGCGCTCCGGCCCTTGCACCTGACAGAGGAGACTCGGGAGTCCCCTTCCCTGGCGGTGTAATTAGGGCGGGCCCAAGGGAGGAGCCGGGCCAGCCCCCCAACCAGCTATCGCTTCGCTGCTTGCAGTGCCGCCATTACTAACCGCCTACGTAAGCCAGGCGCACCCGAATGCGCAAGCAAACCCTAACCAGGGAGGAAGGGTCGACCAGCCGGCGAGAAAACCCAAAGAATTCCTGCCCGGCAGAAGAAACAGCTGTGCGGGGCTCGCCTCCCCGCCTGCTCTGAGCAAAACCGTTGAAGCTCCGCCGTCGGGTCGCTTTCCCACCGCATGGAGGAAGACTGGTGTGCATATTTATAGAGGTTTTCACTCCCCTCTTCCCCCGCCCCCACAAATTTATTGTACGTTGTTACCTCCATTAATTCTCCCTCCCTCTCTTCCTCCTTCCTCCCCATCTTCTCTCTCTCTCGCTCGATCCCCGAGGGTCGCCGACAGGTGGGTATATGTGCGAGATGGGGGAAATAAAAAATGTGGCGATCGGCCGGGGATTGAATCTCCGGTGGGTATGTGGTTTTTTCTTCTTCTGATGAGTGGGCAAAGCTCGGAATGATGATACTTCCTCTCCTACTCCCTGTAGGCCTTTTATTTCCCCGCGTCCCCCCCCCCTTCCGGCGGCGAAACCAGGAGGATGCAACTGCAGTTGACCAGTAGGCCGGCTAAGAATCCGAGGTGATGGCCGGGAACCCACAGGCAGGCTGGTCCATAGAAGCCTGCGGGCTGAAGGTTAAAGATGGTTGTGCAAATGGGTGGCTGCACTCTCTCTCCCTCCCTCCCTCGCTCTCTCTCTCTCTCTCTGCATTTCTACCGACAAGCCCGCACACTGTCTCCGATGCTGTTTCCTATCCCCGCTTCCTACTCGCCTTTCTCTGTTCATCGAGCGTGATGGATTACCCGCATTAACGGTCAAGATCGGGCTTATTGGGCCTCAAGTCAAGTCAATGCTAACCTGATATGGCCCTATGAGAAGAGCCCAGATCAGCAGATCTGGGCCACAGCCCAGTTTGATAGAAAGGTCAGGATACGGATCCTGGGGCAGTTTTAAAGGAGCCCATAACTCGTTAACCAACTCACAATTAAGTTCACCGGTTCCGAAGGGAAATCTACGAATATAGCATATAATATGTTCATATAACATGACTGTAATATCGATTCGGTTTTTGGAAAAAAGTCCATTCTCAAATCTTCTATTAATCACACTTCCAAGCGAAGCTATCATATTAGTCATTATATAATTATATTTCAAGGCCAATAAGCTTCCCATTCCGCTCAACTCCCCGGAATTAATCCCATTATTTTCCCAACCATTTGTCCTTTATCCTTTATAATGGTAAACTAGTTAGAGTCTGCCCCTTGAATGCAAGCATATACATAGATACATATTGGGATCTTTTTATTCTAGAAATGTGCTCAGAGATACCGATCCACCATCACATTAGCATCTCTTACAACCAAGCTCAGACGCAATACAAAGCCCATCTAACCACTGTTGCTCGCACCCCACTGTGTGTGTGTGTGTGTGTGTGTGTGTGTGTGAGAGAGAGAGAGAGAGAGAGAGAGAGAGAGAGAGAGAGCATGTGAAGGTATTTGTCACGAAAACGTTATCGGCTTTTGGCCCATTAAACCTTGTATTACTAAATGATGGCAGACAGCTTGAAAAGTAAGAATCAAAGATATAACTGATTGGAAAATGGCATATCGAGTATTTGTTCATTTAAAGGTATCGAAAATGTGCCTTTTTTTTCTGGGTAACGTGGATTATTCGAACAGGTGGATGCCAAGGAAGAATCTCCATTCTCTTCTTTCTGCTCTTGAAACAGAAACTGCGCTGAACGAAGATAAGCTTCTCTCAGATCCTCCAGCAGGGAAGCTTTCTGGAAGGACACTTCGGCTCTACTTTCCCGCCATCCCGACGTCAAGATTGTTTCCTTCCCCACAAGAATAGCCTTAGCTGGGAGGGCGGGTCCATCCGTGAGTGAGGCCCCCTTGTTCATCACGAAAAGGTGGCGGCACTCGGTCATTCCTGCTATCCTTCACTTTTCCCAGTCGGGGTTATCTACTTCAATGCACGCCCGTCTTTACGTGGGGGGAACCCCCTTCCCCACCTCTTTCGTCTATATAAAGAGGAACCCCGGCAGCCGTCCCCTCCACAGTTCTCTTATCTCTCAAGCCTCCGTGAAGGATGTTCCGTCTCTTCGCGCCGAAGACCTTGCCGGACTCCATCTCCGTAGGTCTCCTGCCGTCGAGGCCTCCCACGCTGTCTTCTCTCTTTCTAAACTAACTTTCCTTGTTTTCCTCCCGCAGACCGTGGAGCTCGGAGTTCATATGGATTGCGAAGGCTGCGAGAAGAGAATAAGGAAGGCGATATCCAAATTAGAAGGCAAACTCCTCTCTCTCCCTCTCTCTCTCTCTCTCTCTCCCTCTCTCTGAAGTGGGTTCTCTTCCTTGCAGGTGTCGACAGTGTGGAGATAGACAGAGATCAGCAGAAAGTAACAGTGACGGGGTACGTGGCCCCTGACAAGGTCCTCAAGCTGGTAAGGAGGACGGGGAGGAAGGCGGAGTTCTGGCCGAACCCATACGACGAGGAGTTTCATCCCTACGCCGCGGAGTACCTCGAGGACTCGGTCTTCTACTCCACCTATAACTACTACCAGCACGGATACAACGCCGAGACGCAGGGATACTTCCCCGACCCTCCCCACTCCCATGTTGTCGGCGATGACGCGGCCGCGCTCTTCACCGATGACAACGTTCACGCTTGTGCCATTATGTAGTTGGCGATCGTAACGCCAAAGTTGGGTCGATTAGCTCTGGGATGTGGAGTTTGGTGCAGACGAGCTTGTCTACCCTCTGTGTAAATTATACATGTGATGAAATAGTCTTGGTTCTATCTTTATCCGGTGAATCTGCTCTCTTTCTCTCCCTCTCCCTCCCGCTCTGTCTCTCTCTCTCTCTCTCTCTCTCTCTCTCTCTCTCTCTCTCTCTCTCTCTCTCTCTCTCTCTCTCTCTCTCTCTCTCTCTCTATCTATCTCTATCTCGTCTGAACAACTGGCGTGCATATTATGATGAAGTCGATCCTTCGGAGTCGCTGTTATCAGTAGCCTATTTTCTTTCTGAAGAATGAAACCCAATGCATCCACTGGATTAAACCGTCCCTTGCACATCTTATTTTCAGGCCAACTGCACACCCTAAGTGTTCCATAGTTTTAGACATATATCCATATTGTAAGATCGTCAAACGTGGCCAGTCCTGACTCCAGCAGATCGATACGATCATCCGAGGAAGAAGTGGAAAAGGCTCCAAGTTTCAAGATGAGATCTTCCACCACCACCAGATTCCCCACTGCTAGATCTCCTCTCTCTCTCTCTCTCTCTCTGAGAAGATGCCTGGATGTTGTCATGGGGGAATAAGACTGGGAGAGTGGAAAAGAGTCATGAGAAGGACTTCACGGGAGCATAGATTCTGAAAACATCACTATTAAAGGGTGCAAGTCGACGAAAGGAAATCCTTGAGCCCAGCCGATACCACTTGCCCTCATGTGGAAATACTGCTAGCTGGGTGGTGAGAGGGTTCAGAAGGAACCTCTCATAGCATCTACTTGCTGAGGACGGAAGGTGAGAGACCGTAAAAGGTAGCATCTTTGAATGAACGGATATTCGATGCATCGCGACCAAAAGACGTGGTCACCCCCTCAACTCTCTCTTTCTCTCTCTTTCTCTCTCTCTCTCTACCTCCCCGTGAATCCAACTATCTCTCTATCTATTTGTTCTTTCGATACTCGAATCAAGCCGGTACAACTATCATTCGTCATGACGTCAGAGTGGTATCCGAAAGGCCATCTTTTGGGGCCTGCTCTGGACCCAATCGGTGGGCTTTGGAATTGGGCCTGGTGGAACTTAAATTCTTCTCCGAGATGGGCTCACTGGCTAGCCCTGGCAACCACTGGGCGATATCGAGTCTGCGTGTTGAAAAAAGAGCTTTCCTTTTATTGTGGGAAACAACGTGGGGCTAGATGGGTGTTGTACCAATCTTCACGGCGAATGTCGAGCAAAGGGACCCTGTGCTGAACCAATCTTCACGGCGAGACTTCCCGTCCAGGCGCCGCAACGACACATCTTCCCCTCTCTGCATCTTTTCCGGCTACCGCGACGATGGCAGGCACCTTCTCTTCGCCCTGGGAGAAACCCGACGAGAGTGGCCGGAATATGGCAACAGCCGCCTCAGCCAAGCCCTTCACCGCTGCCGATGCCAGACACAGGTTATGATCGGCGCCGAACAGGGAAGGAGCAGGGCACTTTCCATGCGCCCTGCCCTTCCATTGCGGAGTACAGACAGGAGCTCCGGTGCATGCGCATGGTGCGTCATAGACAAGATCGCCTCACTCAGGAGTCACAACAGCGATGAAGACTGTCGGCCCGTAATCTCCAGGATAAAAGGTCAAAATAAGCTCCAATGGAGATTCGAAAATTGCCAATCGGTGAAAATTATGGGATGGAGAGGTTAACATTCTATCTAGAGCTTATTTGTGACTAAAAATAACAAGTGAAAACCAACATTTATAATGCATAATTACCATTATAGTAGGATATAAATCGTACGTAGATGAAGAATTTTCATTGACAAAAATAACTACTTCTAAAATCCCCTATACTTGTGTATATTGAGACTTTTTCAACACACTGACACCCATGAATATTCATTTCTTCATTTCCTGTATTTCATTGACAAACTTGTGTCCTTCAAATATATCTTTTATTCTTATTATAGTAGCTGAACAAAAGGGAGGAGACTGACAATGTGAAGGAAGAGAGAGAAAAGAGAAAACGAAGTGAAAATGTCTCTACTTCAAAACAATGGGTTTATAATACATTGATTTTTTCCTACATATTCTCTCACGTATAGAGAATCGTGAGACTTGACCTCAAGATGAGTTGCAAATATTTTTAACAACCATCTTGAACAACAAAGGAAATAAATGGGTAACCGAAACAGGTCTGATGAAGATGCATGTTAGTTGATAGTGAGATCGAATTGAGAGAAGTTTGACATACTTCAACTAGGTTTTCTCAAACAAAGTTTTATCAATTGGAATATGTTTTCTGCATTAATGAAATAGATTTTAAATACTATGAATAACAACTTTATTGTCAAAAATTAAAGTTTTAGAAAACATATCTTGACACAAAAGTTTTGTATTAACTATTGTAACCACAATTTCAACTGTAGTAATTATTAATTCTCAATATTTAAATTTGATAAGCATTATGGATATTAATGATTACTTCTTTATCTTCTACAGCATGAATGAGTCTATGAGAAAAATGCACAATCATGTGATTGATTTGTGAGATTCAGAACAAGCAGCCTAATTATTGGTGAAAATTTCTTAAATTTAAAATGAAGATGAAATAGGAACAATAATCCTTGACTAAGAGATAATGTACTACGTTTAAGTGAAGATGCCAAGTTTGAACCATAAATTGACTCAAATTATGTATTGTAAATGTGATATCTTGATGTGATAATGTCAAATATGAGAGTTTGTCAATTAATCACGTATTATGATGTGTCTTCGAATAATTATTCACTTGTGTTATTGAGTTGTGTCAAGGATTCATAAAAATAACCATAGGTTTAGAATCAAGAAAGTAACTTCACATAATTTCAAAGTATAATGATATTGAGACAAAACAATGCATGTTGTAGCATGTGCAATTTCTAAACCCATAAATATTTCAAATAATCCATAATTTTAATTTTAAATTTATTATTTTATAAATCTTTCAAGCCATTGATTGCCTAAATTGAAGGTTCAACTAATATAATTTTATTAACATAGACAAGTAAAGACACAAAATAATGATCAAATCACTTAGTGAACAAAAAATACTCAGATTTAGACTAAGTGAATTTTAATGAATGAGTAGCTGGACAATTTAGAATATGACAATACAAATACTTTCACTTGATGAGTAAGTCCATAAATTGATTTGTATAATTTGCCAAAAAAAATTTACCGTGATGAGTAGGAAGCTCCCCTTCATGTTGATATCCCAAAATCAGTTCATGTAGGTTTCTTCGAATAAGTCTTCATTGAATAAAATATTATTGATACTTAAGGAAACAACATATCAATTATTGTTGGTTGTATTCATAAATTTGACAATTGTAGATTTAGTAGAAAGATAATATATTTTAAGAAAGTAAACTAATTGTGTATATCATTGGCAATTAATCAAACTTTGAATCGCTTAATAGATACATATGAATAATACTTGCTTTAAAATTTTTAATAATTTTTAATTATACTCTTTTCTGATAACAAAAAAGCTTATAGCAGAGTGTCATTTGATTCGATAGCATCTAACTCAACCTTTATTGCCTTGTGTCATTAAGGAAAAATAAATGTTTGGTGATAAAATTGAGGTTCATAGTTAGAGGAAACAATCATAATAAATTATTTATGAGATGGAGAGAGAGAATTATAAGATAACAATCAAATAGAGGATATGGTGGCATGGTTTTATCAAGTGAGATAAGAAGCAAGATATTACATTGAAATTCTCAAAGATAAGATGGTGGTTTTCAGATGTGAGTAGATGTGTTTGTTAGTAAATGTAAAGATATGAATGATGAGATTAATAAGATGTTAAGGGTAAGTAGTCTGAAGTATTATTTCACGACTCAAGAGGAATTTCCTACTACAACATGAGGTAGGAACAAATATGAAAGTAAGTTTGGAAATTGTATGAAGTTATAGTGAATGAAAAGAAAATATTTCTTTGTGAAAGATAAAATCTCATTGCATCATTATATTTTTCATTTTAGACATTATAAAGTATGTAAGTTTTTATAATATGTTAGTATTTGATGAAAATACAAGGTCTAACACTTGGATTTAATTTAGTGTGATTCATTAGGAATATTGAAGCAAAAGATAAAAAATTTAATTTTAAGGATATAATTTTTCTAAAATTATTTTATATTTTTTCTTATAAAAATAAACGTCTAACTAAATTCCATAAAAGTAAAGTTTTGTTGGGGTTGATCAATACATGAAAATTGATACAAAATACCTTGGTCATTGAAGAAATCAATAAGTTTTTGTTATTTAGCACTATCAAGCATCAACTTTTTGAATCTTGCAACCAAATTGAGTGTAAAATACAACTAAAAAAGTTAGAGAAATTATTTTGACATATGACTTATTTTTTATATGAAAAAACTTGTGAACCAAGTTGTATCATCAATAAGTGATAAAATATTTATTATGTAAGTGGTTAATAACATGATGTGGCCCCCCATATATCATAATGTACCAGATAAAAATGATGTTAAGAAATGTTATTGGGAGAAATAGAAAGTAATCTATGCTGCTTTGCTTAATAATCTTTGGAATAAAGAATGTTTTCACTATACTTCAAAGTACCAAAAATAACTAACTTCTTAATATTTTTAATATTTTAAAAATGAATGTCATAATCTATTGTAAAAGTGTTAGTAGATGCATTGTTTGTAAAAGTTGTAGTTGTCTTATTATTATGATGACTACAAATCATTTGCAAGGCATAATTGAAGGCATTATGTTGCTTGTCGAAGTTGTGTCTTATTGTCATGATGACTAAAAAATGTTTGTAAGATGTAATTAAAGACATTGTCAACACCCAAAATGTATAGATCTTTCACTTTGTTATCCTTGATAATCATTATCTTTTGATGTGTATCATAATCATAAAATTATTAATATTTAATTTAAGAATCAACTGTTCTAGCAATCATATATAATAAATTAAACTTGAATTGAGGGACAAATAAACCATTTTTTAGAATTAATTGTGAATTGAATTGCACAATACTAGTTAAAATAACTAAAATATAAGTAATGGTGGATAAAGTAACTACTGAATTTCATTTTTGACTCGGAGAAATAAATACATTCACATCTTCACATGTCACATAGTTTTGGAATCAACTATTAAAAAAAATGATAATTCTTTTTGGTCCCCAGATAAATGGATGAATAAAAAAGGGGAGTGAATTTATTACTAGTTTTCTTTGTAATTAAGTATAATAATTTTTATTTTTTAAAATTTATATAAATATGAAATATTTAATGCAAAACTTTTGGACCTTTGGGGCAGCTAGTATCATCTAAATTTCCTTTTATTCTCATGTCCTAATTTTGAGTGAGACTCTCCTTTTGATAGTAAAGCATTTTTGTTTGGGTTACCCCACTTTTATAAAAAATTGGTCACCTAAAAGATGGGGATGTTTGATTTTGGGCCATAATTACTATTTTATTCTAATACAATATGTTTTTACTTCAGGCTCAATGACCTTTACTTTCTTGGGTTGATGCCTTGCACCCATAGTGGGCTGTGCCAAAGTGGACTGAGTTATCCTTATAGGCCTAACCTGAAAAGTAATAAACATAAAATTATGTAATCTTATAAAAATAAATAAAATTAAAATTTTGATATTTTCATTATATGTTTCAAACCTTTTTTTTTGTGCAATCTAGATTTATGTTAAGTGCATGTAATTTAATTTCCACAAGACAATACTTCCAAGAAAAATATTAATCTTATAATATCAATTTCATGAAACATAAATATAAATCACTATCTAATCAAAAATTATTCATAAATCATCAAAAATTTATGAAGCTAATGTATAACTCAAGAAAGAGAATGAGATACTATGAAATTATGAGAAATATATATGTTGTGTAAAAAAGTGATTGATAAGTCTTCATTATCATGAGTAAATAATTAGTAAATAATATAACTTTAACCTTAAATCATGATAAATAGACTTATATTTATGTTAAAGTGTGAAAAGTGATTTTCTGTTGATTAACATGAATTTTTGGATAATTATGTGATTTTATACGAATTTATATGATTTTTACAGTCTTACTTTTGAGATAAATAAAGAAAAAGAATTAAAAATAAAAATATAGCAAAATAGGGGGGACCTACTGACTAGTCGGGCTTGCATGCGGGTTGGAAGCGCAGTTGGGGAGGATTCGTGAGCAGGGGCTCGAGCGGCAAAGACCAATAGAGGCACGTGTGCACCACTCCCCTTCCATGTCACCGGTGGTCAATCGGCTGTGGATGGAGTGGTTGTACATGCGGGAGAAAGGGACTTGATTGTAAATATAATATTACTATATATTTACCAGAAACTTCGACGCACAAGTGATGTGGGACTAAACTAGCGTCACACCTTCCCTAGAAAAGGCAAGCAACCGGCACAGGTTCAAATCCTCCTAGAGCCAAAACTCATATTTTTTATCTGATTATTGTAACTTTTTTGCAGATCGCCGATGAAGGATTAAGCCACCAAAATCGCTGAATCATTGGCAAAAATCTCGTCAATGCGATTCGTGGAGCATTGTTACTAAAGTTACTGAGCAATTTACAATAAAAGAATTGCGAATCCATCGAGTAAAGCATCTCCGATTGATCGACGAACAAGCCATCGTCGGGAAGAGGACGATCCGCCAAGAGGCGAGTCACCACCTCCTGAGAGCATACCAGATGTAATGAAGAGCCTCCTCTTGCTGCACGGACCTGAGGATGAAGCTTCCTAACATTCGCCCCACCTTCATCCAGCTTCTCTCCATTGGGTGACAACTGCCGGAGAGCCGCAAAGTCGTCATTTTTCCGTTCCGCTGGGTGACAGCCACCAGAGATGATTCGACGACCCATTTTATTGATCTCTAGACTTTACAAGAAGATCTAGAGATTGCCCACGTCTTCCTTGTCTAAGAAGAGCCTTCAAGGCCGTGGACACTGCACGACGATCCTCCCGAATGCTCAGGATTCTGATGCATCACCGACGCATCGCCGCCATGATGCCGGAACTCTGTTTTCCTGCTTTCAACTTAATTTCCTCTTCATTTAGTGATAATTTGTGTGATTTAAATTTACCAAGATATAATTCATTCCATTACGATTCTTTCGACTTTTACAGATCTTAATTTGATCAATTAAATCATTTGTAATCATTGACATAAGAATCGTCGGGTGGAACTCTGTTTCCACCTAATTCGCATTCGCCGGGTGCTGACGTCATCTTGAAATCCGCACCCCTATTTCTATTTTTTGTGAATTTTAAATATATTTAATTTTTATTTTTTAGTATAAAATTCATAGAAAATAGTATTCTTTGAGGAAAATTCTGAATAATTACTTGATATTATATTACATCCTTGTGATTGATCTGGAAAACTATCACTATTTTTAAAAGTTTTATTGAATTATAATTGATATATTTGTTCAGAAATACATCTAAATATTCAAAAATTCGTATTTTCTAGTTTTATAAATTTTAAATTTACGTGATTTATTATAGAACGACTAAGTCACGTTAGTGACAATACTTTTTATTGAACCATAGTAAAATATCAAGTCAAATGTCTAGACAATATTGTCATAAATTGATTATATAACATTGTACTTCAATTTGTGAGGAAATATTTGATGTCACTAGTTTTTATTTAGAAATTATAGTTAAATCAGAATTTGATGGAATTTGGTTAACAATTACTATACATAATTTTAACTTTTGATTTATAATCTAGTTGATGGCTATGAATCTTATAAAAATTGTTAATAACATAATCTTAGAAATTACATTGAGTACAATAGAGATGTTTCTTTATCTATCTTTCATCATGGAGAAAATTACTCAAAGCTTTAAAAGTTGCTATTTTGGTAGAAAATATCACAACATTGGAGGTGTCAACAACAAGTATTTGTTAAATGTTAATCTACTCTTTATGTTCTTATTGAGAAAAAAGTGCAAAAAACTTATTTATAGAGAGAATAGGACTAAGAAATAATAGTTGAACTAAAACTTAAGTAAAAGAGTTAATAAATTTCATCAAAAAGTACATCACATACTCTTTTTGAAAGTAATTATTAGATTCTTTCACACATCCACGATAACAATTATTACAAGAACACAAAGTGAAAGTTATTTAATTGTTCCCAAAAAACTATTATTTTAGAAAAATATTATTTCCAATAAGTTGTGATATAAAAATTAATTCTAGACTATCTAAGTGGTGTAAGAAAATACGAAATTGATGGATCATCTACAAGAAATTTACTTGAAGACATCAACAAGTAATTTGGATATTAAAAAAATTATGAAAAGAGGTATTAAATCTCATAATTACACCAAGATATGCCCACCAAAATAGATGAGTAATCTTACCCCTTTCAGAACTAGTAGACGATGGAGACCAATGACTATAAGTGAGAGAAAAGAGAAAACATGAAAAAGTCTCTACTTTGAAAGAAATGTGATATGTATTTCTCCACACATGTTTCCTCATATGTACAGAGAATCTTAAGATTCCACCACACTTCATGTATGTCATCATCAATTAATCAATTGTTATTTTTTCTCGTGAGCTGTAATTGGGATATCGTATAGTGCTTTCAAGTTATGTAACTCAAGTTTCTTTAGAATGGTAATTTGTTAGTCACATATATCAACAAAACAAATGTGAAGTATTAGCATAGTGAAAGATTATCTTTATAGCAATAGAGTAACACAATAAATTTAAAAAAACATTCTTACATGAGTAGCATGCCTACAAGAAATGGATACTGTTCAATTCAAGATTGTACTTCAATTAATAATGGGGATTCTAATTTTGACTTTTAGTCAACTACACTAATTTTCTTGATCTCTTTTCTTTGATCCTAAACTATCCTTAATTTTATAGATATAAATATTGAAAATTTCAAAATTTTAAAATTAATCCACCCTCTATTTACATCCACTCTCCAAGAACACCAGATTCGTGAGTATACTAAATAAAATATTTACCTAAAAATTGATGATTATCAAGATCATTTCTCACATAATTTTACCTAAATATTTTCTTATAAATTCAAAATTATTGGTGGTCCAATGCTAATTATTGGGATCAAGTTCCTTGATTGATTAATTCAAGACATAATTATAGGTTTGTCAAATAAAATGTGAGAACAATATCATTATTAGAACTTGTGGTTGATGTAGATTTAAGTTAAGTCTAGAAACAAAAAGAAAGATGAATTGCACTTGATTTTTTGTATCCTCTTCACATTGAGAAGCTATCTAATTGATGAAGATGTTGTCTTTAAAATCAGGTCAAGGAAGATCATGTTTCAATCATTTTTTTCTCATCAACTCAATGTTTTTTTGACATTGCACCAAGCTTCAAAGATTGCTCAAATTTGTATGTTATTTTTTTGCAAAATTACTCACCAAGAAGTTTGAGAATGTAGAAAGATCAAGGGTAATCATTTAGAATTTTTTAGCCATTGGAGAAAGAATAAATTGAAAAATAAATTTTGATCCTCAACCTTCTCATATTTTTCATTGTTATTCAACATTAAAATAGTAAAATTAGTTACAGATTTGAATGGTCATAAACCATTGTGACTCATTTTTTGAAGATTCAGATTTACTCTAACATTAACCCAATAAGCATAGCCATTGATAGGAATATGTTATATGATGGTAATGCTTCTGATGTCATTAATAGGAATATGTTATAGTCAAAATAGAATCATAAATACATATCATAATATAAAGTAGACATATCATAAATACATATCTCAAGTTAAGAACTAACAATTTTGTATTCAAATTAAATCCAAATTACTTCAAAAAATCATGAATATGAAGTAGACACACTGATCATCATTTCAATATAAAAAAACATTACTTTAACAGCTTATGATATTTAAAAATTATTTATCAATTAATATTCAATAATATTAAAAAAAATGAATGGTTGCTAAAACAGTATAGATTCAATCATAAATATTGATGTTTCATACAAATATTTTACTTTCAACATTTGCTTAAAATATAATATCCAAATTATTACTCTATGTAAATAATATTTTTTCATAAATTAACATTCTAGTAATAGCAAAAAAATTAATGATTTCAAATAGAAAATTCATCATAACTCAATATTCAAGTCATAAGTCTCAAAAAAAATCATGTAAGTACATTATAGACATGTAACATCATTACTACATATTATCAATGAATTTAGATTTAATTAATTATATACATATATCTAAGAAGTTATTTATTTTTCTTTCATGGATAATGAATAATGAATAATCAACATACAATGATCCATTTATTTCTTTTATATGCATTTGACATTATCAAAAATTGATGTTTTGGAATCCAACACATTTTATATTTCTCCTTGATCCTTGATTATAGAAAATGTCACAAAAATGAACTATTTTAAGAACCCAAATCTCAAAGACTTCATGGGAATATCTCAAAATCAAAGAAATAAACTAGTGGGGAACATCATCATCAATCCAAAAAAAAAATTAAACATGTGAGGATCAACATAAACTTGTAGAGGAATCAAAGCATCCATCTCAATCTCCAAAGCAACAACCAAGTATGCCATTTCAAGTGAGCTCTACCCTAACAAAGGCATTGGTGTTATGCCTTACAACGTGCAATGAGTAGAGAAGAAGCTTCACCAATGACTAGGCGATGCAAGAGACCGGCCTCTATGATAGCGAGTTGAAGATCGAACATAACAAAGGAGGATGTAAAATTAGTTCCGATTTGTAGCTGCTAAATTAATACAATGAGAGGAAATCAAAGTCCATTAGTTTGTAGCCGTTTTGTACCAATTTGCAAAGCTACTAATTCAGCCATGAAGAAATGTTTCGTCTTAGTCTAAAATCAGACTCGTGCACTTAGAAGTTGTATCTAGTTAAGCAAAGAGTAAAGAGTATAAATTTATCTCGCAAGAATAAGTCATCTACGAAACTAAATAATTCATTGACAAAAAATAATTAGTAACTGATAAGTCTTCACTATCATGAGCTAATAATTAACTAATAACATATTTTTAGTCTTAACTCATGATAAATAGACTTATATTTATGTTAAATTATAAAATGTGATTTTTAGTTGGTTAATGTGATTTTTTGGCTAATTATATAATTTTATATAATTTTTATAATCATATTTTTGAGATAAATAAAATAAAATAAAAAGATAAAAAAAGTGGAGAACCTGTTGACTAGTCAGGCTCGCAAGCAGGTTTGAAACATAGTTGGGCAAAGCCACAACTAGGGGCTCAAGTGATTAACGACAAACTAGTAAAAGACACGTGTGCATCATTCTCTTTCCACATCACCAATGGCTAGCTGATCATGGTACAAAGAATGGTCATGTACATGCGAGAAAGAGACCCATTGATTACCAAATCTTGAATTACTATATATCTATCTCAAAATTCGGCATATAATCGATGTGGGACTAAACCAACAGTCACAATCTCCTTAGAAGGTTTTAATTATTTTAATACCTAAAATACTCCTTATTTATCAAAAGGTGATAATCTTATGACATCACTTTATAAGAGTATTTATGTAGTTATATTACTTTCTCTTATACATGTGAGCAACTGACAAGGATTTGAATCTTACTAGAGCCAAAAATGCATACTTTTATTTAATTAAATTGTGATTTTTCTATATATTTCTAAAAAATGATTAAACTATTATAATTGTTCAATCATCAGTGAAACTCTCATTAATACGATTCACAAGGCATCGTTACTAGAATTATTAAACTATTTTGGGTAAAAATATTACAAATTTATTAAGTAAATCATCTCTAATTGATTTATGAATAAGTCGTTGTTATGAAGAATACGATCTATCGAGACACGAGTCACCACCTCCTGAGAGTGTATCAAATGCGATGAAAAGTCTCATCTTGTTGTGTGGACTTGAAGATGAAACTCCATAAAACGCATCTCACCTCCATCCAACTCATCTCCATTGATTGACAATTGTCAGAGAGCCATAAAGTCATTATTTCTCCGCTCCGCTAGGTGATAGTCACCAGAGATGATTTGACGACTAAATTCATTGATTTATAGACTTTGTAAAAAGATCTATAGATTGCTCACGTTGTTTTTGTCCAAATAGAGTTTTTGATATCATAGACATTGTACGACAATTCTTTCAAACACTTAGGATTTTAATATATTGTCGACGTATCACTCCTGTGACATCAAAACTCTCTTTTACTATTTTTAACTAGTTTAATTTCTACTATCATTTTTTCGACTTCAAAAAGAGATCTAGTAAATGTTCAAGTCATTGATGTCCAATAAAAATCTTTTAGAACAAATATATCACAATAATCATCTCGAACACACAAATTTCGACGATTACCGTCATAAAGTCAAAACTCTACATTTACTAATTTCAACTTAATTTTTACTTAATTTAATGATACTTTGTGTAATTTCAAAATTTGAAATTATTCTTCATTAAATTATGATTCTTCTAGCTTTTATAGATTTTAATTTGATCAATTAAATCGTATATAATCACTTATGTAAAAATCACCAGATGAAACTCTATTTTTGTCCTGATTTGCATTCCTCAAGGTGTTGACATCATCTTGAGACATGCACCCTTATTTTCCTTTTTTGTATATTTTAAATATATTTTATTTTTATTTCTTAGTTTAAAATTTATAAAAAAATATATTCTTTTATAAAAAAATTGAAATATCACTCGATATTATCTTACATCTCTATGATCAACTTGAAAATTATTTACTATTTTTAAACCTTTTATCGAATTATAATTTATTTTTATATTTTAAAATATTTCTAAAAATCTAAAAATTATATTTTTTAATTTTATAAATTTTAAATTTGTGTGATTTATTATATAATGACTAAATCACATCAATAAACTAATAGTTTCTTCAATGGTTATCCTCAAGTTTTCTTCTGAACTTCTATCAAAAGATCTATCTCTAATTTAAAGAAAACAAACTTTGAGATTTGATTCACATAGGGAATTGAAGGGCGACACCCATCATGATTCAATGTGATTACCCATGCAAAAGAAAATAATCAATGAAGGTTCTTCACTCTCAAGACATTTGTAATTAGAAGCCTCCTCAATATTGAAATTGAGCTTCTTTGATTTCACATGATACCTTGCTCCCCACTCTACATCTTCATTAAACCAACACACGGTGGCGTAAGCCATTTGGTTGCTTATCAGCCTCGGCAGGAAATGAACAGGGATCTTCCTACTTCGCAAGATCAGGAACATGATTTGGCAATGTCTCTACTTCCTCAAATAGAGTAGATCTCACCAAGGTAGCATATAAGCCACTGCCTTCCGCTTCATCAGCGATTGAATTTGAAGTCAAACTCTTCTAGTTTCTTAAACAACCTACAAAGAACAAATGTAGCCGTAAACTTTCTATGGGCTCAACTTTCTTCCCCAAAAGTCAACTCTCTTCCCATGGCAGCCTGGGTTGGGTACGATGGGAGACTTGCGATGTAAAGGCCAACCCAATAAAGGCTCAATAACAACAGACCACACGTGAGGGGTTATTTGGCAACAGGGCCACAATGATGCCACTAAGCAACGCCAACGTTAATACACCATCTTTGAACTTGGGCTGGTATCAATTATTTGTCCAACCACTTCGGCAAATAAGCCGTGAAGCTCACCAAAGCAAACTCGTGTGGCACATTAGCCTGTCCCTGTTGGGCCACGCGGTTGCAGGCTCGGTTAGGTAGATCAGCCCATTAGTGGGAGGAGGTGGGTGCGGGACCAAAAGTACGGTCGGTTCGAGGGGTCCCTGTCACTTAAATGTGCCACTGTGAGCATTGGATTGATTCCCCCTGTACGAGGGAAACGCGTGAGAGAGGGAGAGATGGAGAGAGAGAGAGAGAATACGTTAAAATATTTATGTTTTGACTGGTCCTCATTTATGAGCATTAATTATCGATACTACGCATAATTGATCCAACTGTCAGGGCCTAAGCATCACAGGACCCTTGTCGAGAAAAGTCCAGGTAATGTACTCCGAATATGCCCCATGTGGAGTACTCGCTTGGTCCATGTAACCATGAGAGTGTCTGCGTGTGTGTGTGTGAGTGAGAGAGAGAGAGAGAGAGAGAGGGGGCTATTCACCTCGTGGGTCGTCGCGAGAGAAAAATGAACTTCTCGCGGGTTCTATTTTGGCTCTAGGATCAGCGTACACTGGCTCGCCACCTCTCATCATGTGATCAATGGAGCTCATAGAACCCGAAGGATGGATTCAACCAGTGAGGGATCAACGTGTTAGGTAGGTCGGACTTAATGCATGGCAGCAAGGCGTAGAATTGGGCTTACCAGCGTTGACTCGGAGAAGTGCCAGCTCTAATGGCGGTAAGTTCCTAATCGGGAATATAAAGCGGATAACAAGGCGTTAATGAGGGTGTTTTCAAGAAGAGCGTCGTCTCGTTCACTGAGCTGTAAAAGACGGAAATCAAAGCAAAAGCTCCCGTAGTGGAGAGATCTTTAAATATTTTTAATGGGCTCGGGGCAGTTTACGGAGGAGTCTTATATAATCCGCCGCCTGGTCGACGGCCCCCCCATCTCTGCCATGGAGGAGGCCGTCGTGGGGGACGGCACCGCCGCCGTCTCCGCCGCCTCGCCGGCGGCGGAGACGACGTCGTACTCTTCTTGTTCCACGGCTGCGGACGGCGGCGCCAAGGGGGAGAAGCGCCGGAATGTATACCGGGGAGTACGGATGCGGAACTGGGGGAAGTGGGTGTCGGAGATCCGGGAGCCGAGGAAGAAGTCAAGGATCTGGCTGGGGACCTTCCCGACGGCAGAAATGGCGGCGCGGGCCCACGACGTGGCGGCGCTGACGATCAAGGGGGAGGCCGCCCACCTGAATTTCCCTGAGCTGGCCTCCGAGCTCCCGCGACCGGTCACGGCGGCGCCCAAGGACATCCAGGCGGCCGCAGCCAAGGCCGCCGCCACCACCTTCGTCGGCCGCCATGTGGAAGCGGAGGAGCGCCGCCGCCGCGAGGATTCCGGTTCTCCGGAGGACGATGAGCTCTTCGACCTGCCGAACATTCTCGTCGACGTCTGCAGCGGCGACTGGTTGTGCTACTCTTCTCCGTGGGTGCCGCCGGCCGATGCGGCGGCTGAGACGGCGGCGGGAGGGGAGAGCTACGATGGCGTGGGTTTCCGGCTTGTCGAAGAACCCTTCTCGAACCGTCTTCTGTAAGAATAATTACCAGTTTGGTGGTCTTCCTGATCCGATTCCAAAACCCTAATCTCCTTCGGCTCTTCAGGCTGCTTCTTCCGGGTTGCAATTAATTACAGAGAGGAACCCAACCCAGTCGGCAACCGTGTGGAATCTTCGAATTACTACAAAATGCGGGGATGGGTTTTTAAAAATCTTGGAAATCTGGTCGACCTTCGAGTGCACAGTTCGATAGTCTTTGCTATATTTGGAATCACCTTCGCATCAACGTGCCGAGGAGAGATTCTGGATCGAGCCGTCTTTCGTCTCCATCTCTGCATATCTGTGTAAGGGGGGTTTCACGGGCCGGGCCGGGCCGGACCCTAATTACGGCTAAGGTCCCGTCGTCAATTACAAGTTTTGGACCCGCCCGGACTTTAAAACTGTCAGAGGACGAGGAGACGCTTGGGCTCGTATGACTCTCTACATTACACACACACACACACAGGGAGAGAGAGAGAGAGAGAGAGAGAGAGAGAGAGAGTAAGAGAGGGGAGGGCCGGGCTGACTTACATGAAAGTCACGTCGGCCCGGCCTGGTCCATCTCCACGTCCTCTCAAGGGGAGAGAGCAACAGGAGCCTCTCGACGTTTTCCCTCTTTACAAAGCAAAAGCAGCGGTGCTCGGCCCGGGAGGGGAAAGGAGACGTCTAAAAGACCACACCAGCAAACAAAAGGAGGAACGGAGAGAGAGAGAGAAAGAGAGATCCTCCGCTGAACTCTGTTTCTTGCTCCCCAGCTGACCTTATCTTCTCCCCCAGCTTTCCTTGTTCATGACGAGAGATAGTTAGAGAGAAGGAAGTAGGCCAGATGTCTTCTACGTTACAGAGAAACTAATCCACGGGCAGAATTCAGATCTCCACCGGTCCTCAAACCCTTGCAAGTCAGAAAACCGAGATAATTCATCGTCATTGGAAGATGATATATTTGCTCGCGGAACTCGGAGAGCTGCATGAAGAATGAAGCAGCCAGTCAACCGACGACTATCCGACGGTTCTAGTCACCAGGGGAATGATCTCCCGGTGCCAGCAGGGATTCCCACCAGGGTCATCCATACCGTCGCCGCCGCCTCTCGACGCCGCGTGGGACGGGGTCGTGGGCTTTATGTCCGCCGGCGGGTTGACTCCGAGGGCACCGCCGCATGGGGGGGGGGGGTGCTCCCGGAGAAGGGAAGACTTGGGAAGGAAGGAAGGAATTGCGCGCGAGGATGAGGCTTGCGACGAGGGGGAAGGGGGCAAGCAACGGATAAAGACCTGTTGGCACGACGTTTCAGGAGGCGGGAGGGAAGACGGATGAAGGAGAGAGAGTGAGAAATAGAAAGGGAGGACAGAAAGAGTGTGAGGGACGGGGTAGAGAGAGAGTGGGAGGGAGTAGGGGGGCTTGATTTACCTTTGCATCTTTTACGTAACGATTAGATGTATGCTTTTGACGTGCCGCTCTCCCACGGGCGCTGCCGGAGCACGAAGGGGGGCGGCCAAGAAACGAGATAACGGGCCGAGCCGGCCTGGGCCTCCAAAGTCCGACCCAATGATTCGTCAGACTGGGGCCCAGCAAACCCAAAATTAAATAGCTTAATTTTATAATCCAAATAATTACAGTATTTAATAAGATCACCATCCACAACCTCTCCTCATTAACGGGGATTCTTACGGATGGACTTGTCGTATCTTACGAGCTTGGATCTTCCTGGAAGGAGCTCCACATCTAGAAGGGAAGGAGAGAGCCAATCTCAGCCGTCCATCTCCTCCCCGGCGTCAAGAGAAAGATAGAGCCCAAGATGGTACCCAACTACCCCCCACCCTTCGCGAAGTAGCCGGCCGTCCAGAAGCCCACTCGCAAATGAGGTCCGTTAATTATAAATGGGCCTTGATGATATCGGGCCAATATCAATCTTCGTGGAAACCCAAAACCGCGACACGTGCAACCGAGCATGGTCACTGGCGGTAAAAGTACCGTTCTACTGCAGTGGGGGCTGTCAATGATTCATCCATCTCGCGGTGTCGTGGCCCTAATCCGCCGCCGCATAGCAGGGCTGGGGGTGGAGGAAGAGAGCGCCGCAGAGTGAGGAAGAAGTGCCCGAGAGAAGAAAGATGTTGGCTTTGAAGCCTCCGTCGATCTCCTTCGACAAGGTCCTCCCATGTAAGAAGACCCACCACCGGAGCCCTACGCCCCTCCTCCGATCACGCAGGACGGCGGTGGCGGCGGCGGCTTCTGGCGGCGGCGCCGCCACCGTGGCGGTGGTGGACTCGCCGACGCGGGTGGAGATACTGTCGGAGGCGCTACCGTACATCCAGCAGTTCCGAGGGAAGACGATCGTCGTCAAGTACGGCGGCGCCGCCATGAAGTCGCTGGAGCTGCAGGACTCGGTGGTGAAGGACCTCGTCCTGCTCTCCTGCGTGGGGCTCCGCCTGGTCGTCATCCACGGCGGCGGGCCGGAGATCAACTCATGGCTGACCCGGCTCAACATCCAGCCGCAGTTCCTTAACGGGCTCCGAGTCACGGACGCGGCCACCATGGAGATCGTGGAGATGGTCCTCGTGGGGAAGGTCAACAAGTCCCTCGTCTCCCTCATCAACCGCGCCGGCGGGACGGCGGTGGGGCTCTCCGGCAAGGACGGCCGCCTACTCGCCCCTCGACCCGCCCCCAACTCGGCCGGGCTGGGTTTCGTCGCGGACGTAGCCCGAGTCGACCCGACCATCCTCCTCCCCATCCTCTCCTCGGGCCACATCCCCGTCATCGCCTCGGTGGCGGCTGACGAGGCCGGCCAGGGGTACAACATCAACGCGGACACGGTGGCAGGAGAGATCGCGGCGGCCGTCGGGGCGGAGAAGCTGATCCTGCTGACGGATGTTCCGGGAATCTTGGAGGACCGGAACGACGTGGCGAGCCTGGTGAAGGAGATCGACATAAAGGGGGTGAGGAAGATGGTGGAAATGGGGAAGGTGGCGGGGGGGATGATCCCCAAGGTTACCTGCTGCGTGAGGTCGCTGGCTCAGGGGGTGAGGACGGCCAGCATTATAGACGGCAGGAAGCCGCACTCTCTTCTTCTGGAGCTGCTCACTGGGGACGGCGCCGGCACCATGATCACCGGATGACGACGAAAATGAACCAAAGGTTCATGATCTTCGTCCTTTTACTCGATCAGGAGAGGGAGGACTCCTTCGTGATCTTTGATCTCTCCAGCCGCTTTTCTTCTTCTTCTTCTTCTTCTTTTGTCTTCGATATGCTTCATTCCCTCTCGGCTGGAAGTCTCTTCCCCTCATCTTGGAGCAGAGGAGGATTTCATGGAGTGCGAGCTGAAAATCAGGGCCTTTGGTGCTTCCCGCTGCATATCCCGATATATATATATATATATATATATATATATATATATATATATCACTATGATTTTCAGCGAGGACAATGCTGTCATGGGAAAAGATCAGATGCTCCGAGAAAATGGGAAACTTTCTTGATATGGATGGATCCCTTATAACTTTCTCCCACCCATGGGAACCGGAAGAACCCCGATTTGGACCAGACCTCAGATTAACTCAACCCAGAGAGGATCGGCGGCCAAGTTGGTTTGGAAAATGGTGGGTGGGGGATGAACTGGGCAGTGGAGACCCGACCCGACGTCTTCAGCTTGTAGCTCTTCAAGTCGCCGGTTTTTTCTCTCTCCGTTTCTGTCTTCTACCTCTGCTGATCACGAATAAATACGCAGACTTCCCCCAGCCTGGTGATTGGGATAAGATCAGGATTAATACGACATATCGAAAGCTTCTCGGCATCAGAAACCTTGAAAACACGCACTTATGAGGCATATTGTCAATAATATAAGCAGTGGATGCAGACTAGACTAAATTAGCATCATCATATATTCTTCCTAGATCTATAGAAAGTAATAAACGGAACTGTAAGCAGACCTGAGCATCCCATATTAGAATGGAATCAAACGGTCGAATCAATTCGAATCAACTTCAACTTTGCTGGACCTTGATCTGAGTTAGCCTATTGAACCAGATCGAGTGAAGAATCATGTGAAAGAGATCATATTTGATGGGCTTGGCATGCCAAAGGAAGTGTTTCTGCAACCTTTTCACGTTCGTCTGCATAGTGATATATTGTCTTAGGGATATTCTTTGAAGCATATTCTTCAGGTCAGGGATATCCTTCTCTGCAACAATGACAGAGAATGAACTCCAATCCAACACCTCGTCAAACGGAGGAACAAAGTTGTCTGCTATAATCACAGGAACGCATTCATAGTAAATTGCTTCCACGATCCTTGGACTGTTTACTTCGTAGCCCATGGGACAGAGGCAAAACCTGCTTGACTTCATATGCTGGATATAGGACATGGCTCTCGATACTCTAGAAGGAAGCGGGCCGTAGATTTTCATGTCCGCATCGTTTCCTCCCCAGTGACTGAGTAGCGTAGGTCTGACGCGGCCGTGCATCTGTCCAGCGAAGAAAGCTAGAATAGAACGTTGAGAAGCAGGCCTCCCTCCAAGGTATTTGAGAGGCCTTTTTGGAACTCTGATGGATGTTTCCGGAAGTGATACGTCTTTCCCGCGAACAAATATCCCTTCAGATGTGTCCGCATTGCATAAAGCTTTGATGGTGTTTTTGCATAACTCATCATGCGCTGTGGTTACATATGGCCCCTGCAAAAATCAGACGACAGTGATGGAAGTCTGTGGATTATTCTACGAAGACGTCATGTGAAACTGAAAAATATCTCAAAATATTTCTCGTGGAAGATGCTCTATACATTGCATAACTCATTCATGTCTTCAGTCCATTCAGATTTCTGAACATTTAACGGTGAATGACCATCCCACTGTATTGTGGGCTAATTTAATAAAATTATGAGAAATACCTAAAATTCACTAAGCATGAATACATTCATGTATTATTTTTATTCATGGAGCATCTCACAGAATTATAAGCAAAGTTTTCTCTGAGGAACAGGAAGGAAAAATAACGCCTAGATAACATGTCTGAAGATAGCACACATTTGTTCAGAGAAAAATTAAATTACCACAGTCAATTTTATTAAAAATAGTGGGTAATATGTTTTTAAAAATTCCAAGAAAACGCTATAGATTTTATCCCGAGCACCTGAAGTAAGATAATCTCTTCGGGCCAAACTGAAGTAAAGCATTACTCATTAACTAGGAAAAAGGACATTGACCCTCTCTTGAGAAAAAAACTGTTTGGGACGTTATAAATGTGGTTGCTCAAGTTATCTTCGTCGCCTCTTACTGATACAGATAATTTTTTGTCTATATATTCCGCGAATAGGTAACCAGAGTTTTTGGCCTGCAGAAAGCACAGCTGTACCAAAACAATGCCACCGGTACTGTGCTAAAAAAAAAACCTGAGATATGAGAACCGAGTTCTTTCCAGAATGAATTATAAACCAATAGCCATCAGAGCCTGCGACAAAATTAAAGAAGTGAAGTTCTCGTTTGGAGAGTTGTACAGATGCATACCCAGTCATGGCAAGCAACCAGGAAATGATCTGATCCATGTGTTCGATTCCAAAATGGATATTTTGATGCGATCTTGTCCACGTAGTCCCTTAGAAAGAGTGACAATGGACGCATATTGTGGGAGTCAGGTACATAGAGTGCTTCTTGTAGCCGACGTGAACTGTAAGGAAGGTAGAATAGATGAGCCCTATTCGGATTCTTCACAGTAAATTGCTTATTCTCCTCAATCAACTTCATAAACCATCCTTCGGATGCATAGATGCCTTTGAGAGGAGGTGTGTGGAAAATTGGTCTTTCTCCATCCTTGTAGATGTACACCTTCAGAATTTTTTCCATCAGCTCATAGCTCCTGAAAATAAAACATTTTAGATTTTTTTATTTCTGAGAACGAGACGGAATGTAGAAATGTGCAAGCCAGTTTAATTACTATCAGTGTCATGACAAATATATCATGTTTTTCATTTTATTTTGGTTTTGGGAGAATTCTGTATGCAGGAATGTGAAACTTCCTATTAATCACATTAAGTGCCATGAAAGAAGACTGATGTATTTATATCACGCTGTGTAGGTATCATAGTTTAAAGTTCGTATGGATGCACCGATTATCAGGTTCCTTGTTCAGCATTGTTCAGTATTCAGAAGCCCAACTCTATTCTTGAGAGCAGAATATTCAAGGAAAGATAGGCAATTATAAGAATTACAGAAGATAAAATATGATCATAGGTTCCAATAATATCGGAAAGAACTAAAAGGAATTTGTGAATTTATTTGTGGTGATTTCAGGGGCAGGAAACTTCCGGAAAGATTTCTAGTATTTCCAGTTCCCTCACTTAATTTGTACGACGATACAGGATAAATGTTTGACGATTAGTGTAAGTTGCCGAATTCATGAATAACTTTTTTTCCCGAAGATAATATTTTATTTTACTAATACTTTTATTCCTTAGAAATAGTAACAAATAGTAACTTCTTGCGACTGACCATACTAAACGTGCATTCCTCAATCATATCAACACGGAGATTTTTCAAGAGCATAAGTCTACATATTTTGTTGAAGGATATATATCTGATCCCATGCAATACCGCAGTCCCTAGCTTTCTCTGTGTCATTTCAAACCACATCCAGACGCAGTGCATTTTACCGAGGCTACTGCCGCTAAAGCTCACTCTAAAAATTTCAGAGGAAGTAATGTGGATTTTCCAACCAACTGTTGGGTTCTCTCTTGCTTCGATATTCTACTCAACAAACCGCTGATGGGGAAGGACTTGAATTTTTTTTCGTACCCAAGTCAATCAATTTTGAGTTACTCGTCTGCGCTGTATTGTAGGCAACAGCCGCCAGCCGAACCAAGCGCCTTAAACGACGATCGGCATTTTCCGTTAGGTTTTCATCCACACGAAGAATACAATGAATGCAAAAATGTCAACTTCTACATGGAAGAGTAAGCAGATCCTAGGAATTGATTATGAGACTGCATACCCTAAAGAGCATCATGCAGAATTCTCTGCTACTTTTGAAGAGAGATAATACTTTCCAAAGTCAAGGGAAGGATCTTCAGATTGTGGGGACAGAGTATAGAGGAAATATTGAGAAGATATCGGTCTGTCCATGATTAGTTCCACAATTGTGGAACTTTGCGAAGTTTTCAAAAAAATTGGCGACATTTTGCTTTGTAAGATGAATTTGCTCTGTGATAACCATGGTATATGCGTCTCGAAAGTCGATAAACGTTCCTACGAGTTATCGAAAATGAATTCAAGTGACTCATGCTTGGTTCGCACCTTCTAAAGGTCGACACATTCCGGAATAAGGGGGCGTACAGATTGGAATTATCCGAGATGAGGGGAGCTCTCTCGATCTCAGACTTGGCGTAAGCAAGTGCTTCATCTGGAGGTAACGACCACAATGGTCTCTGAAGAAAATAAGATGGCATAGTTTATATAATAAAAGAACCACATGAGATAAATGCAATAAATGAAAAGAGAAAGTCACCACCTCTAATCGAGAACGTCGAGAACCTTTCGGCCTCTGTTCTTTGATCACGCCTCCCCCGGGGGTACCGTTCCAAGCCGAAGCAATACCAGGCGGTGAAGAAACGAGAGAATCGGATGGCCTCAGGGAGAAAACAGACGTGTTTGGGGGAGACGGAAATTGCCGCGAGGGCACCACCCTTGATGGAGGAGGAGGAGGGGGAAGCGGAGACGGCAGCGGCATGGCAGCGGTAACATTCTGATCCGTCGAGTGGGAGTGAGAGACCGATGGAAAGAGGAACGAAACCACAGACGAGTACGGCAGGGCGCCGGCCGTGATCGCCACAAATGCCGTGACAGCCAGTGTAGACACCAGGATCAGCCTCCTCCAGTCCAAGCCGGCGAAGAGCGTCCTCCTCGGCCAACGCCGCACGCTCTCCGGCTTTAGACGGGACACCGGCTCCCGGAGGATCGACGACGCCATATCCGTCAGACTTTTGGCAATTCAACCGCAGAAGATGCCATCTCTTTCGCCGGAGGTCACAGGGAAGACAGGAATCTGAGATTGGAAAAATGCAAGAAGCCTTGAGACGCACACACAGAGGAGGACCGAAGAAGAAAATAGCCCGTCGGCGTAGGCGGCGGGAACGGTTAAACGTGCATGCTGGCTTTCCCCCTTAAATTACGGTTTTACCCCTGCCTACACATCCAATCTGAGCTTCGTTATTAGGGAATCGTGGGTCCATCTCGCCCGTCTGATCGCTGCGCCCACCGTTCCTTCATAAATAGCAGCGGCGTTCACGGGCCTTAATCAAACCGCTACCACGACGTCCCGTCACCCCCAGGACGATCGTGGGCCGGCGAGCCTCAACGGCAAGTAGGAATTATTTAAACCCCCCCCCTCCCCACTAAAAATAGAAACCGCGGCGACCCAGTCCCAGCTGAACCGTCCAGCTCGTTATCTCCTAACCAGATTCGTAAGTTCTTTAATTTTATAAATTATTTATCTGGTCATTTAATTCAAGTAATTTCCCCCACGATTCTACCACGTGGTGTAATTCTAGCATCTGAGTTATTAAAATCGAGCTCAGCTAATTAACTGAATAAGGAAAAATATAAAGTGATGAGAAAATAAGTATATATATGTATATATGTGGAACTAAATCATGGGCTATACGGACCTTTAGAATACAACAGTCTTCTTTAGTTCATCGGGTAGAACGCGCAGCTCACAGTAGGACTTTATTGCCTTGACAAGGCACTGCTTCTCTAGTTCCTCTGACTTCTGCACAAAACTCCGCAGGCTGTCCCTGTGGGACACTCGTTCAACCTGTTTCAGAGGATGATGAGCATAATATTCTCTTCTTTTTTCTTTATTTTCTAAAAGTCAACGCCGAATTTAAGCAACACAGGGCACAAAACTGGAGAAATTATGTAATTTTTTGTGGAAATAAAGGGTGGGTCACCATCTGCTCAATAATTGGACCCTCGTCGAGCGGTTCAGTCACAAAGTGGCTTGTGGCGCCGATCAGTTTGACTCCTGCGTTGTATGCCTGGCAGATTCACAGATAATTGAAGTACTGGAAGGATACTAGCTGTTAATATGAACAGGGGGAGAGCACGAAGGACGAGCCTGCCTAGAAGGGTTTATGCCCTTGAATGACGGAAGAAGGCCATGATGAATGTTGATCACATCTTTGCCGTAGCGCTTCAGAAATCTTGCAGACAGAACCTTGGATACATAGAATATAATGCCCAATATATAAAAGCGTATAAAAAAAATGAACCAGGGCATGACAAGAACTCAAGCAGGGTTCCTCTCTGTTATAAAAAGAGTAATGAATGCCTGACGAGGATACATGCAATACCTGCATGTATCTAGCGAGGACGAGAAAGTCGGTTCCTTCAACCAAGCTCAGGATCTCCTCTTCTCTCTTATTTTCTGAGGTTGTCTTCAGGCAATGATATGGGATCCCATCCCTCTCTAGAAAGTTCACCAAATGGGTCTTCGGAGCTCTCTCGTGATTGCTGTGAGCACAAAGCAATCCACTTAGTGGAAATTGGGCGTGGGTCCTGCGCTTTGCCAACGGATGAACTTCTCTCAATTCACCTTATGACGCATTTTATCTGAACTGGAAGCCTGCCATCGTGCCATCCATGTAATATATCCACCAAACAATGATCCTGAAGAAATATGCGTAATAATACATTAATATGAAAGGCAAAGAAGCATGTAATAAATGATATATTAATACCACCAGAGATCACGTTTCCGGAAGAAGCATGTATCATTCTCCTAGCATGTGGAAACAGTTCAGTTCAGTTCAAGAACAATTGTTGCTGGGTTGCGGGGGAAACCTGCTTTGAAGCAAGAACTGCGATCTTGAATTTTGGGTCTACATCAGGGACTCGAACTATAGATACGTCGGCATTGAATAATTTGGATATATTGAAGAAATCAGTATCCATCGTTTCCCGCGCCCAATTTGCCGGATCAAACACAAATTCGCTGCCAAGAATTTTCCAAACATTGTGAGAATTCACAGCCAATCAATAATAAAAAAAGGGTGGTGATCAATGCCTGACGGAAGATAATGCTCTTGAAATGGATATAGGAAGCAAAAGACAGTGGTGGATGAGCCAGTCATGAACCAGAGGAAAAACTCCAGTAGAGCTGAGCAACGGACGCAGAAAGCAAACGGGACTACCAATGTACGATAAACAGACGTCATCGTTGAATCCATGGTCAGGTGTGAGAATGCCTGACCTTCGGGAGTAGAAGATCCTCTTGTCCTCGGGGACAAAGACGTCGACGTCGTGTATGTTACCTCCGTGCGACGCGATGCACTCTGAAATCTTCGCAACGATCCCCACTGCGTCCTGTGACACCACCACCGAACGATCAGAACTCGTCAATGAGCCTCGTCAGATTCAGAACGGGCTAAGCACACCGAGAGATCCACGGAAGACCAAAATCAAACACGTACAGGGCAGCGTAAGACATGGATCCCCAGCTTCCGGCCGCTCCCGCCGGCGTTAGAAGAAGACGACGTCGACGTCACGCCGCAAGAATTGGATGGACGCGGCCGCACCACGTCCCCTGGGACTCTCAGCAAGCAAGACGCTGAAGGGAGCTTGCTCGAGGAAGAGGACAGTGCTCTCCTGAACAGAAGCATCGTCCCTCCGCCCTTCTCTGGTTGCTTCTGTTCATTCTCTTCTCTCGTCCGTTCCTCCCATCGTGAGGGGTCCTCCACCCTCCGGGGCCCGACTGGCGGCGCCGCGGGAGCGCGATCGAATGACTTCCCGCCACACGATGCCAATTCCACGTCGGAAATCCCGCTGCGCCGATTCCACGTCGGAATAAATGAGTAACTGCGTCATTATCCCAAATATTTCTAAAGATACTATCATTAAATGAGAATTTATAATGATTTGAAAGATACAAAATAACCTGATTATATAATATATCTGTTGCTAAATTCGAGCTGTTATCGCTTAATGCCTTGGGGTGGGGGGCCCACATTTTATTTATGCTTATTTTCTACCCATTTATATCAGAAAATTTATTGTCATTAATTCCCGCAGGGAAGGAGCAATGGATAACGTGATGTGATGGGGGGGTGTGGGGGTGGGGGTGTAGGGAGGGAGGCCATCCACGTGTTTTATCCCATATTTGTTTATTTAAGAAATTTTCAGCATTTTCTTGGGTACAAGAAATATTGGGTACGGATTGTTGGATCCGATGCTCTAAGAGCAGAAAGGCGTGGGTGGGCAATTTGGCTGAGGTGTGAGTTGTCAAGATGGGTGGGTCATGATATTTGTTTGTTGCTAGAAAGTGTCAGAAATTTGATATAACCAATACACTCAGATTCTTTCATAGGGATCAACATTTTCATGGTCTTGTGTTGTTCATCTGACCTCACCTCTTCCATTCACAACCTCTTTGTTTCTACTTCCTCTCTGTGCCAACATAAAATATGGAGTAGTAGGGAGAGACGACGGCGGTGGTTTGTGAGTCCTACAGTGAGAGAGAGAGAGAGAGAGAGAGAGAGAGAGAGAGATGATTTCATTAACTCAATTAAAATAACAAGAAAATATGTTTATATAAAGGACATTGGAGGAAAGAGAGAGAGGACAAAAAAGAGAAAACTTGGGTCTAAAGTGGGTGAACCTACTTTAGTTAAAAAGGTAACTTTCTCTAGTGTGGCATCAACCTTCAACACTCCCTTTAGATGTAAAGTTGGTGATTCACAAAACTTTGATAAGATTAGGATAAAATCCATCGACAACTTGAATATTTGTTGATTAAAACTTCATTTCAATGAAATATGTAGTAACTTGATTGAATATAAATGATAGTGAATCTCGATATCTTTAATTATTTTTAATCATTGTTATGATTGACTTATTATCACAATGCATCATTAATTGGACTAGATTATGTCAAATTAACATCTTACATGGTCCTCCTCATCTAATATAATTTATTGTGCAGTTAATGATACAACATCATATTCAACTTTAGATAATGATAATATTGTGGTCCTTTTTTTTCTTTGAATTATAAATTATTGCACCTAATCTAAAGTTGAAAATAAATCTACTTGTGCTCTTCTTGTCATCTCAAGATCCTGTCCAATTGATGTTAGGAAAATCAACTAGTTTTAAAATAAGTTATATGGGTGTATAAAATTTAATAATTATTAATGCCATTAATATAATAAAGAATTTTATTTGCTACTACATGATGAGGTGTTGTAAGATAATATGTAAATCTGAAAATAAAATTGATTGAAAGCACAATATCCAACTTGCTATGAGTTAAATATATCAAATCACCAACTAAACTTATATAAAATTGTTCTTTTTTTTTGTACTACCAATATCAATGCATAATTTTCACTTATTTATTAGAGTACAGCATATTTTGCAATTCAGCATATTAAACACCTTGAGTAGATTGGAAGCATACTTCTCTTGTTAAATAATTATTTTATAAATTTTGAATAATATTAAGCCTAAGAAAATGGTTAAGTAAAATTAAATTAGGTATATGCATAAATGTCTTGAACTTAAATATTAATTTTAAACATGATTCAATATAAATCATGTCCTTAACATATACCATATTATCAAAATATGTCATTTTTTTCATATGTATATAAAGTGATGATTCACTCTTGGTTATATGAAAATTATTTTCAAGAATATATGAGTAAAGTAGATTGTATCATGCCCTTAGTGCTTGTTTAAATAATTATAATATATTTTCTAACTTATAAATTATTCCTTTATCATCAATCACAAACTCTCGAGGTTGTTTACTATACAAATATTGATTAAAATAGTTATTAAATATTTAAACATCAAATTTAAATATTGACCACTTCATGTGATTTTTTATTACCAAAGTAAATTTAAAAGTTTAAAAATTTGACAACATTTAAAATTTTCAAAATAATTGATGCTGAATTATTGTACATATCTATTTAATGGTGACCTTGTATTGTATTTTTACACATGTTCATCTAAATTATATTTTGTTGAGTTCGATCTAGTTAGGTGGAACACTAAGAGGGGGGGTGAATTGATTTCTTATGAATTTTTTTTATTCTTTTGTTTTATTTATGAGTGTATGTAACAACATAGGTTTTTGCACAAGTTCTTTATTTTATATAAAAATTTATATAAGTTAGTTTCTCTCTCTATGTGGGTTTACTCTACACACTCTCTCACCTATCACCACAAAAGACATCACCCCTCATTAGGCTATGTCTATTATCTGATGATCTTTTCTATTATAATCTATTATTTTCATCTAAAAATTCAATTGATTTCACTACATCAGCAGCCCAATCAATTAAGTCTGATTTTCACATATATCACACCCCTCATAGGTATAGTTTAACTCTCAACACCACGTGTCGTAGTCAAATATACTAATTTTCTTAGAAACCTCACCCTTCACATGCTTTAACATATTCTTAGCACACTATGTATTAGCCTAAGCCTTTATCTACTCACTACTTAGTTACCTTAAAATTTAATGTAGATAGTTAACCTTCAAAATACTAGTTGACTTAATTCACTACAGAAAGGTGAGTTGTATGATGAAACATTTAGTTCTTTCTTTGAAGCATGTGGTAACTTTGCTTTGACGAATAAAGTATGATTTTCTTTGGGCTTGATTGAACGAGGTAGGTATGTTTCTTTGTTTATCGTTAGTTATTTGTTCTTCATAAACTTGCTCCTTATATTTGCTAATATTTTCATATCTTTTCATTACTTAAAAAATAGTCACACGAATTCAAATTTTCTTCTTGTTAGTTTACTAGTGTGATAGTGACTTTTGTATGTTCTTCAGTTCAAAGTTTTTTATTTTCATGTAATTTGTCTTAGATATTTTGTATGGAGATTTTTAATATATTCATATAAATTTTTACTTTTAGAGTTTAACTCAATTAAGGTTGTTAAGTTTATATTTGTTTGCATGTATTATGACACATATTACTATCTAATGCATGGCATTGACCTTCGGTCATTCCTTCAATGCTTGTTGTTCTCTAATGGATTATGTTTGAAGCTTGTCATGGAGATACATGATCTATCAATGATTATCTTTGCTTCTAAGGTTGAGTCAAAGTTCATTCATTTTGTCAATTATTTTCTCAATGGGCTTTGTTGATGTACTCTAAGGTATGTGACGAGGGCTCCTTCCCTTTCATGAAGACTAGAATTTGAATCTTGTGTAACCATTATTCTTCATTTATATCTTTCTATTTCTTTGATTGACTTTCCAATGTGTCATTATTGAGGTATTGATTTAAAATCTCACAAATGAGTTTGTTTTCTTGACTTCATATACTTTGATTTTCAAACACTTTTCTTGTTGAAGCTATTGAATTCATGTCTATCATGTTCTATATTAGTATTATGTAGGTGACTTTGTATTTCTTGATTTTATGACGACTTCATCAAGTGTTGACATCTAATTCTCTATACTTATATCAAAACCATATGTCATTACATTAAAGTTATCATGAAGATATTTCAAGGATATAACTCTAACAAGAGTTAATTGTTGTATATTAAATCATAACAATTTAAAATTTATTAAACTAAAAAACACTAACTTTTAGATTTTTACAATTATTTTTACGTAAATATATCAATTTTAAATCAATAAAGAGCTCCAAAAATATATATTTAAAACATTTTTTAATTAAAATATAATTAATTAAAAATAAAAATTCAGATGATGTCAATCATATGTCAATACCGTTAGAGAATTCAGATGTTGTATAACTTGAATCATGCATCATCTAGTTGCCTTGCCTTTTTGCAAAGGTGTAAAAGAGCTAATCAATGTTGTAATTGTGTTGCACACTTTGAAATACATTGGAAATCCATTTGAGCTTAATATCCACTCTAAGAACCATTTCAAGTCTCATTGGAAATACATTGAAAAATTCTTCTCAACCAGTTTATTCTAAGCTGATTGGGAAACTTTTTCTATCTACTTTTGAAAAAATTATGCTAGATTGAAGTTAGTTTCATGATTTACCTTGTTATCTAAACTTATTTAATAAATTGATTTCTTCACCCCCCCCCATATCCCTTCATTATGTGCATGAAGCATCACTTTCTTCTAAATTCCTTATTCCATCTCACTCTATCACTCCATCTAACATGTTGGAATGCATTGGACATCTATTTGAGCGTAATATTAACTATGATAACTATTATAAAACACAAACCCATGTTTATTTTAAGCCGCTTGGGAAGAATTATCTTTCTACTTGACTATGAAGTTCGAACCTATATTTATTTTAAGTTGATTGAAAAGAATTTTCTTTTTACTTGATTATGAAGCCCAAACTTGTGAAGAAACTTTGCAAATTGAAGTCAGATTCTTGATTTGCCTTATTTTTGAAATTTATTTAATAAATCAATTTCTTTGTGTGCAAGAAGTGATGTAACATAATCCTATTCATCATTGACTGAAGAACATGAAACCAACCAAGATAGAGAGAGCTAGAGACGCAAGACGTGGAGGACACGGATCTTGTCGATGACTCAACTGTCAGCAGCTCATTGCATACCACAAACGACTTGAAACTAGCAAGTTCATTATCCTTGCATTCCACTATTTCAATTATTAGTTAAGGCTTATATAAATTGGCCATAACATTGCATATTGAGTTTGAAGGGTAGTTGCTGACTTGATCATTTGACATTGTCACCAAAGCTTGAGTTGGTCAGAGGACCACAGTGCTCCTAGTTTGGAGCTTCTTCTCTCTCTCTTCATCCACTTCTTCAGCCTCCACTTCTTCAGCTGCCAACAAAGCAGACCAGTGTGGACCCTCAATTGGCCATTGTGACTAGATACGAATGTTAGATCTATATTTTTTTCCTATATATCTACTTCTTATTCTTAATTCTTATCTATGAATCATCAATGGAGATTACCCCTTAAATTTGTCATTCTTGGAATAAATCAGCTCCGTTGCATGTTTCTCATTTACTTTTGGATCATCACTTGCTTTGATGTTTGTATCAATTGCAACCAGATAAACGTATGATTGCATCTATATACATATATACATACATATATATCTATACATATATACATACTGTGCTATATGGCTGCATTCAGGTGGTTGATGTACTCACTGGGCTCACTGTTGCTCATGAAACCCAAGAAAAATCATGGACACAGGCGACGGGCGCAAGATGGGCCTGAAACGGCAGCGGATGCTTGATACAACCCCGTGATACTTTGCAGTGGCTCGAACCAGGCAATGCAAGCCGGTGCGGACCTGGCTCGGACCGGGGATACAGTCAGTGCGGAGCGGGCAGTCCGGAATGATTCAGACCCGTAGACGGTGGTCTTTGGCGGATCCTGTAGTTCTAGGTGTCGGGCGGGCGGATCTGGTCACTTGGGTTAGACGGACCCGGTTTTACGAACCCGCGGGTATTAATCCTGGCAGGTAGGAGGAGGGCACTCGTCCAGAAAGAGGGAAAGGAGACGACGAAAGCGGAAAGAGGGAAGGTGCCGGCGGAGGCGGCACTCGCAGAGGGCACAGGCAGGAATAGAAGAGACGGCGAAGGCAGACGGCGCTGGTGGTCGACAGCGGCGGTGAAAACGGGGCAGGCGGCGGCAGCAGCAGACAAGGACGGGGAGAGGCGGGCTGTGGCTACGGCCAAGGCGGTGACGGCGAGCGGTAAGCCGGCGGCTGAGAGAGGGAAGGCTGGAGGAGTGGAAGAAGAGAGGGAGAAGAAGCTCCAGACCGGGAGCGGCGGGGTCCTCCGACCAACCCAAGCCGGGGCGACGGGATCAAAAGATCATGTAAGCAAACTACGCATCAACTTCAATATGCCATTCGCCCAAATTCGTTTAATATTAATGGTTTTCCTAATTTCCGCCAATTAATAGGCCTCACATCTTGATCAGCAATCACTGTGGACTATACATTTTTGCCTGGAAAATCCTGGGGCTTTTCCTTAAAAACTGTGGGAATGATGCCAATAATGAATATTACCTTGATCATTATTCGCTGAATCTGCTTGATCACGGGGTGATATGAACATAGCCCACACGGGCATGCTTTACCTTTCACCCTCATTGCGCATCACTAGAGGCTCCAGAGCTTCAGCTTCAGCTGCGCCAAAACATGACCAAAATGGTAAATAATGAATCTACCCATGCTGCTGATCATGCCCGGTAATTTTTTTTTGATTGTTACTATATTTCAAAAAACTGTTGTCGATCTGCATCTGGGGCATTCGAATTATTGTGATGAATGCATTAAAATGACGTTTATAAAATTATTTATTTATTTATTTTTCTCAGCCTGTTCTAGGAATCAAGCCAAGCCACTCAATGGACGATGGCATGATGAACCTCCAGCAAACTCTAATTGAGATTGAAACCAACGCTGAACATCTCCTTTTGGCTCGCCACGAGGTGAGGAGCCTGCCGGCTGATCCGCTTCATCTATACGGCGTGCTCATGCTCTTAGTTGCTGAAAGCTCGCTGAAAAACATGTGCAGCTTGTGGAGAACGACAAGATCAGAAATGGGAACCGGGAGGCCCTGACAGCTCTCCGCAGGAGGGCTCGGACCACCAAGACCAGTGTCCCGTCTCCCTTCGAGTCCCTGATGAAAGATATTGGAGCTGGGTCTCGTCCCCTGGTGAGAGAGATGTGCCCGACTTGCGGCGATCACGATCCCAAGGAACCCACCTGGATGATCTTCCCGGGTTCGGATATCTTCTGCCGCATACCGTTTCATGCGGCCCATAGCATCTTGGAGAATGGTACCCCGCCTCCTCCTAATCTCCATTGATAGTAGCTTTTGACTCTTTTGCTGTTCTTGAAATCGCTGACTTTTAGACATTGTCTTTTCCTATGGCGATTCAGATCAAGAGCAGCTGGACTACAGCACGAAGAAGCTCCAGAGCTACGTGAAGGAAAAATCCCTGGTGATTTCTGAAATGGGCGCCCTTGACGACAGGATCAGCCCCGCGGTCCTCAAGTCTCTCGTCACGTTGACCGACGGACCGAAGTAAATGACGGGATATTGATCTCAGGATCGTCTCCCCTCCCCAAGGAAGACGACGATCTCAGAGCTCTCTGGAGCTGAGAGCAGTGCTTACCTGGCCCTCTGTGGATCGTCTCCCCTCCCCAAGGAAGATGACGACCTCAGAGCTCTCTGGAGCTGAGAACTGTGCTTACCTGGTCCTCTGCGGATGTCTGAATGGGTTGCAATGACCGTGGATCCCTTTTGAGTCCTATCATCAATGACGGCCGGTGGCTGAATGGTGCAGAAGATTCAGTGATTATTTATACCAACGCTCGAAAAAAGTGGGTTTTTTTTCTTATTATTATAAGGAAAAAAATTGACGCAGCGTATTTTTGTCTTTATATAAGGAAAATTTAAATAGGTAATTTATTGTCTAAAATATAATTGAATATTTTTTGACTCAATAATAAGTAAGCTCCATGGGGGTTCTCATTTTTTTTAAAAAATATTTATTAAATAATTGTTCAGGAGCTTAGAGCTTGGACTTTTCCACTGGATCCATTGATTTCAGATGGTTCGGGTCGGATCGTTTTATCGGGTCAGTCGGTGCGGGAGGGGTAGTGATCAAAGAGCCATACCATTCGGGAGCTTGTCTTTGGGAGAACATCAGCGCTTCGCAATTGTCTTGCGGTCCTCCAGTCTCCGGTCCTTCCCGCTCACGACGTCGCTGTCCCTGTGCCCTCCCCCTGTCTTCGGTAGCCCTAGAATCGGCCAGGGGGAACTGGACGGAGTCCGGCGCGATGCTTCCCTTCTCGTCGATCGCGGCGAAGCAGATTCGCTACCTGTTTGAGAGTTACAAGGATTCCGACTTCGACTATGTCGTTCGCGAGCTCTGCCAGGTGCCTCCCCTTACTGTGCTCTGTTTCATAGTTCCGGTTCTTCATCTGTGTCGTGATTTTTACGCGGCGGGATCAGGGATCTCTCTGCTTGCCATCGCTTCCCGGACATTTGGTATGGCTCGTTCGTGTTCGTTGCAGGTCCTGGAATTCGTTTTCCGACCCCCGTTACTTTCTGATATCCTTGAATGCGAGACCAAATGGAATATAGGGTTTTTTGCTTTTCTTTCTTTGAGATTTCCATATATTTAAGATCCTCCTCGCGACGCATCTTTTATTTTTCTTGATTAATTAACCTCGGAGCTTTTATCTCAGTAGACTTGGTGTTCGACTGAGTGTCTCAAAAGGTAAACTTGAATTTGCATGGAGTGAAGGACATGAAGTCAACAATCCTCTCTCACTATGGATGGTTAATGTCGTTTTGAAGCTGTCCTTAACCTATTTTATTGAATTAATAAACAATGACTCCGCTGTGTTGTATTATCCCCGGAAAATTGACCGCTTTATGACGTCTAAAAGAATGTCAGAGGTATGATGCGAGCAGCAGTTAGCATCTTAAAAGGTTCTTGTCTACCTCATGCACCTTATCATTATGTAACGTGAATCATGCGTCATCTTGTCACGTTGCCTTTTTTCAAAGGTGTAAGGGAGCTGATCAACGCTTTATTTGCATTGCAAACCTCGGAAAGCGTTGTAAATCCATTTGAGCTTAATATTAACTCAGAACTGTTATGAACCTAATTGGTTTATTTTAAGCCCACTGGGACCAATTCAGATGGAACCTTTTTATTGGTTTTCATCCAGGCTCTGATAGATTGCTTGTAACTTTCTGTGAATACCTCTGATTGCTGAACCAGTGTGTTCCTTGTATTCTACTTTCACAAGATTTTTTTGACCGATTACAATGGATTAGAAATATAGATATTTTTACATGTTTTTTTTACAAAATGAGATTGCCGCTAAGCTTGCAATCTAATGAAGAAACTCCAGTTTGATTGCATTGAAATCTTTTCAGCTACTGATGAATAATCCCCTGAGTATTTATTATTGTCTAATGAGTACATAATTTACTCACACAAATTCATTGATAAAAAAGATCATTCGGTGGAGGTAGATTAAAGGTCCGTGGTGACATCTGAAAAACAAAACTATGGTGTTTGCAGTTGTATCCATAGATGGTTACATTTGGAAGCATTATATCCGAATTTATTAAAGGACCGAGAAGGCAGTGTGTATGCTATCATTTACTCTATGAGCAAGTTAACAGTCTCTTCTTTTTCTGATAGATAGCTTGGTGCAATGTTTGAGTTTCCAGGAAAATATTTATTCTTGGAAGTCATATATCTGCTGATCACTTGCTGTTAAAAAATTGGAATTCATGTTTAAAGTGTTTGTCTTTTAAGTGCTGTATTTTTTGTTTTGAATCTTGAATGCCTCTTTGTGTGTTTTTTTTTAGTTTAATGTAAATTATTACCAAAGTAATTCAATTCTGCACTTTTTCCATTTCAGTATATTTATACTCGAATTTTCTGCTTTTTTATTCTTTTATTTGATTCTAAATGAAATCTCTCGTCTTTTTTCAGTTTGTGGAATATGGAAATGAGGGTGCAATCCTTTTGCTGCAAACCTGCTTGGACTTGATGAATCTTCACAGCGGGGAAATTTCGAAAATGCAACCAAAGCCTGAAATATTCTCTGCTGTGTTTAGATATTTGTTGGATAAGCCTAATTTCAGTACGGTGTTTTGTCAAGCAGTAAGAAGTGAATGGATGAATGACGGATTCTTGGGAAATCTTTCGAAGGCATTGAATCTGTCGACATCTGAGAAGATCGCTATTGGACTTGCTTTATCTGATTCTGAAAATTTTGACTTCAGAATGAGAGGTAGGGATAAAATTTTGAACCTTTCATCATTGTGGTCTATGTTGCTGCTTGCTGATGATTTTGTTTTTTTCATTTTAGGGAAGAATTTCTGTGTCTCTCAGATTGATGAAATATGTGCGAATCCTATTCCAATTTTGTCACACAAGCAAATCCAGGAAATATTTATGTTTCTATACCGATCAGAGGGCCTCTCCAAGCACATGGATTCCTTTATGAAAATGCTATCATTATTACAGTTGGAGAGGTCTGAGTTTGTTTTGAGCCCTATTCTGGAAGAGGATTTGAGTGGAGAAAATTCTTTCAGGTATAGTTTGAATTGCCATTGTTAATATACATTACTGGTTGTTTTCTTACTTTTTGACTGTTCTTACTGTATAAATTCTTTCAGGTATAGGCCTCTGGACCTGTTCTATGGACATTCTGATAATGATTTTGATGCTGTTCTGGCGGAAATAGAAAGAGAGATGAGCATGGCTGACATCATCAGGGAACTGGGTTATGGATGCACTGCTACGGTTTCTCACTGCAAAGAAATGCTCTCTCTTTTTCTTCCTCTTGATGAGTTGACAATTTGTAAGATACTTGTCACAATTGCGTGTACTCATGTTGGTAACGAGGAAAGTCAGAATGCACATTCTACGTTCTGCTCTGCCGTTGGCATCAACTCCACTGCTGATTCGTCATCATTGAGTTCTTGGAATTTTGATGTCGTCGTTGATTCAATTAAACAGCTTGTGAGTTTGTTGTCAACTCTTGTCAAGAGGCTAAGTTTATATTTCATTTATTTTCTGCTGACATGTATTTCAAATTGTAGGCTCCTGAAACCAATTGGAACCGTGTCATCGAAAATATGGACCATGAACTTTTTTTTATTCCTGATGAACCATCTTTTTCTACTTTTATGTCTATCTATGCACATGCATGCCAGGTACGTTCAATAATTGACTGCAGTATTTTTTTGAAAGGGAACATGCTTTTATTCTTCTTTTCTTTACTGAAACTTAAGATTCGCTATATAGGAGCCTTTTCCCCTACATGCAATATGTGGATCGGTTTGGAAAAATGCTGAAGGCCAGTTATCATTTCTTAGATACGCTGTATCTGCATCACCTGAGGTGTTTACGTTTGCACATTCTGGAAATAAACTGGTAACTTGATTTCTTAACCTCCTTTATTTCTTTGGCGATTCATTAGAATTGATAAACATGCCAAATTGTATTTCAGCCTTATGTTGAGTCGGCTCAGTTCCAAAGTGGACACGGGAATCAGGCATGGTACTGCCTTGATCTCTTGGACTTGCTATCTCAGCTTGCTGAAAGGGGCCATGCTATTTCAGTTCGGGCATTACTAGAGTATCCCCTTCAGCAGTTACCTGAGATTCTTCTTCTTGGAGTTGCCCACACTAATGTATGATTTTCATACCTCTTTTTCATTGAGCATCTCATTTATACCTCTCAATCACAGTTTTCTGTGATGGGTGATAATGATTTTTTTTATGAGACATTTTTTTTTTCTTCATTCTTAAAATTGCTATATCTCACCGCCCAGCCAACACCACCCAGATTCATGTAGATTCTTCAGTTGGGATGGGATATGGCAATATATGTTGTATGCCCAGTTTCTGCTTTTTGTCGTTTCACATCGACTAAGAGTGGGTAAAAACTCTGCCATACGTAGTGCTCAGGCATTTGAGTATTCGTGGATCGTTATGTGTGCAATATCTTTTTTTGCTACAGTCATGATATGATCGTGTTAGTCGTCACTTTCAGGTTTTAGATTAGATCTGCCTTACCCAGCCTTAATAACTTTATGATTTTTATAGTCTTGGGTTTCAGCATTTGAAGAAGAATCAAGAAGGGTGAATTTGGTCTAGTGCCATGTGTTTATCTGCTTGCACTTTTGGACAGTTTTAACTCTCTGAATTTTGACTTTATATTTTCACATTTTGATTTCAAAGTTTCTAAATATCGAGTTATGATGATACTGAAAATTTAATTTTTTAGGTCAATATAGTTTATTTTCCATTGATTCTAACCACATGCTTTCGAAGTTGTGGGGATGAAAATGCTCTATGGTTTTGCAGAGTGCGTACAACCTCCTGCAGTACGAAATATCTTCATCTGTTTTCCCATTAATTGTGAAAAACTCCGCAGAGAGCTCTGTCGTCCACCATCTATGGCACACTAATCCTAAAATTGTCTTACGTGGCTTTATGGATATGTATAATGTCGATCCAGAGAGTATATTCAGAATCGTGGATGTTTGTCAGGAGCTGAAGGTAAGAACTGATATTGAACTCCTTATCTCCGTTCTATATAAGGACAACAATTTTGGATATTGCTGCTAGTAATTTATCGACTTGAATTTCCGCTAATTGATAATTTTTTTCATTGTGCATTTAATTGCAACTTTTACCCATTTTCACTGTCTATAGATTTTTCTCTTTGTCTTGTGGAACTGTAGTGTTACTACCTTTGAAATGGCACATATGAATGTTATCGTGATTTTCAAGTCAGCTTGCACATCAGCATGGGATCAAATTTATTCTTCTCTGCTTATGCAAATTTACTTATATAAGAAGATCATTGATTGGGCATTGGCAGGCTAAATATATTGGTATTTTGTATCCTTTGTATACTTTTTGCTAAAAAAATTGTCTCATTTATTGAGGGAATAACTATGATTACTGTAAGCCATATCCTTAACGGCCTGTAAATGTCATTCTTTGATTTTTTTTTCTTTTAATGTCATACGGTTTGAGTATATAACTTTGTTTCGTTTCAGATATTATCTTCTGTTCTGGAAACAACTCCCTTTTCATTTAGCATTAAACTGGCTACCTTTGCTTCTCGGAAAGAATACATAAGCCTTGAGCAGTGGCTGAGTGAAAATCTGAGCATGTACCAAGACTCTTTCTTTCAGGTACTACGAGATATATATATATATATATATATATATATATATATATATATTTGTAACCATATTGTCTGATGGCTGTGGTTTGTTCTTTGTTCCTGTTTGATCATGACGGTGTTAGATATCTCCACTGAATTTTCATGCGCCACTTTCCAGGTCTGCGTGGACTTTTTGAAAGGAATAATTGGAGATGGAATGAATGATCGTCCTTTAGGACATCCTGCTGCTTCTATGAATGCTTATGAGGAAGTGTCACCGATATTTTTGAAGGTTTTATCACTTTTTTATTTCTATTAATTTTTTCTCTGACAGAAACATGTGTAGTTTCATTTAAAAACTAATAATTTAGGTGCTGATATTATTCTCGCGAAATTTGTAGGTTCTTCAAACTCATTCAGGACTTGTTTCTGAAGAACTTTGTGAAGAGTTGAAAAAGTTACTTCTGACGGCCACTCGTGTTAAATCTAGGGTCCAAATTGACACTGATTCAGAAATTTCAGCATCTGATGGAAGTGCAGATGATGTTGAGGTAGAAGCGAATTCCTACTTCCATCAAATGTTCTCAGAGCAGTTGTCTGTTGATACGATGGTGCAGACACTTGCACGGTTCAAAGAATCTTCCGAGAGAAGGTGGGATGCTAAGTTTTTTTTTATGCATGGTACCTATTCGCATCTCTAGTATTTAATAAATTTATCAGTACTTCACAGTTTGCTCAAGGTGTCGGATAGGGGACACCTTAGCATACCGGCAACCTGGACACTTAAGGCCTCCACGCTGCCTTTGCTGTTTGCTTGAATGTGTTTTCGCCCTCGAACTTACCTAGTTGAGTGGTTGCCTTTATGAGCGTCAACTAGTATCCACAAATGCGAAATCATTTGTGTTTGTGGAGGGTCTTGGTCGCACATGAGCCTGTGAATTCGCCTCATACGTCCAGTACAATTATAAATGATATTCAGTTCATTTAATTCGCATTCAATTAATTTGTTGTTAGAAACATAGTGTGTTTTTTACCATTGTGTTTTTATTTTCTATTTTTCATTTTGTGATATTTTATATGCATGCTTATTTTTTTAATTTTATTTATTTCAATAATTGGTCTGTATATTTTATGTTTTAATATATCTAAAATTTGACCAGACTAGGGATCACTTGGCCTTTTGCCTAGATAGTGAAGCAGGCTATCACCATTTCAGTGGCCTAGGTCTCCTTACAGACTTGTTTCACATGAGAACTGCGGACATTCGAATGGTTGTATGTGTCTTCGTATTTATGTGATCATTTGTTTGAAGGTGTCAGTATTTTATGACAGCTTTATAGAGTTGAGACCGCTTGTGGTCTTAAGTTTTCAAAAATATGAGATTTTGATTCAATTGGATTTGCAAGGTTGTAAGCTCAGTTTCTTTTTACATTTATTGTTTGACATACTAACTGATATTGCTTATTTGTTGTTTGACATTCTGTTGTTGACTTTCTCACACCCCTAAGACATCTTAAACATCGTATGACTTGTTTTGAAACCAGTTGCTAGCATATTTTCATTGAAATTTCATATGGTGCCGCTATATATAATGCACTAGGGTTCGTTTTCATCTCTCTTTCAATGAGTTAATTTTCCATCCCCAGTCCGATCTCATGGCTTATGTTAAGTGTTTCAAAACTGACAGGGAACAGCTTGTCTTTGAGTGCATGATTGGAAATTTATTTGAAGAGTACAAGTTCTTCACTAAATATCCAGATAGACAGCTTAGTATAGCTGCTGTTCTGTTTGGTAAGGATTTCACATTCGCTGCAGTTGTGCAATGTCTTTTCTGCTACTTTTTTAAACTGTTTATTTCTAATGTAGCTGGTGCTTCATGTTCTCTATTTTTGTTTGGGCTGAAACATTTGCACTTGAATTTAATTGACAAATGGTTGCATAATTTGAGCGTGAAGCCATTCTTCCACGGCTCCTGACTGTGGATGGAATGAATCAGCCCAAACTTGTAGTATATTGAGTTGATAACAAAGTATTCATAGTTTGTTTATGAAGTTGTTGTACATGCTGGGTCTCAAAAATGAAGGGTGTAAGAAACTGGGAAGATCGCTATGAACTAAGATGGTTTTAAATACAAGGAATTCTAGAAAATTCAGTGGACACTTTGATACCTTGAGGTCTAATTCGAAAAAGGATGGTGAAGATGTTTCAGAATGCAGATCATCAATCTGGTTAATGGATGCTATAAATCATTGCAAATATACCGGTCAATAAGTAAAAAGCATATTTATGAAGTTGCGGATGCTAGTCAATCAGTTTTTTATGTGGATAATGTCATTGGTTGAACTCTTGCAGTGCATAAAGTAGTTGAATACCCATGTGTGCATGGGAGAAGAAGACTGCTGTCTCCAACATACTTTTAGGGAACTTAAGTTGGGACTATATGCGCAGGGCCTTATCTAGTCCATCCTTACTCAGTACTTTTGGTCTTGTGGGGTAACATTGGGGGAAATTTTAAGAGATACGATCGTTTCTCAGCAGACACTCTTGGGTTACGAACTAACTAGACCTTTATCACCCTTCCTACGGAGTTGGCTTGTGATATTTCCAATGATGCTGGCTGTAAACCATTTGGATTGGATGCAGACACTGGTGGGGTTATTGACTCTCCTGCTACTGAATTGTGTTAATTGCCTGCCAGATCTAATTCCAGATGAACCATTATCTGATGGAATTTGAAGAAAATTGGATCAATTGAGTCATGTCTGAATTCTTATGTAACAGCTAAATTTTCTTCATCAATAGAGTTATGGCAACATTTTATATTAGTTTTTGGTTCTCAGGTAAGGAGATCCAAAATATTCTATCATGTTTCCGTTTGTGTGCTTGACTTCGAGTTTAATGTTGAGAAAACAGCAGCAGTGAGATTGATTGAGATAAGTAGCTTTAGTTTCAAAAAAGAGCAACAAAAGTAATTATTAATGTTCAGTTGACACTTCTACTTGAATTAGATCGTGAAGGAAAGTCTACTCGAAGATTTTTTGAGATTACATCATTATTCAATCTGTTGTAAAGTTGAATTTGCTGAATTGAACTTCAAGAGAATATCATCTTTCTGAAGAATTTCTATGTAAGAATGAGATGAGAGAATAAAACAAATTGGTCACTGTTAGTAGGGAGTTACAGGTTGACTCTATGGTTAGAAGAGAGAGGATTTCGTCCCTGACCATTCTCGCCGATCCTGTGTTATAATTGTGCTGCTTACACCTTGAATGTGTTCCTCTGTCTTAAGGACGGACAAAGATGTAGCCACCTTTCATGGAAAGAGGCATTCAAGGGTGAGCAATTGCGTCACCAAGAAATTGTTTCAGAGTGTTTAAATTTAAATGGGATGGGAAGGTTTGAGAATTATGAACCTTGATACTACTAATAGTTGATATGAAGACATACAATTTTACTCTGGAGTCTTGAAGAAATTTATATCCTGAAGGTGAGAATTGCAGGTGAAAGTGTCATTAGTTTGTATTCTTATGGTGGATGTGATTAGTTGACCGTGGAGTGGATAACATGGCTCCCTGACAGATTGTCTATCTCATAATCTATCTTGGAGGCTGAAAAAAATTGTCCTTAAGTGGTGAGTTACTACTAGTTCTACAGTATTTGTCTGGGATACAGTTCCTTTTATTTTCCTCCATGGGTGAAAGATGTGATGATTACTTTGAGGGATTCCCATGTTGTCACACAGATTTGTCTGGCTGGCTGCCTTTCATACCTTATTTTTAAACAAGAAAAGTTTATACTCTACATGAAGCAGAGTGAAACTGTGGAAATGGAGTTTCCTGATGATAGTTTTGCATAGACTAGCCTCCCTTGTATTATCGTTTGCACAAGCCTTTATGAAGATGTACTGTGTTTTTTTATTTTCTTCTATTGGGTTATGATTATTACAATCCCATGTTGTAATAGCATCCTTTCCTTCACATTTTAGCTTGCTAACACATTTAATTTCAGGTTCCCTAATAAAGCATCAGCTTGTTACCCATCTGACCCTTGGTATTGCTTTGCGTTGTGTTCTTGATGCATTACGTAAATCTGTTGATTCAAGGGTTAGTAGAAATTCCCTTATTTGTTCTTTTCTTGTCCTTATTCCTGTGATTTCACATACTAACATTAAACACTTCCTACAGATGTTCTTGTTTGGCGCAAAGGCATTGGAGCAGTTCATGGATCGTCTGATAGAGTGGCCACAGTATTGTAACCATATCCTGCAAATATCACATTTGAGAAGTACCCATCCTGAAATAGTTTCCTTTATTGAACGAGCTCTTGCACGAATCTCTTCAAGCCAGCCAGAATCAAATGGAGGAAGTAGTATCCCGTCAGATCAGAATCAGGCTTCTGATTTGCAGGGTTCTTCTGAAAGTACTGAGGTATTATTTCAATTTGATAATAAAATAACATTCTTCTATTTCATTATGGGGTAAAGTCAGAAGTCTTGAACCTTGGGCATTTGTGTTTGCTCGTACCTTTTCTTGTTGTCCCATATCATGCAGAGTATTCTAAAAATATGGTATTCCTCTGTTGTTTGCTTGTGAATCTTGTGTTGTCCTTTAAATTTTAGACATCTGAAGCAGTATGGCCTTCCATTGGTTTGAGCACTGTGCAATCTGGGCAACCACCTTCTTCTGCTCTCCAGAAAGCCTCTACGACTTCTACCAACATAAAGACGGCCGGGCAACCATCCATGGTTCCTGCTAATCCTGATTCAGCTATACCTCAGAAGGTGATTGATAATTCATAGCTACTATATAATTCTGGGATCTGTTATTGTGATACTATTTTAGTTTCCTATTAGGTTAATGGATTCAGTTGATTTCACAGCCTTTGCAAAATATACCGCCTCAGCCTCATGCTTCTAGTGTAACATTGACTGCATCATCTTCTCCTGGTATTCTACGGCCTTCACGTGGAGTACCCTCAACGGGTAGTTTTCTTCATCCAGTCCTTAAAACCATCCATGCTAAGTGATTCCTTTGTTTTACTTGTAGTTTACATGGATTACATCCATATTTGTAAACTTTTTTTTCATAGGGATGCACAGGCAGCCCTCTTACAACACAGGGTTTGGTGCGGCTATGAATATTGAAACGCTAGTTCAAGCAGCTGAGAGAAGGGATACTCCCATTGAGGTATATTTTTTGCCACTTGTTCTTTGTTTCACTGCTGCCATAGTTTTGTGTTTATTTTTCTGCGCCTCATGTAGGCCCCTGGATCAGAGATTCAAGACAAGATATTGTTTATGATAAACAATATTTCGCTGACAAATGTTGACGCAAAGGCAAAAGAATTTATTGAGATTCTCAATGAAAAATACTACCCTTGGTTTGCACAGTATATGGTTATGAAAAGGTGACAAATGTTCAGGTCTACAATTTTTATAGTTCCAATTTCAATCTTTGTTTCTTTTTTAATGATATGTGTTGAACAGAGCAAGCATTGAGCCAAATTTCCATGACTTGTACTTGAAGTTCTTAGACAAAGTTAATTCAAAAACACTGAACAAAGAAATTCTCAAAGCTACTTACGAAAACTGCAAGGTTACTTCTCCATGATAATTAGTGTGCTTTACATGATTCATCATGCTTGCCATCTTATACTCCAACTTGTTTGCAGGTTCTGTTAGGATCCGATCTTATCAAGTCAAGTTCAGAAGAGCGTTCATTACTAAAGAATCTTGGTAGCTGGCTTGGAAAATTCACAATTGGCAGGAATCAAGTTTTAAGAGCGCGGGAGATAGATCCAAAAGTTCTCATTGTTGAGGTGTCCTATTTAGTGTTTCCATGATTCGGTTTTCCAACTGCTTTTCTTTTTAGTACGTAGAACACATGCACCTTGAACATGGTTCATGATCCAGGTGAAGAAAAGAAATGATTTGTTCCTCTTGTGTTGATGTTTTTCTGTGTTGGTTTTTCTCAGTGTTACCTTTATATGAAAGATAATTGCAATTATACCACGAACACATTTTTTCGTTGCTACAGAATTTTCCAATATAGACTAAAGTCAAAGCAATGACTACAGATTTTGTACGCATCAAGTGGCATTTTTGTTTACGTATGCTGTAGTTTCATTCGTTAGTCTGTTTCCTATCAGTTAGTTATTTTTATATTTCCATTCTCACTTATTTTTTTCTCTGTTTAGGCATATGAGAAGGGATTAATGATTGCAGTGATTCCATTTACCTCAAAGGTGAAAACCTTGAATTTTTTTAGATATTGTAGTTTTTTCTTTTCGTTTTGTGATCCTTGACATGTGTCCTCCCGCAGATTTTGGAACCCTGTCAAAGTAGCCTCGCATATAAACCTCCAAACCCATGGACCATGGGCATCCTTAGTTTGCTCGCTGAGATTTATAATTTGCCTAGTCTTAAGATGAACTTGAGGTTTGACATTGAGGTACCTTTTTTTCTTCATTTTGTGTGACTTTATTGTATGTGATTACTCTTCCCTTTATTTTGGGTTTTATATTTGAATGGTGTATTATTATTGGTTTGTGAACGATTATCCTACTCTTGTTGTTGTGCAGGTTCTCTTCAAGAACCTTGGTGTTGATCTGAAAGATGTCAAGCCCTCACTTCTTCTGAAAGATCGTGGCCGTGAACTTGAAGGTAATCCAGATTTTTCCACAAAAGATATTAGTACAAGTCAGACACCAGTTGTGGCAGAGGTTAACTCAGGAATGATACCTACATTGAATCCTGTTGATCTGCCACCAGAGGCTTCTGGATCTTCTCACACAGGGGTCCATCCAAATGTTCTTTCCCAGGTTCATATTCTTGTCATTAAATATGTTGTCATACGCATTTGTGCATATCTTTTATCTCAATTTTTTGTTGCTGTAGTTTTCGGCTCTACAGTTGGCTTCAAATGCGTTGGCTGAGGAAGAGAGAATGGGGACCTTAACCATACCTGAACGTGTACCATCTGCTCAGGGCCTGTCTCAGGTTATCCCTTCCCAGACACAATTTTCAATTAGTCAGGTTTGCATGTGTCTTATGCTTTCTTACATAGTAATCTTCTTTTCCGATTGTTAGTGACATGGTTTAAAACTTATTTTGCAGTCTTCGTCCGCGATTCCTAACATTGGTATGCATGTTGTGGTCAATCAGAAACTCAATGCCCTTGGCTTGCATCTGCAGTTTCAAAGGTTTAAGGCAGTATTTGTTTTTCCGTATAGTTGATTTTATGTTTGAACAACGTTCTTTTGTTTTTTAGGTGGTCACTACTCTATTGTTTGTAATTTCAGAGTCCTCCCTCTTGCCATGGAGAAGGCCATACGAGAGATAATCTCACCTGTTGTACAGCGAAGTGTTACTATAGCTAGCCAGACAACCAAGGAGCTTGTTCTGAAGGTTCTTCCTTTTGCATGTTTATCTTAATAATTCCCTACATATTGTTCATTGGGTTGATTTATTATGTTCTCCTAGGATTATGCGATGGAGTCTGATGAGAGCCGTATATATAATGCTGCACACTTAATGGTGGCCAGTTTAGCTGGAAGTTTAGCACACGTCACCTGCAAGGTTTCTTTTCTTTAAACTTTGGATGCATTGGTGTTTTTTTGGAGTACTTTAGTTTATGTCACAGTCTCTATGAAATCTTGTATTTATGGATGCATTTTTACTCAATTTAGTGTCCTGTGTCTGTGAATGAATTGGTATATTTTGTATCCTTTCTTAGGAACCTCTTCGGATTGCCATGTCGGCCAATCTCCGAACATTGCTCCAATCATTGAGTGTCAGTAGTGAGCTTCTCGAACAAGCTGTTCAGCTTGTCACCAATGATAATCTTGACTTGGGTTGTGCAGTGATTGAACAAGCTGCCACCGAGAAGGTAAAGTTTCTTTCAAACATCCGATTTGTTTACAGGTGTTGTTTTCTGCTATTCTGAATATACTTGCAAATCTTTCAATACACTTCCTACACTCTATCATTGATGCCTTGACTGCGTTAATATTGATGTCTCGCCCTCAGCTAGGCAGCAGTCCAGAAGATTTCTGAAGGACAGTTCCGGCACCATTCTCCTTTTGTCAAGAGTTTTGTTCATGGGGAGTCTTAGTGGAAATTTCCTGAACAAATTATATGCGGTTTCAGAATGGGAGATGTATGGAAGTCAAATCAAATTACGCATAATAGTCCTAATTGATCTGGGAACGGAAATCCTTCTTGGGAATGTTACTAAATTTTCTTCGTGCTGTTAGGCTATTCGGAGATCAATATACTTGGTTTTAAGGGTAACTTACAATGAGAATTTGGGTTTGTGAGGGGCTGGATAGTGGCTAAGGAATCTTTGAGGATCATCACTACTCATGTACTTGGGCTTAGCCACTCCTTATAAGATATTGTCTTACTTATTTTGCATCTCTCTTCTATTTTCCTTTTTTTTTTCTGCATTCGATTTACAATTACGGCGTTGTTCAGAGTTCAATAAAGCCAGCTTAGGTGCTGATTGATATGGCTTCATCAATGGTAGCTGCCTGCTCTCATCTGTTTCTAGGAATGTGCTACAATTTTTTTGAGGAACTTTTTTATCTGTTCGTTTGTCTAAAGAAGACATGATTCTGATTAAATCGATATTTTATAGTATCTTTCTTCTTAAATTGGTTAAATGTTCTTTGTCTTCAAATATTATGTAGCCAAATTACTTTCTCAAGAATCCTGGAAGGTTCTTTATGTGTTTTGATTTTTCTGTGTTGCTAGTTATGGTACAACTGTTACTCGTTTGGTTTGATTCTGGCTTTATTCCTTTCATTACTTTTTAGCAAAAATTAGTACATCCTTGTCCAAATCTTGCTTTTGTCCTTGAAATCATTGGAAAATTTTAAACCTCTCATGGATACTTCCTCTTGCGCTATCAGTAAACTCCTTGTCAATTCAGTCTTTTCTTCGTCCAACAAACAACTTGCTCGAAGAGAGAGCCTATGTTCCAGTTAATTTGTAACTCAAGCTCTTCAATCGTAAAGAATATGGACAATTTTTCTGTTTGGTGTTTCCAATTTTCCAATTCAAGTGACCATAGCTGTGCCCTTACATGAAATGACATATACATTAGATGTGGCTTTAGTTATACTCTTGAGGATAGATTGATCAAGAAAACTAGTGTTATTTTTCAAGGCAAGTGTTATAAGAATTAAACTTTCCTTTACTCGGACACAGACTAGTTCAAATCAGCATTTATGAATGTGACGACATCTAACTGGGGGATTTGGAAGTAGAGACGTGGTCAGGTAATGCTTATGCCGCGTCACTTTTTTTAACATGTTCTGACATTTTTGTGTCGAATATTTCGGTTTTAAGTTTTTCCTCCTCATACGTGGAGAGATGAAATGGGAGGGAGAGAGATGTAGACAGACAAGTGGAAAGAGAAAGGTGAGATGTATAAGGGCAAGAAGAGATAGGATTCTCAGACAAATAAAAATAAAGTACAGAGATGGGCAATGTAGGAGAGAGTGCGGCATGCAAGAGGAATTGGCTACTCTTTGAGAGCATTAAAGTATACTGAGGATACGTTTTTCATATACTTTGAATTGATAATCTTTCTTGAATTCAGATTTTTAACTATATTATGGGACAGTCTGTTAATTGTGAAGCATTTGTATTTATTTTGAGGTTTAATGGTCTACTGCATATTTGTTTGTAGCTATGTAAAATGGTGGTGAAAGTTACTATTTCGTTTTATAGTGACATTTATGCTTCATATGGTCTCATTAGACAATTTGTGCATGACCCAAATGTTTTCCTACACTCATTGGGATTATCTATTAAGTTGTTTTCCCTTTTGTTGGCAGGCTTTACAGACCATCGATGCAGAGATAACTAAATCTCTTGATTTTCGGAGGAAGCAGAGGGAAGGCACAGGTTCTGCATACTTTGATGCTGGTACTTATGCACAGGGTCCTTTTGCTCGTGTGCCAGAGGCACTTCGTCCCAAGCCTGGTCGTTTGTCCATTGCTCAACAAAGAGTGTACGAGGTAGATATTTGTGCTGTAATCACTACACGTTGGGATGACTTGGCTTGTGTTTCTCATTAGTTTCGTTTTTGTAGGATTTTCTTAGGGTCCCATTGCAAAGTCAGCCGAGTCAGAGCTCAAGTGTTTTACCAGCTGTCCAATCCTCTTCCTCTGGTGGCTCAGTTAGTTCTGCTGCAGCTCAGGTGTATGGCCCTGCTTCTGGGCAACTGAACTCTGGCATCCATTTGACGCAACAAGCAGCTCCAGGATTCAATACTACTGCTCAGCAATTAGATCTCATTTCTGAAGAGATCGACCAAAGGTTGACACATCTTCATAGGTTTAGTCAATTTTCATTTTGAACTAATATTGGAGTGAGAAATTCGTTGCAAAAGTGTAGCAAAAAATTTATGTTTTGCTTTCCAATCGCAGTGCTTCATCTCATGGCGTGGTAGCTGATGCTCTTCAGCAAACTGCTGGAATTAGCACTATCACCTCCTCATTTCCAGCTCCTCCTGAACTGCATGTGGTTGAACCGTCTCCTGTTGTAAAAGTCTGATATCATCCTTCACTTGCTGTGATGAATTAGTTGCCTTGTTGCATTCTGACATAGTTTCATTCGCCTCCAGGACCTGGGTGCTGTTGTGCCGCCTTCACCAACCCCTTCTGCAGATCGACTAACTACCATGATCTCAGAACCATTAAGCACAGGGGATGCATTAGAAAAGTACCAGTTACTGGCGCTGAAGGTATAAATACACTAATATGCATTTCTCATTAATTTGCATCTAGATGCGTGGGAAATCGTAAGTCTCCCTGAAGATTGTGGAGTCTCTGTATTCGCATGTTTCTATGGCCACAGAGGTACCAGGGAAATGTTGATCGATTTAAAAGTTAGCTGTTGGAAGACACTTTGTCGAAAAATATAGACAGTCCATCTCTAGAACTTGTTCTTTGCTTTTTGATATTTAAATAATTAATTTTGATTAGTAAATAGACAATGTAAAGAATAGGCTAAAAAATTGAAAACCAATAATTCAGCTATTACTTTTCCAGAGGTATGGTGACAAAATCTGGCCTATACTGGCATTAGATTTCCGGCATCATACTTCTGTCAAGGGTTTATTTTAGTGACGATTTAGACTTTAATTCAACTGAGCATTTGGTTTAGTTGATGCCATGCATGAACAGAGTATTAGGATATTAGATCAAAAGGAGTTTGTCCTCACTCTGTGCGCCAGATAGCCATCAGAGGAAAAGTTCGGTTGGTACCGTGAGGTCTGTAGCTGTATTTTCAAGGGCTACAAAACAGTAAATAATATTATAATACTTTATGTGTGATTATGAACTATTTTAAAGTATAATGCAACTTACTATATGGTTATGATTATTTTAATATATTCAAAACAATTCCCCACCTTGTCACCTAAGAGTTAAGCCGATTGTTCACTTCTTGGATGCCCTAGTCACGTCACACCCTGGCGACAAGCCTTAGAGGTTATAGAAAATTTTAACGTATCCTGTTTGTTTATAGTCTCATTTTATCCCTAGTTGTTCACTTTAAGTTTTCCTCATGCATCTCATATTCTTTCTAGTTCTCAATGCCAATGTTTCTTAAGTGAGATTACTTCTTTTTGAACTCCTTTGTGAACTCCCTGTTGAGACTTGCTTTCATGGTATTGATCACACATTGTCGTTCTTATTTTTGTGTTAGAAGCTTATATGTTCTAATCTCAGTCAAATTTTTTTTTCAGCTGGAATCCTTGATTGTAAAGAATGCCAGGGAAGCAGATATTCAGGTAACCCGAATATTTGCATCTCATCAAAAAAGAATGGCCAAAAGTGGTTTCATTCCATTTTTCCTTCTCTGTTTCTTCCATCTTTCAGAGCTGTAACATTGCCCCTTTCTATGATTCTGCTTACATTTAGGGAGTTGTTGCTGAGGTTCCAGAAATCATACTTAAATGTGTCAGCCGAGATGAGGCTGCTTTAGCAGTCGCACAAAAGGTGAATAATACGTTAGCTTTCTTCGTTCATATTTGCATGCGTGGCTGGTGCTGTCTTGATTCAGTTGTGTGATGGCTAATGGCTGAGGCAGGTTTTCAGAAGTCTGTATGAGAATGCATCTAATAACCTGCACGTTAGTTCACATCTTGCTATTCTTTCCGCTATTCGAGATGTCTGCAAGCTTGTTGTTAAGGAGCTGACAAGTTGGGTACGATCTCCTTCCTACATTCAGCTATTTCTTTTGTATTTTTTTATTCTTCTGATATTTTTACCATTTTGTTATGTTCTCTCTTGACATTTTTGCAATTTCCGGCCAAAATTCTCCAGATTGATTCATTGCATCTTATTTATTAGTTTCCTAAAAATAATAGTGCTGGATTTATTTTCGCAGTGTGGTTTTACTGTTATTTCAAGGATGGTCTTTGTATTGATGATGATGGGGGCAGAATCATTCCAACCAACCGTACATGTGTTGATGCCATCTGTTGTCTAGTTTTATTTCCTGTCTTATTTAGGTCTTGAATTCTTTCTCTTAGTTTCATTGCGTAATGTTTCAGCTTCTTTTCTTCCCAATGTGACTGATAAAAGTTGCCCATGATATGAGATGTTCGACACCAGTGCTATGCAATGGAGAATTTCAGCCTTTGCTTATCTTTTCCTTGGGCTAATCAGTTACTCATTGAGAACATTGTTTTTCAGGTCATTTATTCTGATGAGGAGCGAAAATTTAATAGAGAAATTGCTGTTGGACTTATTTATTCCGAGTTACTAAATCTTGCTGAGTATAATGCCCACCTTGCAAAACTTATTGATGGGGGAAGAAATAGTATGTCCTTTGGTCTTATGTCTTATTTATGCTTCAGTTGTGTTGAAGATCGTGAATTGCTTCTAACCGTTTGTTATCATTCTGGCAGAAACTGCGACAGAGTTTGCCATAGCTCTGGTTCAAACTTTGGTTTCCCAGGAATCCTCACTCAGTGCTGAACTCTATAACACTATTGATGCCTTGTCCAAGGTACTTTCCCGTTTTGAAAGGAGTTGAAAAATAAGAAATCACTTTTGCAAAAATACTTCGTTTATTATTTCCTTTTAATTGCAGCTTTTGGGACGGCCTGGAGCTCCTGAATCATTAGTTCAGTTGTTTGACACCTTAAGGAGCACCAGTTCCAATGTCATATCTGTTCCTGGTTTTCCTGCAGCGAAGGAAGAAAAGACAAGGCAACCGAAGGAGAAAAGGGTTGGTAAAATTTTCATTGCACTTACAGGTTTTATAGATTTTTTCCCATGTAAATGTTTCAACTGAATTTACTGTGAACAGGGCATTCCTGGTCGCTCAATCACTGGCAAGGAGGACTATAATACCACTGAGCCTGTGACAGTTGATCCTCCTGGTTTCCGTGAGCAGGTTTTCCTGGAAACTCTGACCTCTTTGGCTTATTGATCTAGTTTGAGGATTTACACTATTGAATTTTCCTGGACAACGATGGAAAGATATGGATATAGAGTGTTGTGCCCCCAACACCATGTTACACAGCTGCGTGCCAGATAAAAGAACATTTGTTGACTAGACGGTTGTCTTTCCTTCTTTGTATTCACTCTCCATGTAATAGCTATTTTTTTCAAAATTTTAAACATAATCATATCCTCACATTGCAAGGTGCCAGAAAAAATTAAATATGTGAGGATCATTATGTTAGTTGTCCCGCTACATTAATTGTCCTGTTTTGCTCTGGATCTAGTAAGCCCACCATAGTGTTGTGTTAGTGAGTATTTTAGAAGATGGACACATTAGGTCCATATTATGCTTTATGAAATGTAGTGGGGATACGATTGGGGCTTCCAATTTTCCCCCTACTATTTTGACGAGATTTTTTCCCACTAGAGGTGGACTATTTAGTCCAATTATTGGTGTCAGATGTGACACCAAAGTATTGACAATTTCGTTAGACACATTCACGAGTTGGGAGTGTAGATGTGGCTTTGTAGCGGCCTGAAAACATGACGATTTTCAATATTGACCCTTTTAAATCTTATTTTGTGGCGCAATCTAGTTATGCAAGCAGCATCAACAGTCTTAATTTTTCTGTGTTAGATTTATCATTCAGGCTTGTCTGTGTGGTTCTTGAAAAAATTTTGAGCATTATCTCAATGCCTCTGTACACTTCTTGGAAAATTCATTCGTTCCTCCCAAATTCGATCTGGATCTCATAATCGCTGAGCTCACTGTGCCGCGTTTGGAAAGGTTCCGCTGGCATATTTATGCTTCTTTTGGCATCTCATTATCGTGCAAGATCACAGTCATAATCCATTCATGGTAAAATTTGTGTCTCCTGATCCCTGGCTAATTCTATCATCAATTTGTATGGGATCAGGCTTGTCGTATCCGGGTGCCTAATTCTATACGTGGACCGTGGTCCTACAGTTGGTTTTATTGAGTTTTTATATATTGATGGGTTAGTTGCCGACAAGATTTCGTTATTTAATTTTAACCTCATATTTATTCTCTATGATGTATGGCAGGTTTCACTTTTATTTGCCGATTGGTTTCGGCTGAACGATCTTCCTGCAACCGATGCTGCATATACCCATTATATTTCGCAGCTGCAACAAAATGGATTTCTTAAGGGGGACGAACGAACGGACAGCTTCTTCCGCATCATCACGGTGATTGGCTTACACGTTGTTCGAGAATTTAGCTTTTATAATACTCCACAGAGTACAACAATTTGTTGTAATGTACAGGAAATTTCTGTGGGACACTGTATCTCCAGCGAACAGACAATCACTACCAGCCAACTCTCAATCCAATCGCCTCATCAAGTTCAGCATTTGTCATTCTCTGCCATTGATGCTTACGCAAAGCTTGTCGTTTTGATTTTGAAGGTAATTTGTGTTTGGGAATTTTTTTATCTCCAATGTTAGAAAAAATTGGTATCAGACCACTTTAACTGTTATTCTTATTTTCTGCAGTACTCTTTGCTGGACCAGGGTTCTAGTAAAGTTGCTCTTTTGCCTAAGGTTGGCGTTTGGTGGCTTTCTCCCTCAATGTTATTTCAATTTTATTTTTTTTCGTCAATTCACTTTCATTTGTTTTTTTTCCTCGTGGTAGATCTTGTCCATTGTTGTAAACTTCATTCAGAAGGATGCGGAGGAGAAGAAATCGGGATTCAATCCAAGGCCATACTTCAGACTGTTTGTTTACTGGCTTTGGGAGTTCAATTCTTCAGACTTCATTGATGGAGTCAATCTTCAGGTACGTTATGCCAAGAAGAAACTGGCGGGTTTCTTTCGTTTGCCACCGTTGCTGATCTTGATCTGCTGCTTCCAGGTTTTGATCTCTTTTGCAAACGCTTTCCATGCATTGCAGCCATTGAAAGTGCCTGGTTTGAGGTCAGTGCTTATGTCTCTCTGGCACACTTGTTGAACCATGTCGTTGGCGAAATTGGAGATTAATAGATGCTAAACTAGGTTTTTCTTACCCGAAATTCATTGGCCACACGCGAACCAAATTAAGGAGCCTACATTAATTTTGAAATTCTTACATTCACGTGTGAAACTCCTGCATTTATTTTCATACATGATGGATTTGTGTCCCCTTGGAAGAAGATGTGAATTTCCAGTTTCAGCATTTTCTATAGTTGATCAATGCGGTTCCATTTAATCATTTATCTCTGTGGGAAGATGAATGGAGAATCATTCAAAATAGAGGTCGATGATGCATCCTCATGTTTACAATGAGCTACATGAACGGTAATTACAATGGACAAATTAGGTACTGTTCCAAGTATATCAATTCGACGTACCATTTACAAGTGGGAAAGGATCATTAAGTTTCAAAGATTCTGGAGCAGCATCGAACCTCTGCATCTAACCTTACCCAACTGGATTGTAGAATTGCTTCACCTGGCACAAGATCTTGCCTACACGATGCCGAACTCCCGATGACACAAATAATTGTGCTATCCTATGCGTGTTACTGGCTAATCTGCAAAGATGGATCCTTACTAACTGTTGGAAATGTTAAAACCTTTTCCAATTTCTGCAGATCGACTTTTGAGATAGTCTCTCGGTTGTGTTCCCCCCTCTTGATAGCATCGTGATCATCAAGTTTCATTTTTTCTTATAAATCGTTCCAAGATCTTCTCATTGCCCCTCTCCATTGTACTTTCACCTGTTTTTGTGTCACATTAGATTGAACCAGTTTTTCTGACTCGTATTTGCTCATAATGTCCTTCATTCGATGCAAGTGAATTATTCGTTGGTTCTTCCTCAGAGTCCAATTTTTATTAAGTATGCAATTGTGTTACGCTCTTTTCAGCTTTGCATGGCTCGAGTTGATCAGCCACAGAAGTTTTATGCCGAGGCTGCTAGCGAGCAGCAATTCATTCAAGGGGTGGCCCTTTTTCCATCGTCTGCTCGTTGACTTGTTCAAATTCATGGAGCCGTGCTTGAGGAATGCGGAGCTAGGCGAACCGGTCCGTCTCACCTCAACCCCACATGTCGAGAATCGAATCCCAAGCTCAGACTAACACTGTTCTCCCATTGTTGCAGGTTCGCTTCCTGTACAAGGGCACCTTGAGGGTGCTCCTCGTGCTGCTTCACGATTTCCCGGATTTTCTATGTGAATACCATTTCAGCTTCTGCGACGTCATCCCTCCCAGCTGTATACAAATGAGGAACGTTATTCTCAGTGCTTTCCCCCCAAAGATGAGATTACCCGATCCATCTACCCCCAACCTCAAGGTCGGTGAATGTCCCCCGCCTAGTTCTTGGAGCTTCTTCCGTTGGTGCTTTCCTCCCTCGAGGTCTCTCACACTCACCCCTCCTCCGTTCATGCAGATTGATCTCTTGGCTGAAATCAGCCAGTCTCCCCGCATTCTCTCTGATATTGAAGGTGCTCTGAAAACAAAAATACTGAAAGCTGATGTTGACGAGTATCTTAAGGTAGATAAATGTCGCTCTTACCTCCTACTCCTCAACCCCCCCTCCCCTTCCCCTTTGGTTTTCTTTTTTATTTAGAAAAAAGAAGAAGAGGAAACTCTAGTTCCTGAGTTTATTCAATTCCCCATCAATTCTGCAGACAAGGCCACAAGGATCCTCCTTCCTAACGGAACTGAAAGCGAGGCTGCTTCTTCCCCCGAGTGAATCAATCCAGGCTGGAACTCAGTACAATGTGCCGCTAATCAATTCGCTTGTTCTCTATGTGGGTGTTCAGGTAACTCCCACCCCAGATGAACAATCTCTTACTCTTCATCTCGGCATAAATGGCTGACTTTTCATTGTATGCTCACGCTGCCTCATCTTCTTAGTTTCGAGAAAGTTCCCGACATTTTCATACTTCTCTCTCTCTCTCTCTCAAAAGTTTGTCTTTATGTCTTGGAAATCTCAGGCAATCCAGCAGCTGCAGAGCAAGTCCCCGCAGCACGTGCCTGCTCCACAGATGGGCCACCCGGGGCCCGCGGATGCTGTGATGGTCGGCGCTGCGATGGACATATTCCGCACGCTGGCCGTGGACTTGGACACGGAGGGGCGCTACCTCTTCCTAAATGCCGTCGCCAACCAGCTCCGTTACCCCAACAACCACACCCATTATTTCTCCTTCGTCCTCCTCTTCCTGTTCTTCGAGGCGAAGCAGGTGTGCTCTCCCCTGAACTCCGTTTTGCTCTTTCCTCGTCGCATTCATCATTCTCTCCTGGTTGCGCAATAAATTAAAACCCAAGGTAGAAACCCCTCTCTAGATAGGGAAAAATGGCTGATTTTGTCCTTGTTCGATCTCTCTGGGCTGATATGGTGGTGCCATTATTTACTCCGAACTCCTCCTTGGCGTGGGCAGGAGATCATCCAGGAGCAAATAACGAGAGTGCTGCTGGAGCGTTTGATCGTCAACCGGCCCCACCCATGGGGCCTCCTCATCACCTTCATCGAACTGATCAAGGTATCCCACTCCTTTACTATTTCTTGCTTACACCAGCTACCACGAGGCCATAAAAACGGGCCATTCGTCGCCTGATTTCCCTAACCCTCCCCTGAAATTTGCTTTTTTTTTAGAGGTATGATAAGTGTCGTTGGATATATTTTTTAGAGGTATTGATGCATGTAGCATGGGAGTGACCCTCAGTTTTATCTCTCCCCCTCGTAGAACGAGCGCTACGCCTTCTGGAAGCGGTCCTTCACGCACAGCGTCCCCGAAATCGCGAAGCTGTTCGAGTCGGTGGCGCGGTCCTGCGGGGGCCCCAAGGCCGTCGACGATGCGATGGTCGCCGGCGGCATCCCCGACGGCAGCGGGCTCTGAAGTAGATTGCCTTGGGGAGGGGGGGGGTTGTGTATGTAAATTCACGGTTAAGGTTCTTTCTTGTATGTATGTTGTTGCTGTTGTTGTGGTGGTGGTGGAGCCTCCGTTTCTGGATGATATTTGCCTGGTGGTGCGTGGCGCGGGTTATTGTTGCTGCTGTTCTCTGCTCGATGGGGTCTGTAACCTGCTCTGCGATGGGGCCTTGCTTTTTAGTAAACCCTCCACCTACATACATCACGGGATGAGAGAGAGAGAGAGAGAGAGACTCTGATGAGACATCAACTACGCCACAAGGCTTTTGGGCGACCAAGAGAGGATGTGAGAAGTTATCTTGTCTGTAAGCATGGATATATATAAATATACATACTGAAGGAAGGAAGGAGGGAGTGAGACAGATGGGTAATTATAGAAAGCTAAGATATTGACTTTCAGGCGCTCAAAGGAGTACAGCGAGCATTTACAGCAATGGACTCTCTCTCTCTCTCTCTCTTTCTCTAGGTCCATCTCAATAATCTACCGCCCTTCTTCCCCATCCCTGTCCCGGCAAGGCTGTCCGCAAGGGCAGATCTGGAGTCGGGGCGCCACTGGAGCTCCTTGAGGAGAGCGAAGAGGCTGGACAGGGCGGGGGTGACCTCGTCGTCCCTGACCTTGTTGCAGGAGACGACCCTGAGTCTCTCCAGATCCCCCCACAGCAGCAGCGACGACTCCAACCCCGCGGTCGTCAGCAAGGAGCACCCTTCCACGGCCAAGAGCTTCACCCGCCTGCACACAGACAGCATAATAAGGGTTGGTTCCCACTCACGCCAGCCAGGGGTTGGGTGCTTCTCCTCCACCTTTTCTAGTGGAAGGTAAAGAGGAGCAACCAGGGGAGCAGTGTGGAGAAGAGGTGCATTCTTTGAAGAAAACTGGAGAAAATCAGAGAACCATACACTGACTACACCCCTTCTAAAGCACTGAGAAGTGAATTCATGGACCATGGAGAGGCGACAGGATCAGCAGTTATCAATCTGATGATTATTTTTTTATTCCTCTTGTGAAATGCTGTCCTTGCTCATTCTGGCATATCCACCGTCGGTAGCCCAGCCCTAGTCTTTCTGATTTCAATAATAAATCACACGGCTTTCCTGCCCGATCTTCTAATGGGCAACCCGTTTTCTCATCATGATTGTTGTCCCTGCTTCCCCAACAGACGCTCAAGGTTCTCCCCCCTCCCCTACCCAGGAGTCTAAAATCGTAGAATCCCTCTGTCCTGAGGGAACCAATGTCAACGACTTGAAAGATTGAGTGGAGAGCTACCGCCTGATGGAAATCAACAAAGATTTTGTCTCTCTTGATAAAAAAGAGTGAGTTCTTGACTGGAACTACATTCAGAAGCCTGAAGCAATTATACAATGTTTTTTGGATGTCCATAACGCAGGAAGACCTACAAAGCTGAACAGGAGTGCAGCGGCAATCTTGACCACCTGAGCTATGGCTCTATATAAAACTCAAATTAATTCGGTAGAACAACCCATGAAAAATGGCCTGCATATTGACATTGCTCCAAAATCTTCACATATTGCTTTTTTAAAATTCATACTGCAGTTAGAATATAAATGTAGCTACCCAGGGACGTGAAAAGAAGGAATCTATATGGAGATCAAAATCTTCACATTAACAACTGAATTGTTACTAGGAAGATTTTTGATCTATTATAGCCTGCCCAGACGGGTTTTTTAAAGTTATCACTGCTGTTAGAGTATAAGTGTGGCTAGCCATATACTTTTAAAAAAGAAATCTACAAGGAGATCAAAATCTTCGCAATAACAGATGGATTTTCTATCTCAAATTTAGTTACATTTATCAGAGAAAATGCACTGTAATAGAGGAAGATTCTCTTTTAGAGATTAAACTAAACATCATGGATCCTCTAAATCTCATTGATCTCCCATCACAGACGTGACAGATTGGATGATATAATTATGAAATCATCTGCCCAGGATTTCTAATACGCGTCATATTCGGTGATAGCAATCAAGGTGACCCTTCAATTTTGCCGATCTCTGCACAGTATTTCTCACTTGTTAGCATGGTCCACAAAGCATCAACTTCAAGGCTATGTGATGCCCTGCTGCTTCATTTCGAGTTTCAAGCTATATGCAGTCCCTGATTCCCTTTCAAAAGAAAAATCTGCTCCATGCAGCTTTTACCCTATGTTACAGGTGGGGTTCAGAAGAGCCAATCACCAGAAAAAGCAACTTAACGAGGAAGGTCTGGGAAGAACACATCTTAAGCCTATAGGGGCTTCGAATTCCGTCTTGTCTCATTTCTACCTTTGATCCTTCAAGTTTGACTGTGTTATCCTGTGTCTTTAATAGAGTCCAGGAATAACCTTTTTTTCTATATTCAATGATTTCTACCTGATTCTTGATGCCATTGACTCGTAGAATTCTTTTCTTAGCACAAGCCATGATATTCCAAGATTGGAAATTATCTCAAATAGCTTTCATAGGCATTCCACTTATTGCCCCCACCTCCATAGTATCTCTTATAAAGTCAACTCATGTACAACTTATTCTAGCCTTGTAGCTCCGCCACCGAAAAACTATCATCACTTATTTTCATCTTATCAACATGTCATTTTTGGGGTGCCCAGCGACAGTTTAATCAAAAAGGGCTGCATCAGTTTATTAAATTACGTTTCTTTCTTTTGCAGTACCTTCAAGCATATTTGTCTTTAGGTTAAAATTGATCAGCAGTGTATTTGGGAGACACTTTGAAGGGAAAAATGCTCAGCGGCTGAAGGATTGCATCTAAATAAAAATATACGGGATCAGAACCTCCAACTGAACATAGTTTCCAAAAAACTCCGAGTTCTACATGTTTCTAGAGAAAAGAGAGCAAGAAAATGGAATCCGAACCGACCCACAAAACAAAAATTAAATGTAAAAGCAAAAGTCGTCGTAATGAAGGATACCTGCAAATGCTGGTGGTGCCAAACATGTCGTTGTCCAGTCCCCAACAGTCCTGGAATATTATCTCCCTCACATGCTCGCACATAACAAGCAAAGCGCTCAGGGTCCTCTTGTCCCTGAGTTGACACCTCTGCAAGTGCAGCCGCTCAATAGCTGGACATGAACCCAGGTGATCTGTGTTCCCTGGATCTTCGTCTATCCGCCGGCAAGCCAGTAGCCTCAGGGTCTTGAGATTTCCACAAAATGACAGCCCGCCCATCCATCCTGCATCCATTCGGTGATCACGTATGGTCAGCTCCTCCAGCATCACACAGCACTTCCCGATGGCAGTGATTCCGTCGTAGCTGCCCTCGCATCTGCTCAGCTCCAGCTTCACCAAGCGTTTGCAGCCGTGTGCCAATATCGTCAGTCCAACATCAGTCACCCCAACTCCAGGGTAGAGACCTTCTACTGATCCAACCAGCTTCAGGATCTGGAGGTTACTGAACGCGGATATCGCGCGTAGTGACATATCTGTGCAACGATGAAGCTCAAGCTCCTGCAGCGTAGAGCATTCGTCGGCCACCTTCATAAGGGCTAACTCTGACGCAACAGCAACCAGAGAGAGTTTTCTCAGGTTGGGGCATCCCCGGGCCAGGATCTCCAGTCCACGATCCACCGTGTCGGCCGGCAGGAACTGTGACATCGCGCTGGAGGACTCGAATTCAAGGTCCGGCTGGACGGAGATGGGACCGCTGGTGAGGAGGACCCCAGACGAGGGAACTGGCGGGCTGATGGACGCCGGCACGAGGTCCACATCCGTGAGAGCAGGGAAGCGCGCAACTAGCCGGGAGGGGGAATCGAGGAACGACCAGTCAAGGAGGGTGAGGGACCGTCGGATCCGGCCGAGGATGCGGAGCCATCTTCTGGAGACGAGGCAGGCGGAGTCTCGTGCCGTCGGCGGGAGGTGGGAGAGAATCCGGAGGAGGAGATCGTCGGAGAGGAGAGCCGTGTAGTCCGGCGCCTCCCCCGGCGGGTAGGGTTCCCGTGCGGCAGCAAAAGACCGCCGCTTGGGACTCTGGGGGAGGGGATCGAGCGGCACCTTGAAGACCACATGCTTCACCTCCTTCTGCCGGAACCAGAAGCCGGGCCAACCCAGGGCCGATTTCTTCAGCTGCAGTGAAGGCACAGGTCGGCGGCTCGGCATTTCTCGGCTCCACAGCTCTAATCCTGCTCCGTCGGAGGAAGAAGCTCAGCCTCGCATCGCCGCCACCCGCCGGCGAGGTCGCCGCCGCCGTGTCTGTGCTCCACAGGAGAAATTAAGAGGACCCTCCCCCGGCGCGCCAACCAACTCGCCACCGATTCAAACATACAGAAATAGCCGTGGATTTCTATCGATTTACATGATCATCCCTCGGCAACAGTATAAAACACTATAATTTCGACACGGATAAACTCTGGGAAATTTGTCTTTATGTGCCAGATGTCATGAGCATAAAAATCGGTACGTACTGATGTGCACAGATGAGGTGGCCCGTGATTGTCCGTACGCAGCAACCCCCCCCCCCCCCCAATGGAAGAGGTTGACGAACAGGCCCATAAAAGTTGGCGCATTTACCGCCCTATATGGCCCAACGGCGACCTAGGCGTGAGGGAAAATCTGGGCCGGCGTTGGTGGATCCTCAAAAAAGGGCTTTTATTGAGCGTTAATGGGCTGTGGCTCACTGCACTGCGCCCCTTCATCTTCATTCTTGTTTCCTACGGGTCTTTTTTTAAAAATCTCAATAAATTGAGGTGAATACGTAATTTTCCAGGGGGGGGGGGGGGGGACCCAACGGCACGGGTGTAATGTAAACTGGTCAAAGGCGGCCCTCCAAAAAGGACGACTAAATTGAATTAAAATAATATGTAGAGCTCCCGGCGAGGATCGAACTCGCGACCTTTCGCTTACGAAGCGAACGCACTACCACTATGCTACGGAAGCTCACGCATCTCGAGGAAGAGTTACATTAAACTTCTAGGCCGAATCCCAAATTTCTCACATATTGAGGACTAAAGCATAAAAATGCGTCAAGGAGTCCTAATTTAGACCGGAGACACTCTCCGTTGATCAGTAAATAGCGGGTGGGGGGGAGAGAAGATCGCGTGTGTTGGGATCGTGGGGCCCACCCGGATAGTAGGCGGCGCTTACTGAGGAAGAAGAAGGGGGGAGGCCTGTCTGGTTGCCCTCGCCAGGAACGGGAAGAGAAAGAGGGAGAGTTGGGTGGTGGCGATGCCGCCGCTTGCCCTGGCCAGGAACGGCTGACACTCGCTCGGCCGTTGACTCGGCACCGCCATCGACCGCCCGCATGCCTCCACTTGTCCCCACTGAGCAAGCGCCACTCTCCTCTTATTTCTCCACCCCAACGGACCAACAAATCGGCCCCTCACGTCTTCGCTAGATCAGAGGAAGAAGAAGAAGACGAAGAAGACGAAGAAGAAGACGAAGCTCAGAAGGGGGAGAGAGAGAGAGAGAGAGAGAGAGAGGAAACCAGTGAGGGTGGGGGAGGAGGGGATTGGATATCTGGGTCCGTCTCATTCTGTGGAAAATGGCGATGATGACGGACCAGCAGCAGCAGAACTACAAGCACCATTGCAGGATCTGCAGGAAGGGATTCGGCTGCGGGAGGGCGCTGGGGGGCCACATGAGAGCTCACGGGATCAACGAGGACGCAGCGGCGGGGGAACAGGGCGACGCCGACGACGAGCCTCCCGCCGGTGTTGGCGGTGGTGGTGGTGGCGTCACCGCATGCAGCCCCTGCGGGAGCGGAGGCGGGAACAGGCGGATGTACGCCCTCCGGGGGAGCTCCAACCGGGTGCGGACATGCAGAGTTTGCGAGAACTGCGGGAAGGAGTTCTCCTCCTGGAAGGGCTTCCTCGAGCATGGGAGATGCAATTCCGGCTGCGACGTCTCGCTTGTGTCCGCCGTCGCCGCCGCCGCCGGCGACGAGGAGGAGGAGGAGGACGACGACGAAGAAGAAGAAGAAGAAGAAGAAGGGGAGAGGAGGGAGTGCGTGGGGTGGTCCAAGGGGAAGCGATCTCGCCGGAGCAAGGTGGCGGCGGGCGGCGGGCTGTCGAGCCAGGAGGAGGACCTCGCCAACTGCCTGGTGATGCTCTCCGCGGGGAAGATGGAGCCCGGCGCCGCCGCCGCCGTGGTGGTGGTGGAGACGGAGGAGTCCTGCGCCTCGGCCAGCAAGGAGGACCGGAGGAGCTCCGCCGAGCGGACGGCCAGTTTCCTCGCCGTGGAGAAGCCCAAGGTGGTGGCGCCGCCGCCGAAGGGGATGTTCGAGTGCAAGGCCTGCAAGAAGGTCTTCAGCTCCCACCAGGCCCTCGGCGGGCACCGCGCAAGCCACAAGAAGGTCAAGGGCTGCTTCGCCGCCAAGCTCGACGACCTCGAGGAGGCCCCGCCGGAGGAAGAGCATCTGGTCGCTGTCGACGGCGCCGCCGCCGTAGTGCCGTTCGTCGCTCCCCCGCTGAGGAAGAAGAAGCTCCACGAGTGCTCCGTGTGCCACCGCGTCTTTACCTCCGGCCAGGCCCTCGGCGGCCATAAGCGCTGCCACTGGCTCACTTCCAATGCCGCCGATCAGAGCTCCTCCATGGCCAGGTTGCACCACATACAGACGCAGCAGGCGAAGCCGCTCCTGCATCTTCGGCCCATGAACGGGCCGCTGGACCTCAACCTCCCGGCGCCGCCAGAGGCGGCGCCGCCGCCACTCGGTTTAGATGTACCGGCGCTGTTCCTCCAGGGGTGGATGGAGAACGACAATGTCGACCCCGCCGCCACCATCACCACCAACAGCATCAACAAGAAGACCTCCGCTTCTCATGTTGAAGACGAAGCAGAAAGCAGTGTAAAGCTGGCTAAGCTCAGCGATCTCAAGGATCTGAACATGGGGGGCGTCTCCACCTCCTGGTTGCAGGTGGGTCTCGGTTCCTCATCTAAAGAGAGCCGCAAGCCCTAACCCCTTTCCTCTCTCTTCTCTCTCTCTTTCTCTTTCTCTCTCTCTCTCTCTCTTTCAGTGAACAGGTCACAGAAAAACCCTAAACCGAGGAGGAAGGAGGAGAAGGATACTCGTGCCTTGTATTCACCATACTGTAATTAGAAACTCCAAACCCACAAAGAATATTGTTCTTTTGACACAATTCAATCGATCTTCCACATTATACTTGTAATCTCAATTCCACCGCGATACTCCTCAAGGAGTGCGGTCACACCCCATTCATCAGATATTCTTTATCATCTCAATAAATCCCACTACATCGCGTTTACTGTTCCTCTCTCTCTCTCTCTCTCTCTCTCTCTCTCTCTCTCTCTCTCTCATCCCACTTCTTAGGGTTGGTGAAGAGCCTAAGCAGCGGTAATTATATGAATAGATATATATAGATAGATAGATAGCAGGAGAGAGAGAGATATACGACTCAAAACTAGGCGTTTCTTTGTCAAGCATCGGATAAAGGAGAGCTGTAAATGTGTAAATTGGCGTTAGGATCGATCCCGCTCTGGTCGGATCGGCTCAGCTCGTCATGGTCCTTGAATATGACCCAGATTGGACGGTCTGACCTGATCCCTGAGCCCCGGGTCACTGGGCCCCATCCCTTGGGGTTGGCTCCGGTAATATGCCACAAAACCAGGTGGGTTGGCTAAGGGCCCATTCCGACACCACCATCGGTGAAAACATTGCGCGAGTCAGCGTCTTGACTTCTCCCCATCCTCTTTGGAGACAAGTTAGCTAATAACTTTCGGCCAAGTTAGGCCAACCTTTGTAGACATAATTCACGCAAGGAGGGTCGTGTAAGCTTTTTCCAACCTTGTGGCCGGCGTTGACTTCACCAGAGTCAATGATTTTGACTATCGCAAAGAGAGGGGGGCATCGAAAACCTTACCTAAAGAGGAATGGGGCAAGTTTCGTCCATCAACCCATTGGCAGTACAGTACATCTTCATTGGTGAGGCGTCCGCCGGGGCCCACAACCCAGAACCTCAGCTTGCCTGGTGTTGGGGGGGGCACGACCATCGAGGGGAGAGTAAGTGTCTGGGCCCCGTGATTTAATTTCTCCATTTCGATATGAAAATAATCATGACGCAATTATTGACAACCCAAGTGATGCTTTTTCATACCACGTCAAAGAAATTAGAATATATAAATTAGAAAGGGAATTAATTACCATATATGTATATACATTAGCAATTGGGATCGGGAGTAGCTTGTATGATCCTGGTGGGTGTTCGAGGCGTTGGGCGTCTGATCCAATGAGAAATCAGACTGGGAAGAAAAAAAATGCTTTTTTTGGAAATTTATGATGCGGATCTACAGTAAAAAAAAAGCAACTATTCAACCTCAGAATTCGCAGCAAGTTCTATGGAATTGGGTTGAAGGAGAAGAAGAAGAAGAAGAAGAGGATATTATGGAAGGGGGGGATCGGCTTACCGGGATTCATGTCGCCGGGAGCTTCTAATTCTGCGCATCAAAAGCTGCAGACGTCTCCGCCAGATCAATCCATGGGAGGCGGCATATTAAGATCTATAGTCATCCGCCATGCTGAGGCGGCGGCGGCACCGCTGCCGCCATCGCCGGTGACGGAGAATTCATAGATTATTGCCGGAGATTTGTTCTCCTCGCCGGAGATTCCTGTCGGGCACGGGGTTGGAGGCGTCGGCGGCGGCGCCGCGCACGATCTGGGTTGCTTGTGGCTGGCGCGGTGGCCGCCGAGAGCCTGGTGCGAGCGGAAGACCTTCCCGCAGGTTCTGCAACTGTGCTTCCTCCGCCCGCCGCCGGTCCTCGATCTGACTGTTGTGGCGGGATTAGCCTCGGCCATCTCCAACTCCTCTACTCCGCCGCCGGCGGCGGCGGAGCACCATGCGTCGCGGGAGAACATCACGAGGCAGCGGGCGACGTCCTCTTCCGGCGTGGTGTCGGAGACGGAGCTCGCCGGCTCTGGCTCGAGCTCACCGGGCTTCTGCGGCGGCGGTGGCGGTGGCGGTGGCTTCGAGGACTCGGTGTCGCTCTCCCAGTCGGGGAGGACGACGGAGGAGGAAGCGGCGGCGCCGCCGAGGGCGGTGGAGGAGAGCTCCGGATCTGTGAGACGGCAGCTCCTCTTGGGTTTCTCCTGCAGGCCGTCGCCGGAGACGGGCTGCGTGGGCTGGAGATCGCCGCCGTGGGAGGCGGAGGAAGAGGACGAGGGCAAGGCGGCGCCGCCAACAGCGGTGGCGGTGATGACGTAGGGCTTGGCATGGGATCGCATGTGGCCACCGAGGGCCCGGCCACTGGAGAAGTGGCGGCAGCAGAGCTTGCAGGTGTGCTTGCTCGTCATCGGAGCTCTCCCGGAGCTTCTCATTCCTCGCTGCCACTGCTCTCTCTCTCTCTCTCTCTCTCTCTCTTTCTTTCTCTAGAGCAATATTTTAGAAAGAGAAGAACAGGGGAAAGGTGTCTAGGGAAGGAAGGATGGGAAGAGGAGAAGACGAGCGAGTGGAGGAAGCTCGGATGAGTAGATGACAAGCATTCCTCACCAAAAGACGCCCACACCCCACCAAAAGAGGAGGAGCAGGAAGAGAGAGAGAAGAGAGAGCATGTAGACTGAGAGTGAGAGAGAGAGAGAGAGAGAGAGAGTATTCCCGATCAAAACGAACGAGACATAACTACCTGGATTCTTTGGGGGAATTTAAGGAATTAGCCCCTGCAAAAACCCCGAATGTGAAAACCCTCTAATCCATTCCTCTATTTATTTTAGCTGCTGGGCTTCCGGAGCTACCGTCCCAGGTTTTCTCCGATTTGTAATTACCTTTGTGTCCACAGCTGGTCCAAATACAATAATGCAAATCACGCTCCAAATACAGTAATAAAGATTTAGTGCTTATTAGTCAAAGATATGAACATATATGTATGCCAAAGAGGGAAGAGGGATCTAATGCTAATTATTACTATAATTGTACCCTTATTAATTAGTTTGCTTAGTGATATAATCATGTGATAAGTCTAATTATTATGCTATTAATAAGAACTCAATGTAAAATTAAAAAAAAATATTTATGGATAATAAAAATGTATCAGAAAATGGCCTTATCTTCTCCTAAGGTATCCCTAGTTCCCTACGAAATAATTATTTAATTTTTATTTTTTAAACTGATTTATTTTAATAATAATACTTGTAAAGTAACTTGCTGGCTAAGGGAGTTTTCGATGTTATCGAGCACTTGAGGCTTCTAAATAAAATAAATTATTCGTAAGGGTGAAAAATAAATACTGACATGGGTTTTTTTTACAGGTAAATAAATTAAATTAATAAGTAGATGATCTTTTTTGCTATTTTATGGCTATTTGAGGGCCTTTCTCCAATAAGTCCTCAAAATGGTCTTTTTAGGATACTTCCGCTACCCCTCCCGAATCCTTCCTCACTTCACCACCCGGATCTCTCTCTCTCTCCCTCTCACTCTCTCACTCTCACTTCACTTCTTCCCTCTCGCTGCTTCGATCCTTGACGGAATATTCCCCTCCGTCGATGCCACGCCATTTATGGACGTCTCGTTGGTGGATTCATCGTAGTTTCTGAGGAGCAAATATGGAAACTACGGCCGGAGACATCCTCCACCTTCCTGTCCGAAACGGACGCCGTCTTCGTCGGCGGCGCGAGAGACTGATTCTTGCTATCCGCCGCCGCCCCGCCAGAGGGGCACGTGTGAGGAGCGGCTGAGAGGATGACTACGTGTCGACGCCAACAATGGCGGAGTCCTCTCTACAGGGCGGCGGGCACGTGTGGCAGGGGGCCATGAGAGAGAAACCCGTGGCTCCGCCGCCGTTTTTTGTAACAGCTAGTGGTCCGGCGGGCGGGGGGGTGGGGGGTGGGGAGGGGAAAGAGTTGCGGAAGAGCCGTTACTGTTCTCACATCTGTTTAAAAGTCCTCTTGAGATCCTTAGATTTCATTTTTACCGTCAAATGTTTAGTATTTGAAAAAAATATTCCAAGCGTTCGTAGCCTGATAAAAGTTTACCTTTACATCCCTACAAACTTCCTGAGTAATGGACTAATCTCTTTCTTTCTTAATTTCCCTTCGCCTTTCAAGGCCATAAAATTACATGACTATTGCATTTCAATAAGTTGATAATGTAAATTACATTCATATATCAGTAATATTTTTTTAACGTAAAACATATCCACGAGAAAATACAAAATTGGTCAAGAAAGCTCAAGACTATGAAACCATAAAAGGCTTAAAATACAAAGAGTTCAAAGCTAGCAAGTTCTTAAAAATCAATTATTTTTTAGTACTGATTGTTGTTATTTTGATGGATCTTCGTTTGATATTTACATGAATAAATCCTATTTTCTAGTAAGTTCTAAGCTAAATTATGCTAAATTAAAAGAGATAATATTGTAGAAAAGGATGTTTAGCATACATCTTACCAATTATTCTACTTAACTCTCTCTCTCTCTCTCTCTAACCCTAATATATCTCCCTCTTTGTTATCAAATGGCCTATCATGTCAATAAAGAGAAAGTAGTAAAGCAAGATTGTGTTATACTCAATTTGGAGATGTTTCATAATATTTAGAGTTGACAAAAGCAAACAATGATAAAAAATATCATTTTACATTACAAGATGACATAATATGTTAGAGTTAATATTTCAATATGTGAGAAGTTATGTTGCAAAAGATTGAAGTATATTTACAATAATATATTAATGTATTATTTTAATTAAACAATAATTTATTAAAAATTAAATATTTCAATTTATGAGAAATTTACATCACCCAAAAATGTAGCACATCAATGGAAATGTTTTAACATATCATTTTGTATTACACAATAATATATTATAATTCATTATTTCACCAAAAAAGGAATTGCACTATAAAATAACTTATTATATGTAACATTGTGAAATGGTAGAATGTCTCAACCTTATTGTGTAAGTATATGACATATACTCGAAGACATGAGCATACACCATGTTATGTTATAGAAAAGTGGAATACAGTAAGGTTAATACCTTAATACATGAAAATCATGGTGTCATACATAAATGAGAGCTATAAGTAATATGTAAATTAAATTTATGTACTTATACATGAGGATCATGTCCAAGAATAGGACAATACATAAAACACTATAGTTTAGTTTATAACACTTTATTTATGTTCTGATTTAAGTGAGAATAAGGTTATGTATATAAGGACATTGATTTAAGTGAGATCAATGCCGGAATATATTTATAGAAGAATCCCATGTGTTAGTCTTACCTTCACAAAGAAGGGTCAGATTACAATAATGAAAATGTGTTGTTTGGTTTTATGTGGTAGTATTTAATTAGTTATGTACCTTATTTTCTTTTCATCCATATTTCTTTACTCTCTAAGGACAAACATATTTGAGTTTAACTAATTTTTTAATATAAAATTCTTTAATTACAAGGGCTCAACTCTCATATAGTTTTTCCTCAAAACTCTATTTATATTAACAAGCCTCAGAAACCCCATTGTTGATTGAAGGGCTCAGTTCCCTATATCATAAGATAGTGAATCTAAGGTTCATCTTTCTCCCTATTGAAGCTTCTCCTTGTTGAGACTTGGCTCTCTTTATAGCTTGTTGAAGGACTTGACCAACAACATATCATATCATCTCCATTTCAAGCTCTCAAAAGTCAACAATCATACTTTTATCTCCATGGAGGCTTATTTTTTTGACATTTTTCTTTCCTCGTCTTCTTGCCCTAGGTCGGGAAGAACCCCCCCTCTTTTATTTTCATCTCAGCTAGTTTCAACAAATGAAAGTGATCTTCATTTGTTCAAACTTGAAATTAGTTTTGAAACCAGAATATGCACATTAATCTTATGAAATTTGTAACACATAGAATTCTTTGAATTTTGATGGACACATTAACCATTTGTTATGCTATATTTAGTCTTTGAGATATATTTTCATGAGCAGTTGATGCTCATACCCACTAAGTGATCTACTCTATAAAAGTTTTCTCTTTGTAAGACAATATTTTAGATCATTTTACTTTGCAAGATATTTACCTCATATGTGTATGAAGTATAATTTTAAATGCAAATTCAAGTGATCTCCACAAAAAACATCCTCATAAATTATCACTTTCGTCGAACCATTTGAGCTTTTCAAATGTGAATTCTAACTATTTCTAAACATTACTTGAAATCCATGTGTAATGAGTCATCACTTAAATGCATGTATCAACATAAAGAATGATTTGAGATTCACATTCAATCAACATCCTCAATCTCAAATTCATAATGTGAAATATAATGTTTGTACCTTCCTCTCAGTACTTCACATCTTATATATATGCATCATATGTTAAAATAAAAGGATATAAAGTGTAATTTTGATTATATATGAGGTAGATAACTAATCCACTTTTCTATTTTTTTTGGAGGTCTCATGGGAAACCAATATTATGATTACCTTATTTTGGCACTTCTATGATGTTGGGTTATATACCTAAAGTTTTGATTTATGTGCTAATCATGAAACAAGTCATAATTAAAAATTCACATAGCTCAAGAAGGTATTAATAAATAAAAAAGAAAGTTTAAACAGTCCATGGAGCCACCTATATTTATTAAATTGATCAAATATAGTAAATAATCACTCACCGATATATATGTATCTTAATAGTTAATAAAAATAAAATAAAATTAGTGCATAGTTTTAACATGCCATTAAGTGAATAATCATTTTATATGTATCATCTTTATAAAATCAATTAAAACATATACCTTGCTAGTTATACTAAGGAGCCAACTTTTTATCTATTGATACAAATTTTACTTCATATAATTTGTATTATTATGAGCTATTTGAACTACATACCAATTTTTTTTTCAAGTAGTTATGAGATTACTAAGTCATTGCAAATCATTTCATGCATTCTTTCTATGAACGTGATAAATATATCATCAGAATTCACTAAATAACCCATTAATGCTAAGTTATTTCTTGCTATCTATAAGAGCTAAGGATGTAAGATCCATTTGTCAACACAAATAACTATGTAGTATATTTTTTTATATTTTTGTGAACTATTTTAGCTGCAATACTAGTTAAATTTCTATGTGAGCACTTATAAATGACCATAGATCATTTCATTCACCATCTTAACCCTAAAGTTTTTTATTGTGATCTTTTTTTTAAATAACCCTTGCATTAGTTTCAAAACTTCTTAAAAATGAGTGTTTTTCTTTAGAAACATGAAGAGGTCAAGGAATGAGCATGACAAAGCAAACCTTTGCCAATTATAGACAAATCTTCATCAGGGGAACTAGAGATGATTAGAAATTGGTTGATGTAAGATTATCAATGTATTACATGGATGGCATTGATGTATTGTAGACTTCATAATGTTATTCACATGATTTTTCTGATTTATGTATCAATCAAAAGTAATGTTAAACATGTTTCAAGAAGATTGACGCATCTTGAGCCTAATGACATCATTTTTTTAATGTACCTATTATTTGAAAAGTATCATGTTCCTCATGTTTCATGAAATCATTATACCATTTTTTGCATCAGGTCTTAATATATTATTTTTTAATTAAAAATAATGCCAATCTATTAAAGCAACAACTGATGGAAAGCTTCACCGTATCATTTCATCCTGACCATATAAAATAAATTCCTTGTATGCTTTGGATTTGAACATGTTACAATAGAGAGCCCAAAGAAGGCAAAGATAAAAAAATAAAGAAAGGCTGTCTAGGGAGTAGCTGATCATCTATTAAAAGAATAAGTGCCAAACACCGCAAGGCTTGCTTCAAAAAAAAAAAAATCAAAGCCCGAGAGGATGAACTTGTTCACCATGGACAAACTTATGGCTCATTCCGTCACAGAAAATGAAGATGAATAGACACAAAGGGATGAAAAGAGTGGAGTGGATGAATTATTTGCACCTTTCTGTAAAGCCCCAGAGACACAGAGGGATATAAACTTCTGTGGGAGCCAATCGCCTCTTATGGAATAGCTCAGTTAATCAAGAAATGAAACTCTATGAAGCGTCAAGATAAGTTGGCCCGTGGAAGTCACCTTTCAGCTTCCGGAACCATTGAAAATGAAATTCAGTGCCTACGTTCTCAGAGAAGCAACCAAAGCCAAAAGTAGTATGTAATGAATTAACTGAAGACGCTCTATTGCTGTTTCATCTACCCAGACAAGATATCAGCTTCAATTCATTCGAGACTAACAAGATATGTGCATCAGGAAATCGACACATAGTCGAGAATAAGAATTGCAGTGCAGCAGGAGGTAAAGAAAAGAAGAAAAAACCTCAGAAGGCAAGCACCACATAATGCAACCAACCCAAAAATGGTGGGCTCTGTCAAGAGATTGAACTCATAACAGTCTGCAAAGGGTTTACTCATCTCCCTGTTTCCATCGTACCAAGCTTGGAATTGAACTGAAGGGTCTCTTCCTTCGACTCTGATTTCATCCACAGCCAGTTATCTTGTGAAATCCAGAAAATGGGCACGAGAAATAAGATGAAATCCGAAAAATAAATCATGGCAAATGAAGAATACCCATGTCATTTCAATAAAATCTTGGGATTAGTGAAAGCACACACCATGTGGAGAACACTTACGGTTCATTTCTCTTGTAGCTCCATCCGGGAGGGGAAAATAAAAACATTGGAATCTTCAAAATGTTAGGCCAATTAGATTAGCACAGCACCACTTCTGGGAAATAACAAGAAATTGATCGATTATACAAACTAATTGCAACTGAAAGCTTGGGTCAATCAGTACGCAATTCACTTGCCTTGCTACAGATTCACCCGAAGTCGGATCCACCATAACTCACAACAAGGACACAGAGAGACTGCTAGCCCATGGCATGCTTGAGGGAGTCCCCGGCACCTTGGAAGAAGCAGTACGAGAGAGCAAAATCAGCAATAAAGATGCTGACGAGAGATATGACCACCGCCGAAGTCGTAGATTCGCCGACACCTTTGGCTCCGCCGATGGTTGTCACGCCCCAGGAACAGCTCACCACGGCTATGATAGCGCCGAACACCTGTGACTTGATCATGGCGCTCACTATGTCCCAGGGCCGCAGAGCCCGCTGCGCAGAGTCCAGGATAATGTTGGCGCTTATCCCGTATATACCGTCCGCGAGCAGCGCGCTAGAAGCCAGCCCCACCGTGAAGCAGAGCAAGGTGAGCACAGGGAGAGCTATGCAGCAAGCGATTACCCTTGGAGTCACGAGGTAGTCGACGGGGCTTGCACCAAGCACGCGGAGAGTATCCATCTGCTCGGATACCTGCATAGTGCCGAGCTCCGCCGCAAAGGCGCTGCCGACGCGGCCAGCTACGACGATTGATGTGACGACGGGGCTCAGCTCTCGGGAGAAGGCGAGGGCCAGCACCCCTCCCACGGATCGGGTGAGACCGAGACGGATGAACTCGCGGACGAACTGGATGGTGAAGGCCATGCCGACGAAGGCGGAGGTGAGCAGGCAGACGCCAACCGAGCGCGGACCAACACGCTCCAGCTGCTGGAGTGTGTTGCGCCAGTGGATCCTGCCGGTGAGGGTCTGATGGATGACCTGCCCCGCCACCACGAGCACTGTCAGGCCCCGCCAGAGCGGCCTCGGGGGGTTCCACGATCCCAAGAGTGATATGCCATCTTTCGGCTCGGGCTGGGGCAATGGCGGAACTGGGAGGGAGTCGTTCGCGCTCTGATCTGAATAGCAGCGGCTGGGGGATGGGAGGCGCCGCGGCGGAGCTGAATCGAAGGATCTAAAACTGACAGACGAACCTCGGAAGGGGATCCCGCAGGGGAACTTACTGACGGCAAGACGATCATCCGTCGTCTTCCTGCACCAGAACTACGAATCAGATCTTATCCTTCTTCCACAAATTCCGGCGGTGGCCGAGGCAAAGGCGGAGAGATCTACCTGACGAAGGCGGCCACCGGAAGGACTCGCACGAAGGAAGTGGTCTCCATGCCGCCAATCAGTCGCTCCGCATCACTTTCCGAACAGAAATCTTCCTGCCGACGTTCGTTCCGCTCGTCGTCGGCGCCGGAGAAGCGGAGGGAGTGGTGGACGGCGCCGCCGGATCCAGACAGAGGGACCTTCCCCTCTCGATGTCGGCCGGGAATCTGCCTTCAGCAGCAGCAGCAGCAACAGGAGACCTCCCGAGTAATGGCGGCTCCCGGGCAGCCGGCAGGGGCCTCTCTGGGTGACGGTGGCCACATCCCTTTCTTGATCCGGATTTCCAGGAATCGAGCTTCCCCGGAGAAACGATTCCAAACGGATCCTCTCCAACCGTGACAATTCCGTTTAGCAAATTTCCCAATTTAATCAGACCCCGATTATAATGGGCTTTACATAGTTCTGGCCCGGAGCCCGTCGACAGGCCCGTATTTAATGCCTTCTTAGTTTCTCCGATTATAGCCGGGCTTTTTAGAGTTCCGGCCCCGAGCCCGTCGACAGGCCCCTGTTTAACCCTATTTTTTTTCGATTGTAACCGGGCTTTATAGAGTTCCGGCCCGGAACCGGTCGACTGCCATGTATTTAATGCCTTATTTCTAATTAATTATGGAGTGTTTTATATTTTATTGCGGAGTTAACTATAAAAATATGCAAGCGATGAATTAACCTGGTGGTGGAGATACCGGGCGCCGACCATGTGTGCGCGGTTAGCAGGTGTCTATGGGCGGTTGATTTACCTCCCCTTCTGCCCAAGCCAGCGATTGAAAAGAGAAGGATGGAGAGGGAGACAGGGGAGAGAGACGAATTGAGGAGAAGACGCGGAGAGAAGAAGCTGGCAAGGAGGAAGGGAAGACACGAAGATGGCTCCTGCTCGGCGGTAAGAATCGTCGGCTGCTCCGCATCTGGTGGTCGCTTCTTCTTCTTCTTTGCCGGTTGAGATGTCGCATTAGACTGCCTCCCCGCGAGATCTGCAATTCGCAGTTGGTTGCGCAGTTGTGACACATCGGGCTCCGGTCTCGCCTGACGCGGGGAAGTCTCTTTTAGCGGGTGTCGGTGGGGCTGGGGTTTTCGGAGATACGGGTGAACCCTAGATCTCGGATTTTCATCGGTGTTAATCTGATGTTCTGGTGTACGAGTCGGAGTGCGGGGGGGGGGCTCCTTGTTGTTTTGACCGGATAGTTTGGCTGATTGAATCGGGGAGGAGGTGTGGAGGGGGGTCGTTTCGATTGTTGACTACATCGGGTCGGTATCTGATTGATCTGGCTTGGAAGTTTGCCGAGTTGCTCGTTTATTCAGTTGTTTGGTTGAGAGATTTCTTCGGGCTTAGGGTTCGTTAATCGTCTGGATGGCCTCTACCGATCCTTTCCAGTTGGAGGACCAGACAGACGAGGATTTCTTCGACAAGCTGGTTGGTGATGATGAGTTTGGGCTGGAGGGATCTGGTTCTGCTTCCAGTGACATGGCGAGAGCACTTTCTAACATGAGTATCGGTGATGTGGGCACATCCGTGGACGGGGTCAAAGAAGAGGATCAGCGGGAGGACAAGAGCGCGGTAGCATTAGAACCTCAGGAAAAGGATACCTTTCTCCTCGAGGAGAGTGCTCCCGTCGCCCTGTCTGATATTGTTGCTCTCCATGAGTCTCAGTCTCTCCCATCCAGTGATCCTGTCAAGGCTTTGACGGACGTTGGATCACCGGGATCATCAACAGGGATGAGTGCTGGATCTAAGGGAACCAGCATCAAGGAGGTGCAATGGACTTCATTTAGTTCTGGTCAAGGACTGTTAGACATGGGCGGATCCGGATCGTATTCCGACTTTTTCTCCGAGGTTCCAGATCGATCAGCTGATCAATTGGTGGTGGGTGCGGACAATCGAAATGCATTTGCGGATGTAACTACACCGTTTGATCGTGTTGAAACACATGATTTCCAAGACTTTTCAGTAGCCAATTCACAGCCCTCATACATGACTTCATCAGAACAATCGGAAGCTCAGGCTCATGTAGTTCAAAATGAACAAGTGTCAACTGGAAATGAATCCGAATATTGGGAGAATGCCTATCCCGGTTGGAAGTATGATGTTAATACTGGACAGTGGTATCAAGTTGACAGTTATGACATAACCACAAGTGCTCAGGTTGATGGTAATAGTTCTGCAGTAGAAAACGACCAAGAAGTTATACAAGGTACCACTCAGCTAGCCTATGGCAATGTTTTCCATGGCCAAAGATCGGAGATTTCCTATTCACAGCAGACTACTCAGTCAGTTACAGAGACTGTGTCAGAGGATATTGCAACTGGTAACTTGCCTAATTTGAATCAAGCCTCTAAAGAGAACACTGAGTACCCGCCTAACATGCTATTTGATCCCCAGTACCCTGGCTGGTATTATGACACAAACACCTCCCAGTGGTATTCTTTGGATTCTTACACTCAATCTCTTCAGACAACTTCACATGCTGCTTGGAACCAGCAAGCTCAAGATCTTGCTGATGGACTCTACTCAGTTCAAAATTCAACCCTACACAGCAATGAAACTGATCAATTGGAATCTCAGACATTGAACAGTCAAGCTAGTCAAGATCAGGGAGATTGGGGTGGATACAGCAGTGGCTATCAGCAGCATAGCATGTGGCAACCGAAAGAAGAAAATAAGAGTGAATCTGCCTCTGGTTTGTCAGGAAGTCAGACTGTAAGTAACTTCTACCGCTCACAAAATCAAGAATGGAAGCTTGCCGATCAACAGATAGGTCTCCAAACCAAAGAAATAGTCCCAAGCTCTCTTCACAGCAGCAGCATTGGCAGTAATTCTTTTTCAACCTTTGTACCAGCAGAAAGTAGTTATCAAGTTAGCCAACCAAGAACAGAGCATAATCAACATGCAGATATACCGCAGAATTATTTTCTACATCAGAACTCAGTTAACTACTCTCAGCAGTTCTCCCAGAACGAAAGTGCATCAAATTCTCAATTTCCTTATGTTCCCAATGGGGGTAGATCTTTAGAAGGACGTCCACCTCATGCCCTGGTTACATTTGGATTCGGTGGGAAGCTCATAGTAATGAAAGATCCAGTGCATTTTAGTACGAACTTGGCATATGGGAGCCAGGTAGGCCAAGACGAATGATGCTTACTAGTCTTCATCATGTTTTTCAATGTTCTTCAGAGATCCTCTACTTTTTGTTTGAGGATTTAATTAATCTTGATTTGTAGTACCGCCACTGATGGCTTTGGTGTTTATTTATGTGAAGGATGCTGGCAAGGGAGTAATATGTATTCTCAACTTGGCCGAAGTTGCCATGGAAAATCCCGACTCTTCAGCCATCAACAGTCAAAGTCATGATTACTTCCATATTTTATGCAGACAACCATTCCCAGGTCCACTAGTTGGCGGTAATGCTTCTACTAAAGATCTTAATAAATGGATTGACGAGAGGATCACAAGCTGTGAGTCATTGACTATGGATGTCAGAAAGGGAGAACTTTTAAGGTTGCTTCTCTCTTTGCTCAAAATATCCTGTCAGTACTATGGAAAACTGCGGTCACCTTTTGGTACAGACCCCTCATTACAGGTAAAACAAATTTATGATACCATCAACGAAAGCATGTAATGTGTACAGTCTGGTCCTTCTGACACATCCATGATCTATTCTTTACCTACCGCGAAATGCTTGTACTTGGTTAAATACCATTTCTGGTGTTTTTAAAGCAGAACGCCATTACCAGTATTCATTTAATTTATTTTGCTTACTCTTCCTTTCATTTTGCACCGTGCTCTGTCTTTGATGGTTCAATCCCACCGTTGCTCATTGCTTTTTTCATTTCTTTCTTCCCTGGTAAGGTGGGTTGGGACTACGATCTGATAATAGGAAACCAATTCACGTCTGTGGTGGAGGTTTGACTGGAAATTGACTTCATTAGGCTCCAGTTAAACAGATGTTTTTTTTCCTCATCTTCCTTTCTTTTTAACTATACCTGTTCTCTGCTTACACGAGGTATGTAGGTTTATGGGAAGTGCATAAATGAAAAAAGCCTAACGTAATAAATTTTTAAGCAAATGAAACTCTTGAAAGGCAAATATGCTGTAAACAATTTTGTGCAAATTTTTGTATCCCTCTAATGTAGGTTCTAATTTTCTTCCGCTCTGCTTTCCCTAAATATCCATGGATGGGCCTCCTAACATATGCTGGCTGAAAATATTGGATTGAATGTCTTTATTTTATTTTCCTCTATTAATTAATCTATGGTATTTTTCTATTTATGTTTTTGCTTTGGACTGCTTTAATATATATATTTTTGTTATGGCCTCTCTTAAACGAAACTTTCACCTATGCAATTGCCTCTACCGCGATGTCTTGTATGTGCATTGTTATCCCATTCCTGCATATGAATGCAAATAGGAACAAGCATCTGCTTGAATTTTCCCGTTATCCTAGAAGAAGGGGGAGGGAAACTCAAACAATGTGGATCATCTATTTTAGGTTTGCCCTTTGCCCATGCAGATTTAGATAAGTAGGGTTGTTTCCATCTAGAATAAATGGCACTTGCCATTAGGATTGCTGATCTTTTGAAAAGATGGAGCAATTAATGACCATTTTTTGCAATAAGTTGTGCTGAATATTGTTAATGCTAAACTGTTTTTCATCATTTATGTGGACTTAGAGCCTCCTAGAGGAAGAAACATAAATATCCTTCTTAAAGTTGAAGTTGAGGAAGTGGGGGAGGGGCTCTATGTGGCATTATTAAATATTGGTCCACTTCTTTTTTTTTTCCTTTTTTTAAAGGTGGGTTTGACTTTATTTTTTAGGTGAAGGTGTGGAGGTCCCATAGTACTGTGTTGGGTGAGGCTTAATTCTTTGAACCTTCTTGCTCTGAAGTCTGGTTCTGTTTGATGATCGTGCTGGCATTTTGTCATGGGGAATTCAGTTCTAAATGGTTCACAGCTTTTTTAATGAAAGAAATGCTTGATGAGTTATGAAGAAAAATGTAGAAGGATGAAAGTGGCGTCTGATAAAGTGGTCTGGTATCTGTGGAAGAAAGTGGGACGGTACGCATGCAGGTATTAGATCAGCATATTATTGGTGAATGGAGTTGAAAGGTGGGAATATAATTTCAAAACGTCATCATCTACAAATGCTTCAACCAAATGGAAGCCAGAGGTCTTGGAAACTGGATTTATTTGAATTTTATTGCAGTTGAGAGACAAATTGAAGGCCTCAAACTTCATAGGAACATACTTCTTTTTTACGATTGAAAAATAGGAAATATATGTACTCCCATTTTTAGAGTTTCTGGACAGCGACCCAAGTGTCTGCCTTATGCAGTGCCCGACATGATTTACCTCAGTGGTGTATTCAAGCACCTTGAGGAAATTATCAGTTTGTATGTACGTGTCCAGTCACATGTTTGTGAGGAAATTCTCATGCTGATGCGATCCTCTTGGCAGGATAAAGGCTGTTTTTTTGGAATGCCACACATTGGATGACAAGGATTACTGAAACATGGTCAACTTGGTGATCTTTTGAGGTTCTGAAAAGATATAATAATTTTTTTGTATAAGTTGGAGCTTGAAGTGACACATCTTCCCTTTTGGGCAAATCAAGTGAGAGTACACGGGGAAGAGATATATTATATTCGTTTTTTTTTATTTCTTAGATGTTGTATTACTTTAATTGTATTCGTAGATATTAGTACCTTGCAGAGTGACAGTTGTTCACTGAAACTTTTGGAAGGTTTCCTGCGTTAATTCCTACTGTACTACATGTTGTTCCTTCAATCTTATAAGTTTTATGATTTTTTTTTCCGGCAGGAAACTGATAGCCCAGAGCTAGCGATTACTAGGCTTTTTGCATCAGCTAAAAAGAATAGTCATCTCTTGAGAGAATATGGTGACCTCACTCATTGCATGCATAATTTGCCTTCTGAAGCACAGATTCGGGTATGAACTTTATGGAATGGTATTTCACGATTTTTCAGTATTCATGATCTGTGCCTAATCTTCGTGCATTCCTTTTTTAGACCACCGCTGTTGAGGTGCAGAGGCTTCTTGTTTCTGGTAGAAGGAAAGAGGCTTTGCAGTGTGCACAAGAAGGCCAACTGTGGGGTCCTGCCCTTGTTCTTGCAGCGCAACTTGGTGATAAGGTATGCATTATCTTATCTTTTTCTTGGTATTTCTTGCTATCATAACCTCATAAAATTCTTTTTTCTTTGCAGTTTTATGTTGAAACTGTGAAGCAAATGGCTCATCGTCAGTTTGTATCTGGATCACCTCTACGGACACTTTGTCTTCTTATAGCTGGACAACCTGCTGATGTCTTCTCCACAGACAATTCTATTAGTACCTTAGCCGGTGTAAAAAATGTGCCTCAGCAGCCAACCCAGGTGCATTTAATATGCTGGATTTTAACTCTCCTCTGTTCTACTGATCTTATTCTGACATTTCTATTTCTCCGTTGTATGGAGAATCATTTGATTTTATAACCATCTTATTCAAATGCATAATTACTTGGTAGTTTCTTGTATCCTTAGAGGTGAGTATTTTTTTTTCTGAAACTTTAGTTTTTACATGCAATGCAGATTTCTTCCAATAGCATGCTAGATGATTGGGAAGAAAACCTGGCCATAATAACTGCTAACAGAACAAAAGATGATGAACTGGTGATAATTAATCTCGGTGATTGCTTGTGGAAGGAAACGGGCGAGGTATGTTCCTAGGAGCATTTCCATGAGAAATTTCATCACATTTAGACCATATTTTTAATGTAGTTTTACGATGCAGGTTACTGCTGCACATACGTGTTATTTGGTGGCTGAAGCAAAGTTTGAATCATATTCCGACAAGGCAAGACTGTGCCTTGTTGGTGCAGATCACTGGAGATGCCCCAGAACATACGCCAGCCCTGAGGCTATTCAGGTTGTGGTCACTTCATTGTCATTATTGTTATTCATACTGAGAAACATGTAAATAGGATTGCTTGATACTCCTGCCATTTCTTCAATCTTCTGTTGTTGATTATGAACCAAGCAGTAAAGTTAGAAGTTATTTCATGTTGTTTATATTGAGTATAAATATCAACAAAGCTAGAGTTTGCCATGCAATCATGTCCGTGTTTCGAAACATTCCATAGTCACAGTTAGCACCTCTTAAGTTATTTTTATATTTTTTATTTCGCTATCTCGGTATTGAAGCAGGTAAACCTTGTTTATGTTGAAATGAGTTGAACTTCCATTGGTGATCTCTGTGAGCTTCTGGAATGACTTCTGTGAAGTTCCATTACTTGAATCAATGAGAAATGAATGCTAGCTGGAGTAAGGAATTGCCAACTGGTAATTGTCTGGTTGTAACCAGTCCGTGGTTGTTAGCCCTGTCCTCTAGGATGACTCCAAATGTCAATAGGATGGCCAAGCGGCACTGTTCTCGACTTCAACCTTTATTTCGCCTGCATAAAATAGCAAGAATATGCTATAAGAATTTGGAGGGGTGTAGGAAATTGGAAAGGATAAATTTTTTTTTCTCGAATACTCACCTTACACTGCATTATCACATTTGGTTGGAGTGCATTTTTAGCTTGTGCTTCACAGCGCAGAATATGCATCCTAGAGGCAACTTTTTTGATAATCATGGTCCAATGTAGTGGCAAATCATCAGAAAATCCGTAATATTCAGGTTTATCTGGTAAAATCTGCACCATAGTAGCTTTTAGGCCATTGCAGTTATACCATGTTGTTTGTGTGAAAATGAAATATCAAATTCGTCAATGGCTTATCAGGTTCTGAGTAGCTTTTATGCCTTGGGATGTCTCTGGTTCAGTCGACTTGTTGATGAAAGGCCCCTTCCAAACATCTTCAGCTTGGAGATGCCGGACACGGTGATTTAAGAATGGGCTCATGAAGTCACGGAGGGTGAGCAGTTTGCTTAGATCATGCCAAACTTCGAGGAAATGAGGCAAAGAGACTTGCTGCTATGTGGAGGTATAAAAAAAAGGGTGGTTCATGGTTGCCATGACGAGCCTTTTGCCTTGTCAGTGATGCTCTAACTTGGTGATAAGGTGTGTATCCTTTTTGCTGCACTTCGAAGGAGTAGATAAAAGGGACACCTATGTTCTGGCGTGAGATAAGTAGGATGGAGCTGATTGTCATTGAATGTGCGTGCTTGTTTATGATTGGTTTGGCCTTCTTTGGAGGAGGTGGTGACAATCATATGTTCTTTAGATGAAATTCGAAGAATGGAGCAATGGATGCCTCGATTTTGAAAATTAAAGGGGGTGCAATCATCCTGCCAGCCCCAAAGACTGATGATTTATATGAAGGATGGTAACTATCGGTCTGCTGTCCAGGTCAAGTCCAAAGTCGTGGTAGGATCTGTTGGGGGTTTGGTCAACCAATGCAGAGGAAAAGGGAGAGGATCAAGAAGCAGAAATATAGAACGGGAGAGTCTTCTGGTTTTTCCACCAACTTTCAATGACAAGAGCAGCAGGCGGTCTCTCTCCTGTCCGCTTTTCTTACATAGGAGCCTTCTCGGTCAACTATGATCAACTAAGCTTGTATGAACCTATGGATTAACTGCGTATCAAAATCTTCTGCCTCTCCCTCTCCCTCTCTATTTTAAACATGTGTCTCTAGTTTTTCTTTTTTTGGTTATTTTTGCAAGCTGAAATCGAAATATTATGAATGCGTTGAATAATCACTCTCTCTGATAATTTTGCAGAGAACTGAATTATATGAATATTCAAAGGTGACGGGAAATTCTCAATTCGTGTTGCTACCATTTCAACCCTACAAACTTGTCTATGCCTACATGTTAGTTGAAGTGGGCAAAGTTTCAGATTCATTGAAGTATGCGGAACCGCCCTCCTCTGGTGTTAATTGTCCTTTACCTTTCTTTCATTCTTAGTAAGCTGGTGATCGTAGGTACTGCCAAGCGATCATGAAGTCATTGAAGAGTTCCGGTCGAGACCCCGAAGTGGAAACATGGAAAGGGATGGTATCATCTCTGGAGGAGCGCCTGCGAGCCCATCAGCAGGTTTTCTTCAGTCAGGCAAGCTTTTATTCTTCTCTGGCAATCACAGTTCCTGACATTGTTCTTTCTTCTTCCAGGGTGGATACGGCACAAACTTAGCTCCTGCAAAACTGGTCGGCAAGCTGTTCACATCCATTGATAGATCCCTTCACCGCATGATTGGCGCCCCGCCGCCGTCTCTTCCGCCGCTTCCTCCTGGCCATTTGAACTCCCACGAGCATGATAACATGTCGACGACTTCTAAAGTGGGAAACATCCAGTCAGCGATGTCCATGTCGTCCCTGGTTTCCTCGGCATCTGTGGAAACTATCAGCACTGGGTGGACAGGTGATGGTCGGAAAACCATCCACAACAGGAGCGTCTCGGAGCCAGACTTTGGTAGAAGCCCAAAGCAGGTATCCCCCCTAATCTCTCCGGGCTCCTGCTTCTCTACTCCATTTCACACATCTTTTCTTGATGCCATACAGGAACAGGTGAGTCCTGGGACCAACGCTTCCCCAACAGACGGCCAGAACAAGGGCCATGGGGCATCTCGCCTCGGCCTCTTTGGCTCTCAGTTCCTCCAAAAGACCATGGGCTGGATGTCAAAATCTCGTCAGGTATACTCCCCCTTCGGGGTTTCCTCCCCTCCCTCACTGTGTTTGTGTTCTTCTTGACTGGACTGCACCGTCTATTATACGCATAATAATCACTACTACCACAGGCGAAATTGGGCGAAAGTAACAAGTTCTACTACGACGAGAAGCTCAAGAGATGGGTCGAAGAGGGCGCCGAGCCATTGGCAGAGCCGGCCCCTCCGCCGGCGCCGCCCACCGCCGCTGCATTCCAAAACCATGCACCGCCGGCGTATGGATCAACTCATGCGCTTTCAACTGAAAACCTGCCTCCAAATGGGATGTTAGACACAAAGGCTCCCAGTCCCCCCGACTACGGCTCGGGCGTCCCGCCGATGCCTCCCAGCCAAAATCAGTTCTCAGCTCGCGGGCGCATGGGCGTTCGGTCGAGGTCTGCTCTCTGCTCTCTGCATATATATATATATATATATATATATATATATATATATGCTCCAAAAGATTTCTTTCTATCTCTACCCATGTTCAGTTTCCAATCTTCCTCTCTCTTTCCTCAGATACGTCGATACATTCAACAAAGGGGGAGGGGCGCCGGCGAGGTCATTCCAGTCCCCATCTCTGCCATCTGCAAAGCCAGCGGGCGGCGCCAAGTTCTTCATCCCCACGCCCGTGGCGGCCGCCGATCCCGCAGACGCTCCCTCGCAGGCCGTCCAAGGACCGCCGGGCAACGAAGACGGCTCGGCATCGGTTGTGGAACCGGCTTCCACGTTCCTCTCATCAGCGTCGTCTTCGTCGTCATCAACATCATCACCATCCACAATGCAGCGGTTTCCTAGCATGGACAATATTTCCTCGAACAGAAATAAGGGAATGGGGTCACCCCCTGACGGCAATGGCTCCCTGGGTTCTCGAACGAGAGCAGCATCATGGAGTGGCACCTACCCTGAGGCGTTCAGTCAGAAGCCATCGCCCGCTGTGAAGCCCGCCAATGGCCGCTCGGGTGCTCCTGTTCCCTCATTCTTTACGCCGAATAACAGCCCGTTCTCGATGAACCCCGCCCCCGGCCCTCTTCATGCCAACGGCAGCGGCTTCGGGGATGATCTCCAGGAGGTCGAGCTCTAAACCCCACAAGCCGAGCGGTATTCTCCCCTCCCTCCCCCGCTTTCTTTTCTGTACAGATAGTTTTTGATTTATGGAAGATGGAAGTTCCCTCCTTTTTCTTTCTTCTTCAATGGAGGCCATTGTAGACGCAGCAACAGCAGCTAAGAGGGCGGGAGCGCCTTGAGATCGACGCCGCCTCCCCATCTTCGAGGGGGAAACAGGAAAAGCAATAACAGATGTCTCCTTTTCGGACATTATTGGCCTCCTGGCCGCATATAATATATATATATCTCAGGAACGAACCCTTTGTTTTAGATCTTGGTGTCCACCCACACCCTCTGTTGAGGGAGAAACGAAGGTTGCCGCCACCTCTGTCCTCTCAGGTCTCTCTTTCTTCCTCGCCGAAATAGGACCAATCAACGAACCAATGGTTCTCAGTCTTCAGACTAAACCCCTCCCGTGTTGGGCTGGTGGGGTCGAAGGAATACGAGGTTTACTCACATATCTGTCACTCCTCAGGCAATGCGCCTTGTCTCGTCTGGGTCCAAATGATATGCCTCAAATGGGCACCACGATTTCGAATACAGCTGCCGTTTTTCGTTCTTGGGCCTCGCCTTTCCCTTTTCCTGGGGCGGAAATGAAGGTAGTCAGAGTCAACGCCGCCGTCTTAAGATCCAAGATTTAGATCTTGGAATTCAACCCTTCGTGGGGAACCAAAAAAAGAAATTATCTTTGTCCTCGTCAAACTCCAATTCTTCTGTTGGGTCTTGGAGTCTTCACCTGCTCTTCGTTGGGGCAGAGATAAAGTTGGCGGGGGTCGTACCTCTCTCCTCGAAATACAATAAACTTTTAGTTTTGGATCTTGGAGTTTGCTTCAGGGGCATTAAAGAAATTGGGATCTTTGTTGCCCATCAATTTTTAATTATTACTCAGATATGTGCATTACCTTGCCATCAGATTCATGTCAAGTTCCTTGGTCAATGGAGAGAGAGAGAGAGAGAGCGGTGCACGATGGGCAGCGTTCCCCCCCTTTGCGCTTCCTTCCTTTCATCAAGTTGAAGCTCGCCGTCCTCATTACCCACTAAATAAAAGGTATTTCCATCCCGTTGCATCACGTATTTGATATATATATATAACAATATTTTCAGGCAGATAATGTAATACAGTTTGCCAAGGGAGGATCAGGGAATGTTACAGGAGAGTGCATATTAAGGGTAGGCTTCTCTCCCTTCTCCTCACTTTCTGAAAACGGAGCTCCGAACTCCTTGGAACCCAAGTCTGGTTAGTTTCATGGAAGGAAGACCATGTAGATAACCTCATCTTGCCGGCTGAGTTCAAGAAAAATCTTATGAGCTGAGCTCGCCCATGTTCTTCCCGGATCTCAATTAGTAGTTTTCTCTCAGATTTTTCATGTTCAGTTGCCGATGAATCTGTATACATGCCACCCCACATATCCTTAATTTTTATCACTGAATTATGAGCTGAACTCGCCATTGTTCTTCTCGGATCTCAATTAATAGCTTTCTGTCAGATTTTTCCTGTTCAGTTGCAGATGAATCTGCACACATATCCTTAACTTTTATGACTAAATCTACCCAGTATTTTAATACTCGCCCCCTAGGAGGATCAATATGACTCACATCACCTACAGATGTTGGCATGTTATGGTTTTCACCTCAGTTTATTGCCCAGAACTGAAGGAGGCATGTGAGGTAACTTTAGCCGAAGGTTTTGAAAGGGTGAGGAGCAAGTGCCGGGAAACCGGCCCATAGGGGAGGGTGATGCACCTTTTCGATCTTTGGAAAATATTTCATCGCAGTGATTACAGCTTTTATCCACTTGAATTCAAGCAAAATTTCTGAGGGGCCGTCTCTAATGGTAGATTTCCTAGGACCGATATAGTGATGTTTTTTCGGAATCATCCGATGGATTTGACAAAGTATCCTTCTTCTTCATGACAACTGTCCATGGTTTGTTTGTCTCCCCACCCCACCAGGCTTTCATCCCTTCTGGGCTGAACCAACAAGAGGGGGACTAGGAGCTTATGACAATGGGGGTAAAATGGTCATTTCCGACATTAATCAATAATTAAGATACTAATCGAACAACTACCAAGGACCATTGATTCATTCGTGGGGATGTTCATCAGTCATCAGGTTTGTATGGACCAAAAACGAAAAAAACAGTTTATTTTGTCACTGATACAGAAAAAAAGAAGTCTAGAGAGCTTTATTAACACCAACACAAGCAACGTATATTAATGATGAGGAAGCAAACCTTGCCATGATCCTGGTCACAGAAGCTCCTTCACTGGGTGTTCCTTCTTGTGTGGGCGCTCGTATGTCGTGCAGGAGTCTCTTAGACAAACAAGTCAGAAAAGAGCGATCTGGCAGGTTCTTAGCCTTGATCATACTATTGCTCAGTCTGCTGCTGGTACTCAACAAATGATCATATCGGTCGTCATCCATGTAGGGAAACAAGGAATTGTTAACGTATATTTTCTATGAAATCCATATTATTGCTGGTGTCTTATCTGCAGCACCGAAGACAACAATGCAAATACTTCATGGGTCTATCATTGTCAAGGACTCGATACAAATGCTTAATGTAATGGGCCTCTTCACTAATCTGCCAGCTTTAGTAACCTCTGATCATCACGGCCATACAATTTTTATTTTTGATTATTCATTGTTTATTGTTGCCAGACAGCCGTTAGTCAGCAAAGTGCTGATTCACTTGATTATAAAACAAAAAAAAAACTGAAGATTTTCAACCTATGAAGGATTAAGCAAAATGGAGAACACAGTGGATCATGAATCAGTAAAGAATGAATCATCATGCACAGACTACGTGAAAGATTCCCCTGGTAAATCAAATGTTTGGCCACTTGAAGAGAACAAAGCATTGAAAGAGGAGCCAGATATCACCCATTCCCAAGGACTAAGGCAGCAATTTTTTTCCCTAGTTTCAAGAAAATATTAACGAGGCCTACCCACAACCATTATAAAACCTGAAAATTAAGTCTCATCCATGGGTTTCAAGGTGTCTGGTGAGTATGGGCAGGCTCAAGACGGAAGACCGAACCATGATAGCACATCAGAATAACTATCGTATCTGAACAATTTTACTGGGTTTAGGAACGGCCAATTAAATCCCAACCTTCCAATGCCAATTTTTTTGCAGGCAGTCCTTAAAGGCAGTCGACTACTCCTCATTAAGCTGTCAATTATTCAATTTTTAACTAAAAAGAAATCTCACACTACACATGATAGACTTTATTCAATCTTCAAAGAAGTCCAAGACAAAGCATACCAGTATGCAAGATTCAGTCAATTTCTATTGACTACAAATTTAATGATTTTTTTGAAAAATAAATTAGCACCAAAAAGCAATTTGAAACTTAATAACAATATCAACGAAGCAGAATAAGATCACAAAGAAGTTACCTAGGATTTTAAAACTCCCAAACGTTTTTCCATAAAACTGAATACGGATCAACCATCCAAAAAAATTTGCAGCTAATTTAATCTAAAATCACCATGTTTCGTCTTTGAACCAGGGGAAATGCCGCAGTTCCATAAATACACTGCAAGATACGAACAGTAAAAACTGGAATAGTTGTCGATACTGGAGACTAGTAGGGAAGAAAATGGTCCTAAGGTTAGAATCACCATGAAGCATTTACAGAAAAAAAAGTATTCAGTCATTGATGGGACAATTGGCATGCATTTCTTAATGTCGTATCAGAATCAGAGTATGGTCTCAAGATCCAATGGAACTCCTTCTCCATTACCATCCATAAACATACCAAATCACGAGGGGTGACAAATCCTCGATTACCAAAGATAACTGTACGAAAGAGAGAAAAATAGCCCATTTCAAAGTATACATATGATATTATGAATAAAACTTCAATAAGGTCGAAAAAGCTTCTCAACATGTTGAAATATTGTATTCCTTTAACATGCCTGGTCGTGGGCTCTTTCATCATTGACCAGGCCTGCGCCAAAACACAATCAGAGATATAATCACAAACCACAACTAACAATCCATGTCCACCCAAATCAGACGCTAAGCTATCTCCTCTATCTCCTCGCTGATTTAAGAATCACCCGCTCCCGTTGCTTCTCTCGCATCTCTCTCTTCAATCTCTCCTCTCTAAGTTCTTCGATTGTCTTCTTTCTGCCTGCCTCCTTTCCTGAATCGCCCGCTCTCCCACGATTAGGACCACGCCCATCATCCTTCTCCTGGAAAGACTCTAGCACCATCGGTCGCGAAAGATACCATGGAGCCTTCACGCCTTTTCCAGCCACGCCATATCCCATCCTGTACTTTTCGTCCTCCGGCGAAATGACGACCGGACGATCCTCCCTCTTTCGTTTCGAATCCTTCCTGGAACCCTCGTCCCTCGCAGCGTTCGCCCGCCCATCTCTCTTCTCGTCCCTGCCGTTGGAGGACGCCTCCGATCCGACAATAGACTGAAAATCCTGGAGCCCTTCGAAGAGGTTGATATGACCGGAATCCGACGCCGGGGCTGGGCGAGAGTGGGGGCCATCGCCGGTGAGGCCCCGGGCCTGGCGAAGCTGCTCGAGGCGGAACTCGGCGTCGCGGCGGCGAGAATCATCGCGCTTGATCTGCTCCTCGCGGGCCGCCTCCTCCTCGTCCTTGCGCACCTTCTCCCGGTTCTCGAAGTTGTACACGTTCCAGCGCTTCTGGGGCAGTATATTGAGCCCACCGTGCCCTCCCATCTCTGTGTGCTCCCTCCTCTTCGCCTCCGTAACCCTAGATTTCTGGCCTGGGAGAGAAAAGGAAGCTCGAAGTCCCCGGTCGCAGGACACGGGGAATATATATATAAACATATATAGTTTGGGGTAGGGTTTTTCCAGAAATCCCCAAAAGGTTGTGTATATTGCGAAGACACTGGTATTGGATTAATTATATATAAGCCCCTCCCTAAGAAACTATTGCAGAAGTACTCTCTCTCGGAAAGCCCCAAAACATAACGCAGACTTGGAGGACAGTAATATAATCGTATATAAGCCTCTCTCCCTATTAATCTATTGGGGAAACACTCTCTCTCTATCTGCTTGAGCTTTTCTCTAGAAAACCCAAAACATTATGTATATTTGAAAACACATAATTATAAACGAACCCCTCTCTAAGAAAAAAAATCGACAAGCGGACATACCATCTCCTAGCTTGGGCTTTTTCTCTCGCAAACCCTAAACCAGCACGTATACTTGGAAGACACACATCTGTCTAATCATATGCAAACCTCCCCAAATAAGCTATTCCAGAATCTCTCTCTCTCTCTCTCTCTCTCTCTCCGATGTAGAAGGCAGAGGGACCAACGTGTGTTCAAATGGCCAAATGGGCTAAAAGGTTAACAGTGCCCAGTGCACAGCTCACCAGTTCCTTTGAGTCTGAAAGCCATCATATTTGGGCCGTTGACTCTCATGAAGAGGACTTCAAGGGAAGAAATACTAATCATAATAGATAATTTGTCAGGGGAAGAGAATCATCAAGGAAAGCAAACCCAATACCCTGAATCCACAAAAGATAATTAGAGAACACGTCATGGAAAGTAAACCCATGGCTCTAAATAAGCTGCAAATAATAAGTCCATTCGTTGACCCTGATTGAGTTCAAGACAGCCTAAATGCCCTCGTGGGTTGCATAAATGGAAAGGCAAATTGTAGACAAACCGAATGAACAAGCTCTAAACTCAGGGTGAGTGAGTGGGTCATACACTTCGCCATTGAATCAGGAAGCTGAGGTTGATCATGAATAGATGAAGGCGAAACATGGTAGAAACCCATATAACACATCAGATTTGATCCATATGTGTATCATAATTGTTGGCTATGTCAGTCCATCATGGCTGACCCATTCGGGAGACATGCCAGAGAAGCTCTCTCGTCTCAACTATTGGGGAGATGTGAGAGAGAGCTACCGTTTGACTCACTCATGAGGCGTGCGAGGAGTAAGGAGGGCGGTGACGTAGTAGTCATGTCAACCCTTATGAACCATTCCGGGGGTTGTGTAGAGAGAGAGAGAGAGAGAATGGTTGTAGCCGTCACATCCAAGATGTGTGGGCATAACTGCACATGAATCGAGTTGCTTCTTTTTAGGGAGTGGTTATCTTTTCTTATTTTCTATAAATAGGACATATATTTTCTTTTTTTTAGAACAACATACAACTATTTTCTCTTTTGAATTTATTTTTTCTCTCCATCAACTCTATTTCTCTTCTTGGCATCTTCTCTCTCTTCTATTATAAGTAAAATCTTTATAAAAGGAGAGAAGAGTTCATTATTAACTCTTAAGTGTGTGAGTCATCTCGACGACATTAAGACATGGATTATAGGTACTTGATGGAAGTCTTGTTCTCATTAAGATTCTTGATAGCTTGGTGATTTTTCTTCTATTTATTTTCATTGATATCTAAAAATTGAGTTTTCGTTGTTATTGTGATCATGTGCTTACATATTTTTCTCCTACAAGTGATATCAAAATATTAGTTTGATTAGTTTTAGATTTATTATGACTTTCAAGGTGCATACTAACATTGAGAAGTTGGATAATTTTTTTAACTTTAATATTTAGAAGCATTGTGTGTATGATGTGTTATTTCAGACTTGCTTGTATAAGACTTTGGATGGTCCAAAGTTAAATAAGATCAGTGCTGATGATTGAAAGATAATAAAAAATAAAGTTGGAGATTTTGTTCGTACATGTCTATTTGATTAGATTCTTTAGTAAGTCATGGATGAATATAATCCAAAAGAACTCTAGAAGAAGTTGGAGAAATAATGAGCCTAAAGTCGATGATGAGTAAATTAATATTAAAGAGAAAACTATTTGGGTTACACATGTCAAATGGAAATAATTTAACATCACATATTTATTATTTTAATCAATTATTGAATGACTTGCTTCATATGGAATTAGATTTTTCTAATGAGAACAAAGTTATTATTCTGTTTGTTTCTCTCCTTGATTAATATGATTATATTGTTACGACCTTATTGCATAATAATACAACACTTATTTTTGAAGATGTTATTAATTCATTGATGGAATATTATCATCGAAAGAAAGATGTTAGTGAGGCTCAAGTGTCAATTCAAGTATTATCATTGAAAGATTTATATATAAATGGTAAAAGAGAATGTGAAAGATAAAAGGAGAAATGATCTTCAGAAGACAAGAAGAGTCAATTCAAGTCACAAATAAATTAATTGAAAAACTAAACTTGTCACAAGTGTCATAAGAAGGAACACTTATGAAGAAATTGTCTGAAGAATTGGAATGATAAGACAACAGAAATTAAATTTAGTTCGGCTAATGTTGCAAAAGTTAAGGACAAAGAACATGGTGAAGTCTATTTTGAACTTATTGTAACTGAAGAGTTGTCGAACACATGAATTCTTGATACTAGTTGTTCATATCATATATGTCCTAATGTTGACTAGTTTGACTCATACAAGAGTACAACGAGAGTTGTTTCTATGAGAAACAAAATGGCTTGTGATGTTGTGGACATTGATTCGGTGAAGGTTCAGATGTTTGACGGAGTGATTCAAGAGTTTGGAAATATTTGTCATGTTCTAATATAACACAAAAATCTGATTTCGTTTTAAGTATTGAAAGCGGATGGATATTACTTCAAATGAGAGAATGGGATCCTCAAGATTATAAAGGGATCGCTTGTCGTGATAAAATGAAGATGTCAATGAGTGAATATTTATAAACTTGAGAGGAGTATTGTTGTAGGTGAAGCTTGTGTTGCAACACTGAATGATTTCATGATTGATGACACACTTTTATGGCACTTGCGATTAGGTCATATAAGTGAAATATGTATATAAAAGCTACATGCACGAGGATTGCTATTTGGTGTGAAAACTTACAAATTAAATTTTTACAAGTACTGTCTTATGAGAAAATAGTGCAAAGTGACATTCAAGGCAACGAAGTATGTACTGGATTATGTTCATTTAGATGTGTGTAATCTGGTTGATGTGATATCGATAGGTGGTGCTTGATATTTTCTGACCTTTGTTGATAATTTTTCTAAGAAAGTTTGAGTATTCTTCTGAAAACACAAGTCTAAAATATTTACAAAGTTTAAGACTTAGTATACGAAGGTGGAGAATTAGACGGGGAGGAAGATTAAAGTTCTGCAGATTAACAATGATATATAATTTAAGAATTCTAAATTTGATGAGTTTTTGTGAACATGATATTCAACGTCATTATACAATGAAGAAGACTTCGTAACAGAATGGTGTTGTTGAGTGGATGAGCTGCACAAATTATTGATAGAGCACGATGTTTACAGCTGAATGTCGACTTGTCTAAAAAAAATGGGCGAAAGTTGTGAATATAGCAACTTATTTGATGAATAGATCACTAAATTTTGCTCTTGATGGAAAGGTTATTGAAGAGGTATGGATTGAAAATTCTATTGACTATTCAAATTTACATATATTTAGATGTCCATGATATGTTTTTATACCTATTGATGAGAAATCGAAGTTGAATTCAAAGTTGAAGAAATGTATATTCTTGGGCTATAACACTGACGTGAAAGGATATTGACTTTGGGATTCAAAGGCGAAGAAAATTATTTTTAGTAGGGATGTGATTTTCAATAAAGATTACATATTGAAGTCTTTTTTTATAGAGCAAAAGGTTTAGGAATCAAATGATACTCGAGTTGTAGACAGAACAAGACTGAAGGTGGAGATTGTGTAAAATCTTTCTACTTTTGTTATGAATGAAAATCGAGTTGTAGAATCATCAGATGTTCTTGATTATATTTCTACTAGATGAAGTAGACATAAAGTAAAGCCTCCTACTTATCTCGATGATTACGTTGTATTTACATATAAATTTTTCAAAAGATGACAAGCCCATAACTTTTTAGGAGGCAATTAGTTGTCATGAAAAAGAGAAGTGGATGCATGTAATGTGTGAAGAGTGAGCATCCTTAGACAAGAACCATACTAGGGAATTGGTGAATTTTTTTACATGAAAGTGAGTTATTAAGTACAAATGGGTGTACAAGAAAAAGTCATCGATGATTGATGGTGATCAGTCTCAATACAAGGCAAGGTTTATTACAAAAGGCTTTACACAAAAGTAAGGGATTGATTATACAAAGATCTTTTCACCTGTTGTGAAGCACACGTCTATTCGTTTAGTGTTAGTTATTGTCGCATATAGAAATATAGAGCTTGAGCAATTGGACGTGAAGATGACATTCCTTCATAGAGATTTGGAGGAGACTATTTACAGACATCACTTAAAAGGTTTTATTGTGCAGGGGTCAAGGCAATGATATAAGAAGTTTGACTTTTATGTGTTGAAGATTGACTATACGAGGTGTGATTTTGACTATTGTGTTTATATGAGAGCTTGTGATGATGATTTTCTAATTATTTTGATGCTCTATGTTGATGATATATTTATTGTTTCAAAGAATTCACATGAGATTACTAGATTGAATGTATTATTAGGAAAGAAATTTGACATAAAGAATCTTAGTGTGGCAAAAAAAAATCTTGGTATGAAGATCCATAGAGACCGAGAGTTAGGTTAGCTATAGTTGACTTAGAAGAGTTATCTTTTTAAGGTGTTAGATTTGTATAGTATGAGTAATGCTAAAGTAGTGAGCACTCTTCTAGTTAGTCATTTCAGATTATCTATTACTCAGTGTACAATATATAAGGAAAATATTACTAAAATTAAACAAAATTCTTATGTTAGTGTTGTTGGTTCTCTCATGTATGCTATGATCTATACTATATCAGATATTGTTCATGCAATTAGGCTTGTAAGTAGGATTATGAGCAATCTAAGAAAGAAGCATTAGAGTGTAGTAAGTGGATTCTTCGATATCTAAAAGGTTATTTAGATTTCAGAATCCATTTTGATTAGCAAAATTATCTTTCTATTGTTGACTTTGTTGATGCAGATTTTGTCGGGAATTTAAATCATCAAAAATCTACGACAAGATGTGTTTTTATTATGTCTAGTGGACTTGTTAGTTGAAAGTCTATACTTCAAACTATTGTTGTATTATCTACAATTAAGGCATAGTACATGATAGTTATTGAAGCGACAAAAGAAGCCTTATGGTTGAAAGGATTATTAAATGAACTTGAGATTGGACAAAGTGAAGTAACTCTATATTATGACAGTCAAAGTACTATTTGTTTAACAAAAAATCAGGTTTATCATACACAATCAAAGTATACTGATGTGTGTATCACAAGATCTATGAGTTGAGGAATTATGGAGATATCTCTTTCAAAAAAGTTCACACAAAAGAAAATGCTATTGATATATTGACGAAAGTTGTCACATTGGAGAAGTTCAAATATTGTTTAAATTTGATTCATATTGTAGGTACCTTATAGAAGGTGGAGAACTTGCAATATAGATGGACGTCGACTTTAGGTGTAATGATGGCTGTCAAAGTAGAGTTTGTTGACAATGTCAGTCCATCATGACTAACATGTTCAAGAGACATGCTAAAGGAGCTTTCTCATCTCAACCGTTCGAGAGACGTGAGAGAGAACTCTTATGTCTGACTCACTCGAGAGACGTGCAAGGAGTAAGGGGGGCGGTGACATAGTAGTCAAGTTGACCTTTATGACCTATTCTGAGGGTCGTGTAAAGAGAGAGAGAGGGTGATTGCAACTGTCACATCTTAGATGTGTGGACACTACTACACGTGGATCGAGATGTCTTCATTTAGAAAATGGTTATCTTTTCCTATTTTCTATAAATATGACATGTATTTCCTCTTTTTTGAGAATGATAGACGACTATTTTCTCTCTTAAATTTATTCTCTCTCTCCATCAACTCTATTCCTCTTTTTGACATCTTCTCTCTCTTCTATTACAGATGAAGTCCTTATAGAAGGAGAGAAGAGTCCATTGTTGACTCTTGAATGTGAGTCATCTCAAGGGCATTAAAACTTAGATTAAAAGTACTTGGTGGAAGTCTTGTTCTCATCATGATTCTTAATAACTTAGTGATTTCTCTTTTATTTGTCCTCATAGATATTTAGAAATTGAATTTTCACTGTTATTGTGATCATGTGCTTATATATTTTTCTCTTACAATAACCTATCATAATAGTTTTTCTTTGGGGGGGAGGGATTTTACATTTCTTCCCTAAATAAGAAGAAAAAGAGTCATTTCCATCAAACACTCTATTACCCTAGGATATGCCAAGACAATTCAGCCATTATATCTAGATTCATCTCCCTCTTTTGCTTCATCATCATCATCATCAGGTTTCTTTTGTTCTAATACATATTTGATCCATATGTATGAGAACTCTGAAGTTTTTCTCTGAATATTGGCATCAATATGATTGTACACTAGATTAAGGCCGGACAGTCCCAAACTATGGGGGAAGCTCATGAACCTATGGATGAAAGCTTAAAGGAGAACTCTGAACATATGTACTGCATCAAATCTGCTGCAATGGTCAATGACAAACTTGCTCAATTTCTCAAAGCTGCATGTAAGGTTTGTGCCATCACACTCTGACCAAGGTGAAAGAATGGTCACCGGAAGGTGAGCAGGTTGTGCTCACCTGAAAATTTTCAGAAGCAGAAGGGAGAAAACAGAAGATCGGGAATGAGAGAAGTGATATGAGAAAACTGACCATTTCTGAACAAAGTAATCGTTCGTGAATCTAATAGAGTTATGGCATGCAAAACCGGAAATGAGAGACGGTGAATGGATTTCTATTCCATCTATGGCTAATGTTAGATATCTCTTCCCCTTTTCCACCAAGCCTGCAATTCAGAATACAGTACAGAAGGGTGCGAAACGATGCCACTGTTCCCAGTGGAAAGCAGGGTCGGTGCCATCAAAACTGAGACTCGAAGCCTACATTAGGGCTCAGAGATTAGAATGGGAAGGAAGAATCCGAATCAGAGAAACGCCTCCCCTAATTGTCGTCGTCGCCCCTCTTGCCCTTGCGGTAAGACTCCTCGTAGTGCTTGGCCACGGCGACGCCGAAATCCACGAGCTTCTTGATGTTGGGGACGTCGTAATTCTGAGACACGTAGATGCCGAAGGTGGTGCCGACCAGGAACGAAAAACAGCTCCTGATCAATCCCATCGGCAATCCCTACTCCCCTCGCCTCCCTCACTCCGATCCTCCCCCGATCTGTTCACCGCAAGCTCGGGTCAGCTAGGGTTCTGCCGATCATGGAAGAAGGTACGCTCCCATGTCCAAAAGGGACATAGGAAGGGGAATCGACGACGAATCTAGAATGAACCACCGCGGATTTACCATCGCCGCTGCAATCGCCGCGGCATATCGCTCACCTTCAAAGCCGATCTTCCCGTGTCTCCGCCGCTTCCACTGAAACCCTCCGCGCCGACGGCAGACGCCGTCGCAGAACTTCCCCTTGCTCGCTTTTTCCGCACCAGATGGAGAGCTTCAAGAGAAGGCGCCAAGTGCATCTAGAAGAATCTCCACATCTAATACGATCATCTGAAACCTGTTTAGACTCTGGACACATCCACAATATCTGACGATTTACGGCCGTTATATGAGGTTAATAACTTTCACGATGACTTATTATAATTTTTAAAATCCTAATTTAAGTAATTATTTATCATATTACATTTTTTTCTTTGTAGGCTTTCAAATTTGGGTGTACACGCATTAAATGTAGGGTTTTTATCAAATAATCACCATAATATAATATTCCATCTAATTAAATTTATTATTTCATTTTTTAAAAATTCAAGTTATATCGCATAATATTTACAATACAACAGTGATAATTTAAAGTTGTAGATTTTTATTATGATTAATCAAATTAACTGGCGTATACTAGTAATAATCATACTCCATTTTTTTTCTATATGCGTTTTTAATAATCATGTGCCATATTTTTTTATCATCTGCTTGAATTTTATTTTTAGAAATATTCAAGTTTTATTGAATAATATTTTCAAATATTTGTTCTTATTTTTCAGGGCCGGTTATTCTTATTAATTTGATTTACACCAGGTTTTATTGGTCATATAACTAATTAGTCGAGAGGGGACGAGGGGCGGGGGCGGGGGCGGGGGCGTGAAGGGAAGAAGTGGTAGCCGGTGACAGGCCATTACCAGATACCTGGAAGGAACAGAGAAGGGAGGAGATATGGCGGCGAGGTTGACTCGGATCATGGGAGGGAGCGGGCTAGTCGGCCGATCTGCCGCTATCCGCTCGCGCGCAGGCATGGGGCTCCCCGTCGGCAGGCACATCGTGCCGGACAGAGCGGTAAACGCCTACTTCGATGCCCTAATCTTCTCTTCCAATTTGATTGTCTTTGCTAGCCGAAAATTCTTACGGTTCTTTGATTTGCAAGTATCCGCTCTGGAAGGAGAGATTAATCGGTATTTTTTCCCCAGCTTCCCGAGAACGACGAGCTAGTTTGGGACAACGGCACACCTTTCCCGGAGCCGTGCATCGATCGACTGGCCCCGAACATTGGCAAGGTGGCATCCGCGTCCCGTCCACACTCCAGATGCTCTCTGCTGTGCTAGGGCTTCGGTTATGCGCTATTTATGTCTATTGATGTCGTTTTGTGATGTAACAGAACGAGGCATTAGCTTGGCTCTGTGGAGGTTTGAGTTTCTTTGCATCGCTCGGGCTCCTGGCAGCTTGGAACGATAAGGCTTCCAAGATACCTTTCGTAAGTTTCCTCCCTTTCTCTCACATGTCTTCCATGTTTCTTAAGCCTCTACCCATTCATCGCCGGATTGTGTCGATGCAAATGCGTATTCGTATCAATCAACTGGATTTTTTTCTGGGAATGTCCGCGTCCCTTCCTCGATGACATGCTACATCTTTTTTCTTGCTGTCGTGTTCCTTTGTGTACAAAATCAGTGAAACTAAAAGAGTGTCCATTAGGAATTAAATGCTACATTAAAACGCCTTACTTGTAAGGGAGGCTTCCTATGATGTGCTGCCTATCGTTATCTGCGAACGGCATGACACAGGATATACGAACAGAGGCACAATTGATGTATCAGTATAATGTAGGTTACCTGTATTGAATTGCATGAATGTAGGTTGCCTCACATAATTTCATTTAGAATGTCGAACAGATCTATAGGTCCTTTGAAACCTTGATAGGATGTGGAAATGATGGTTGTTTGAGGGCTTCATGACCACACCGTTAACAACCTTGTCAGTGGAAACATTTTGTATGGTGGCTGATTGAGAGTTCGATGTCCATACAACTCTGTAGATTTAAGTGCATAGAGTTTCATTCTTCGGTCCTATGGCTTCTCTACATATCGCATGCCTCTGCGACCAGATTATGTTATTCTGATTCTGTGATATTGGTATGCTATTCTTTTTCTGTATCTGCTGGTGAAGAACTATGCATTTAATTCGTCAAAATTAGTGCTTCAGAAAGTAAAAATAGCCGTTTCAATTGTGTAGAGGTTTGGTGAATTTTACTGGAATTGAAAGGTTTAAGGAGAGATGTCATTGCTCCCTGCCCAAGTTGGATAAACAAGAGAGAGACATAGTTGCTGAATGTAGTCGTTTAGTTAATTGGGATATTCTTAACAGGATTTCTCATTGATATTTGGGTTTTATCCACCGGCATCGGCTTCAAATATATCTAATCAGTGGTTTTTTGTGTCGGGCATTCATATATTTTTCCTATCCAATCTCCAACATTTCTTGCACAGCATCATAAGAAAATAGGTAAAGTCTATCGCAACAATGTGCTCTGGGTCACAGCCCAATGGTCACTTGATCTGAACAAGTTTTTGGTGGTTTTCATGTTTCTTCTTTTAAAACTCTCTACATCATGTTATTCTCCTTTCTTGTGATCCAGAATACCGCATCTCCCACACTGAAGGAAGCCCATTGCTTCAAGCTATGTGAACCTTAGTTGCGCTATTTGACAATATCTTCCCATATTTTGTGATGACCTCACAATTCCACCATTCTGAAATATGCTCTATACAATCCTTTACTAGAATCCCTAATGAATAGCTTTTTCTGATCGACGTGGTGCTACATTCTGGCATCCAAGTTTGGCAATCCATATGGGACCTACATTTCGGGGAGGGAAAATATCCACAATCTATGTGGGTCTTTTTCTGAAAGCTTGACAATCCAGTCAATGGACCCCCTCCATCCTACAGAGCGCTGCCGCATGTTTCCATTTCCGAACAGAAGCTTTACCCCATGTTCCCCTCTTCAGTTGAACATTGCATCCTCTTTTCTTCCGACTTTCTATGATGGGAAGTGTTAGGTGTGGAAACTTCTATCCTTGTATTAGCAAGTATCGATTGTCCAATCTCAGGCAAGTATTTAGTCTCATAGGCATCGATACTTTGAGTGAGTAAGCGTTAGAAAATCAAAGTCAAAACTACCCATTCTCTCTCTATCGCCCCTGGGCCTGCTCTTGATGCCTCCTCCTTGTTGCTCCCTGCTTTGTAACTCTCACCTCGATGCCATCGACCGTCAAGCAGAAGTTGTCGTCACTGTGGTTTGGGATGTGCTTTTGGATCTCTAGTCTCGTACCAATGGCTTGCAGAGGCAACACTTGGAAGATGATGTCCATGTCCTGGTTTCTATTCATTCTCCTTACTCTTCTCAGTCTCATTTCTGTACCTTTTCTTTCACTTATTTCCCTTCCCTCCATATGCCAATCATGATTATATATATAACCCAGGCATCTTTCCAACACATGCATATATATATATATATATATATATATAGGAGAAGAAGAGGAACATTTTTCTTCTTATGATGGAAAATATCACCGTTACATCGCCTGGTGATTAGTCTTGTGTATAATGTGGTTAGGTTCAGCTGGCTTTGCTGCTAAGATATTCGGCCCGTTAGAATGGTTTCCTTGAAAATTGTAGGCTCTTAGGATTGATCTTGTTTATCCTGCGTGTCCCTAGATCGGTGATCCTTTGGATACCATTTCCCTAATACTGGATTGTATGAGTCCTGGGTTGACTCTCTCTCTCTCTCTCTCTCTCTATCTATCTTGTTCTCATGAGCACACAAATTCTTCCTTCTGTCAGGCCCCGAAGGTCTACCCATACGACAACCTCCGCGTGGAGCTCGGCGGCGAACCTTAGAAATCTCTCCTCTAGACCATCAAACCCGGACTTCCTCTGGACTTTATGTGAGTTGCGCCTCTCTCTCTCTCTCTCTCTCATCGTGAACGGAAATAAATTGTGTATCAGCATTGGCCGACGCTCTAGGCTAAATTGGAATTCAGAAGACAAATCTCTCCCCCAATGAGTTTGTTATGTGCTCTCTGCTTGCTTCCAAGATTGGCGATGGATTTTTTCCTTCTAAACCATGCCTCGTGATCTCTCTCTCTCTCTCTCTCTCTCTCTCTCTCTCTCTCTCTCTCTCTCTCTCTCTCTCTCTCTCTCTCTCGCTATATATATATATATATATATATATAACTGGACAGAGAGAAGACCACTTGGGGACAGAAAGTGGTCCAGACAGGATCGTTATTCTATGTCATTCTGTAGGTCTTGGAGCAGAACTTGAAGCTCTTCTTCTCCATGGCTGGCCCTACGTCTACTGTTTAAGGGAGAAGATGAGATTTTTAACTCAGAAGGAAGAACCACTGAAAACGTACTTTTATGGGTAAATAAATAAAACAGACAATAAGCAGAAAACGTCACCTTCTAACGAAATAAGACAACAATGCGTTGTTTCCTCCTCCATCAACCGATTGAAAAACAGCAGAAGAACAAGTTCAATCAATTCCAAGGCATTATTTTTAAGCAGATTTCGATCCCCATTTGTTCTCAAAATAATAAAACAGAAGGCGATTTCATGAGGGAGGGAGCAATTACATCCATTCCTCGATGCCATGGCTTTCATCGGCTGATCTGATACTCATCTTTATGAAAACCTCTGATGTTGCCAATACACAGAAGTTCTATAGTTTTCCATCAGTGCCCGGTAAACATTACCAGCAATCCAGGGATTCGTTTCTCCAGACTCCATAGATTGGCATCTGATTGATGCACCGAGAATCAGAACAGTTCGATTTCATCCCAAGATCAAGAAATCTCCTGCTGTTCGAATTCCGTGGAACGTACATTTGATGAAAATTCTGTCGAGGGTTGCAGAGATCATGGTAGGTGTTCGATAACGGACGAAGGAAAGACGAATTCGGTGAACCAATCTTCGAGGTAGAGATAAAACCTCATCGATCCAGCAAGAACTTGGTGAAAAATGTCGGATGCAGCAAGAAGAGGAACACGACCGCCGCTTCGAGTAGACCTAGACATCCCCCGGCGATCACGTCGACGACGAAGTGTCTACCGAGCAGGATCCTAGAGGCCGACGTCGCAACCGACCAAAGGAAGACCGACGGCAGAAAGAGATGACCTAGCTCGAGACCACGATCCTCGAGGACAGTCCGCCACCGCGGCCATGGAGAAGGTCCCACTACACCGGCGGCGGCTTCCCGGAGAGAGCCGCGGACTAGGTACAGGAAGGTGGAGATGAAGAATACCCGGGAGGAGTGGCCGCTGGGGAAAGACCAGTGATCGACGGCGAATGTAAGGTACATCCCCTTGTTGTACAGGGGTCGGGATCGGCGGACGAGGTGCTTGAGAAGGCCGACGAAGAGGAGATCGAGCAAGAAACCTGCGAGGAGGCCCATGGCGACGCAGTAGAGCTCCGGGGACGGGGAAGCGAGGAGGAGGGCGATGGGGATGGGGATCCAGATCCGGCCATCTCCAGATATCTCCAGCGCCTTGAGGAGTCGCCGGGGGACTACCTGGCAGGCCTCGTGTATCCGCAGAGACCAGGCCTCGTCGAGCTCCACCACCCGCCGGAGAGGCGAAGTCGCCGCGGCCGCGGCCGCTGCCATTTGGGCGGCGTGGTTTGGACGACGGCGGGTCTTCCCGTTCCACACATCGCCATCTGCTATCCGGGCTGATCAGGTCAAAAAGATAGCAAAAGGACATATACACGTCATGTAAAGTTCTTAGCTTGTTATTTAAGTTTTTAGGGTTTAAAAGTAATTATAAAAAATTATGGAGGAGATATCTAGCATATTGCTGAAAATTCGTACGTCCCTCGGCTGATCCCACCCGTTTCGTCTAACCTGAGCTGGTCCGGCGCTGGGGCCTCGGTGGTGGGGAGGCGGCGGCTTCCTCCCGCGTCGTTTCCCCTGCTCCTTCTCCCCCTTCCCCTTCGTGGGATTCCCTCCGGTGGTCCTCCCCAGAGACACGCGGCAGCAGAGAAACTCATAGGCCCGACGAGCTCGCCCCCGCAGAAAACCATGGGGAGCCGCTCATCCCCTCCTGCGTCGTCGTCGTCTATGGCGATCAGCTGGGTCAGGTTCCTGAGTTGCGCGTCTTCTTCCTCCGTCGACGACGCCTTCTGCCGGAGAGTGACGCCCATCTCCCCATTGCTGCCGCCCTGCCGCCCGCGGATCGAGAAGAGAGGTAGGGGCAGCGCCGCCGTCACGGTTTGCGACCCTGACGGAGGTCCCGGAAGGGCACTCGTCCTGGGGGGTGGTGGAGATTATATTCGCCTCCACCTGGTCGCAGACGGGGGCGACCGCCCCCCGGGAGATCGAGAGGCTCTTCAAGGTCCGCCACCCGCCGCGCGCCGTCGCCGGCTTCGAGGAGTACCTGGAGGCCGTGCGCTCCCGGGCCGGCAAACAGGACCCGCGCTGCGCCGCTGACGGCAACGAGATGATGCGCTTCCATTATTGCCCCGCCGGCGGAGTCAACGAGACCATGCGCTTCCACTGCTGCTCCCCCGCCGGCGGAGCCAACGACGAGACGATGTGCTTCCGCTGCTGGTGCCCCACCGGCGGAGGCAACGACGAGATGGTGCACTCCCACTGCGACTGTCCCAGCGGCGGAGGCATGCCGACGTTGGCGGGGACCGGCATGGCCCACGAGAGCGGCGGTGGGTGGGGACAGAGGAGGGCGATGGCGGTGTGCCGGGTGATCGCCGGCCGCGTGGGGAGCAGCGAGCGGGAGCCCGGGGAGTTCGACTCCTCTCCCGGGATGGGGAGCTGCGGGTCTTCGACCCGAGGGCCGTCCTGCCCTGCTTCCTGATCATCTACCGAGTGTAATCTTCCTCTGAAATTACCGCGTCATCTGAACTCATGGATTCCACCCCACACACATGATTGGTTCCTGTCCTGTTCTGTTCTGTGCTCCGGAATCGTTCTCTGCTGGATCTCCAATAGTCCGGGAGGGAATGGCGCCTCTCGCCCGAGCGCCGGAACCGCCGTGGCCGACGAGAGAGCGGCGGCGGCAATTCTAGTCAGTCCCCGCCACGTAAGCCCTCAATCGAGCTAGTACCACTGTTTTCTCTGCCGCTGTCTTCGATCGGCTTCCTGTTCGGATAGCTTTTCTTAATCCGGGAAAGGAGAGAGAGAGAGAGGTTGACGGGGCTACCAGAAACACCCTCGCGGCAGTAGCGACATCCGGGCGACTGCCGGAGGTTGAAGACGTCATTTCCTGATCTGCTACGCGGCGACGCATAGGCGGGCGGCCCCTCCGACGGCGAGTCCGCCTTTCTCCTCCCGCTTTTGCCCCCCTTTTTCTGCGGCGCCCGCAGGCTTTTACCTGCATCGCACTCTCCTCACACGTCTTCTTTCATCTGCCCTCCCCCTCCCCGCTCCTTGTTCTTCTTCTCCGGCAGGACCTTCAACCTTCTGGGAAGTCCGATCTCGCTGATCAAGAGCTAGGAAAGATGAGCTTCTACAGGCGACTGGAGTTTCTTGAGTCTCCCTACTCCGTCTTGTACGGGGAGGCGTCCATCCGCAGGCCGGCGTTGCTCCCATTCTTCTCCTCCTTTCTCTGCGAGCAGGAAGAACTGCTGGATCTCGCCATCGCCGCTCCGCTCGATCTCCCCCGCCGGTGTCTCCCCCCCTACGCGCCGCCGCCGCTGGCGCCGCCACTGTCGCCGCTTGATCTCTTCGAGAGCGCGGCGGATCTGATCCAGATCGGGCGCCTGCAGGAGCGAGCGGAGGCTGAGCTCTACCTCCGGAGTCTCTCCGACCGTGTCGCCGCCCTCGAGCTAGGGTTCCACAGGGCTCCGCCGAGCTCCTCCGCCGCCGCCGGTGACCGGAAGTACACATGGACGACGGAGATCAAGGCCCCCCGCGGCGACGGAGGCGTCGACCGGAAGTACAAGCTGGTGGCAGAGGCGGCGGCCGGCGGCGAGAGGAAGGTCAAGTGGACGGCGGAGCTCCAGGGCAAGGACAAGGCCTCGCGCACCTACAGCTTCCAGGCCTCGTCGGCGCCGGCGGCCGGCGAAGCGGAGAAGAAGAAGAAGACGAAGAACAAGAAGATCGCCAAGGAAAAGGATGGCAATGAAGGGAGGACGCGCCTGGTGGAGATCAGCGACGGGATAGATCACGGCGCCGCCGTCCTCCGGCAGGTTCGTTGCTCGCCCTCGTCCTTCTCTTCCTTCCCGACGGACGATCGCGATTGCCCTTTCCCTCGCATCCGACGGTCCAGATTTCCCAGCAATAAACAATTTTAACCCCCATTATCCGCCGCTTTTGCTCGCCTCTTGAAATGCTGATAAAATTGCCCCCCGGTATTTCCGAATTTTTAAATCTGGAAAAAAAATCGTCAAAATCCTGGAACAGTTCCCTTAGTCAACGCTCGTTGGCTCGACGTTGACTTCGGAGGAACGCCTATGAAGTCATCGGCGTTGACTCCGGAGGGAGATGATCGCAGGAGCTGAACTGGATGAGATTTTCCCAGTATCGGAGAAAAAAAGGTTTGAATAAATGATTGATGATTTGGCTCTGAAGGTTTCTACTGGTTTTTGTCCTCGGTGAAGGCCTTTGCGAGGAGAGCGTGGGGGGAGGGGAAGAAGAAGGAGCTGTCTCCCAGAGATGCGGCGGTGCTTATCCAGATGAGCTTCAGAGATTACCTGATCCGCCGCTCCCAGGTGCTGCGCGGGCTGCGGGATCTGGCCGTGGCCAAGGCCAAGCTGAGAGAGATCAGAGCCCTCTTCTCCAACTTCTCCTACCGCCAGCGGATCGCCAAGGACGCGGAAGAGCGCCAGAGGTTCTCCGAGAGGATCATCGTCCTCCTGCTCACTATCGAGGCGATCGAGGTGAGTCTTCTCTGTCCGCATCGTCGCATTCCCGTTTGAATGGATGGATCTGGGATTGAGCGGGGGAGAAATCGAATAAATCCCCTGTTTGTGGACAGGGAGCCGACTACATGGTGCGAGCGGCCAGGAGGTCGATGGTGGACGAGCTGGAGGCGATTCTGGAGATTGTGGATCCTCAGCCACCGGGGACGTTGGGGTTCCTGAGGAGGCGGAAGTTCGACCTGCCTGGCGGCGTCGCCAGCCGGGAGATCGCGTTGGGGGTGGCGGAGGTCGTCCAGATGCTCAACGACGGGGAAGCCGCTGCCTGAGGGCCCCTCTCCCCCGGCGATCTCCATCTCTGAGCAGAGGAAACTGGAGCGGATCAGGAACCCTAGGTCCTGTACGCAGTAGGAATCTTTGTTCGTGGAAGGATTTCTTGGCTCAATGTTTTCTAGTTATGGTTGGTGTGTTTTGAGTTAAGCCCCCCCCTTTCTCTCCCTCTCCCTCCCTCTCGGACTCGGAGTTAATAATGACAAAACGGCTGTTAGCTGACTGGCCCATTTCTTATCTGAGCTGGGGCCTTAGACTCTCTCTCTCTCTCTCTCTCTCTCTCTTTCTCTCTCTCTCTATCTCTCGCTATTGGACTTCCCAAAAATTGGAAGATAAGACCAATGAAATAGTCAACCTGGCATGGGCTATTTCTTATCTGGGTCGAGTCTGGCTTCGTTGGGTCATGTTGAGTAGATGCATCCTCTCTCTCTCTCTCTCTCTCTCTCTCTCTCTCTCTCTCGCTCTCTCTCTACTTTTTAGTGATTGGATTCAATCTAGATAGACAACATTTGTTATCAGCCCTTTGGTTTTTATTTGTAATAACATTTGGTACCAAAGTCTAAATTAGTGTTACTTTATTTAAAGATATTGTGAAGATGTCAATGGCAAAATTTGAGTTTGTTAAATTTGATGGGAAAGATTGGTTTCAATCAGAGTAGATCATTTGCAACAAAGACTTTGGAATGCTATTTTTGAGAAAGAAAAAGCAAAGAAGTTTAATGTGTAAAATTGAAATGAATAAATATCTAATGGTGATATATTAGTTATATCCTATTTTAAAGATGATGATGCTATCATACTCTTGACAAACTATTCTTGATCGTATGAACAAAAAAAATGTTATAATTACACAATAAGAAATTATAAAATCATGTTATTATGATAACTATTTCATTTATGTGAATCTTGTGTTATTGACAAAAGGTCCAAGATTAAATTTGTTACTTCTACAAAAATAAAAGGAATAATATTCTTGAATATGTGACATCATAATTTAGAGTGTGTCACCAAATATTTTGTATTAAATATTTTTTTAATTTTTTTTTGGCTTTTGCAATAAAGAATAAGTATACCTTTTCAAACACAAGTCCTAAATGTTTGACACATTTCAGCATTGAAAAGGCAAAGTTAAAAAGAAGACAAGAAAATAGATCAATTTTTTATTTAATGACAATGATAATGAGTTTATCTTAAAAAGGTTTAAGGATTTGTTTGAAAGAATGTATTCTGCATCACTTAATTATTTCACAAATGCTACAACATAATAAATTGAAAAGACGACAAGAACATTGTTTGAAAAACCACATTCTGTGAAGCTTTTTGCAGCACTTTAGAAGTAATTTTGAGCTGAGGTATTTAATGCAATGTGCTATTTGGTGAATCACTTACTTTCTACATTATTGACAGTCAATATATTAGAGAAAACTAAGTCTAGTGAACCAGTAAAGTAATATAATCTACATATCTTTGACTATCCTATATTATCTTAATGTAAGAGGATTAACAAATAAAGTTTGATGCTAAATTAAAATAATATATAATTTTTGTATATAGAGAGAGTGTTACAATTTATAATTCATGGAATCTTATTATATTGAAGACATAGTTCCATGAATGTATGATTTTTGATAAAATTTTAATTTCTAAGAAAAATCAGCATAGAATTTCTTATGAGAATGATTCATACAACTTAGTTAAGGTGGTTATTTTAAAAGATATCAACGTCATTATGATTGCTCTGTACAAGCAAATCAAATAAATACTTACTCTATTGTTACAAGATGTTGAAGAAGAGAGATCAACTACTGAAATCTTTATAATATTTTGATTATGAAAAAAATTTAATTATATGATAATTTCGTGATATGAGTAATGTGTGAAATATCATATTTATATCAACTTAAAATTGCATAAGAATATAACTATCATTAATTTTGAGACGAATTAAATAAAATATTTTGTATCAGTACAAATTGATTCACATACAAGCTTATGACCATTCAACAGAAAAGTAATTGAAAGAGGAATGCACACTAGTAGTAAACAAATCATTGAAATTTGAATAATTCAATATGTTATGTGTTTTACAAAATTACCCCCTTCATAATTTCAGCCAAAAGAAAAATGGTTTACATTCCTAAACCAATTGATTAAAATAAGTTTTATCTGAAATAATATGTCATAGATATGGGATTATGAGAGAATTGTAACACAAAAAACTACATGTTACAATCAAAAGTATCAAATAGTTATTAATTTTACATCATTTATGGCTACATTTTTTATGTATTTCAAACCTACATACAACCCATTAAAGGTTCATTCAACTCGATGCTGAACTGACCATTTGGCCCAATAAGACAAAGATAAAGGGAGGGATTTTTGTTCAAATTAGGAGAAGACAAAGGAAACAAAAAAGGGAGCATCCAAAATCAAAGAAATGGATTCCACAAAACTCCATCTAAATTATTTCCTTTGTCATCTTCCTTAAATTACTTATTAGCAAACTCCATCTAGATTGTTTGTGGCTCACATCACTAAGTTTCCACAACATTTGAAAATCTCTTCTTGCATAGACATTACGGAACTTCATCATATCCGCCTTTGGCCCACAACTAGCTTCATTATCTCACTAGAAATTTGTAGTATATTTGAGCTAAATAATTCTTATTATTGATTTTGTGTTTGAATAGAAATGTGGAAGAACTCTTAGAGTCTCTATCATATGTTATTGAGGGTGATTAGAGTCACAAATATAGTAGATAGGTAGGTCTGTAAAATTTACACTATCATGATTGCTAAAGAGTTTAGGAAGTTCGAGGAGTGATATGACTTAGTCGTTGTATAGTAAATCATGTAAATTTTAAATTTATAAAATTAAAAAATATTAATTTTTAGATATTTAAAAGTATTTCTAAATAAATATATCAATTATAATTCAATAAAATTCTAAAAATAGTAAAAAATTTCAAGTCAATCATAAGAATGTAATATAATATCATATAAATTTTTAGAATTTTTCTCCAAAAATATGATTTTTTATAAATTTTACATAAAAAATATAATTAAAACATATTTACAAATTATAAAAAAATAAATAAGGGTGAAGACATTAAGATGATGTTAGCACCTGATGAATACGAATTGGACAGAAATAGAGTTCCATCTGACGATTCTTACATAAGCGATTATAGATAATTTAATTGATTAAATTAAGATCTATAAAAGTAGAAAGAATCGTAATTTAATGAAGAATAGTTTGGTAAATTTAAATCACATAAATTATCACTAAATAAAGTGAAAATTAAGTTGAAAGAAAAAAAATAGAGTTTTGGTGTTGCGGCAGCGATGCACCAAATTTATAAGTATTTGATAGGATTATCATGTAGTGTTCACGACCTCAAAGGCTCTCCTTGAACAACGACGTCGTGAACAATCTTTAGATCTTCTTATGAAGTCTAAAAATCAATGATATGGGTGGTCGAATCGTGTCCAATGATTATCACCCGGTAAAGTAGAAAAATGGTGACTTTACGATTCTTTGGCAATTGTCACCTAATAGAGAGGAATTGATGGAGGTGGGGTGCATGTTAGGGAGCTTCATCCTCAAGTTTATATAGCAAGAAGAAGTTCTCAAGAGCTGACGACTCATCTCCTAGCAGATTATCTTCTTCTTAATGATGACTTGTTCGTCGATCAATTAGAGATGTTTTACTTGATGGATTCACAATCATTTTATTATGAATCGTTCAATAATTTTAGTAACAATATTTTACGAATCACGTCGACTAGATTTTCACTAATGATCGAGCGATTCTGATGACTTAATCCTTCACTGGTGATCTATAGAAAAGTCACGATTTAATCATATAAAAATATGAGTTTTTGACTTTTATAAGATTTAAACTCACACTGGTCGCCCGCTCGCAGAAGAGAGTTTGAAATAAATATTCTAATGTCTTTATAAAGTGACGACATCATGATATCTCTATTATAACTAAGAGATATTTTAAGTATTAAAATAAATAAAATAATTCTAAGAAAGGTGTGACGTGAGTTTTATCTCACATCGATTATAGGTCAAATTTTTGAACAAATATATAGTAATATCACATTTCTAAGTAATGAGTCCTTTTCTTCTGTGTGTACGACCACTCCTTGCCCCACAGTCGACTAGCCACTAGTGACATGAAAGGGAAGTGGCACACACGTGCCCCCATTAATCTATAGCCGCTCAAGCCCCTACTCGTGGTTCCTCTCAACTGTGCTTCCAACTTGCTTGCCGGCCCAGTTGGCTGGTGGGTCCCCTTTTTTTATATTTTTATATTTTCTTTTTCTTTATTTATCTCAAAAACAAGACTAGAAAAATAATAGAAATTCGTATAAAATCACATAATTAGCCAAAAATTCACATTAATTAACTAAAAATTACTTTTCAAAATTTAACATAAATATAAATCTATTTATCATGAGTTAAAGATAAAACTATATTATTTATTAATTATTAACTCGTGATAATGAAGACTTATCAAGGAGATTGATAACACTTAATTCTTATATGTTAATCAGATAAAAATGATAAATAATATCATATTAATTAGTGAAAAATATAATAAAATTGAATCAAAAATATGAAATAGATTTTAAAACATATTCCATCCAAGTTATTTTATTTGAATATCATTCTTGAGAAATATTTATTTAATGATTTAATTTATACTAATGAGAATATCTACGGTAGATACCTTGAGAAATACTTTTAAATGGCAAGAGAAGTGTAGATAAACTAGAAGAAAGAAAATAAAAATATGCATAAAGTTATTGGAATTTTTAAAGGAATATTGGGCCTAATAGTGAGCTGATTATATTGGGCCCAATTCTCAACCAATCACAAGGGAGGAAGGTTGAGAAGTGAGAAAGAGAAAGGAGGGGTGATAGGTGAAGGCTGCAATGGTAGTGGTGATGGCGATGATGACTTGTGTTAATGGCAGTGGTGATG